CTTCCCCATTCACACACAGTTAAACACCCATTTGGGACTTTGTGTACAGGGACTGTTGGACTTTGTTTTCTGAGGTATGCCAAACTCATTGTAAAAGCCAGCTGTTATGGGCCTGCCAGACCTATCCCCACAGAATTAAACACTTTACTGCGGTTTAATTCTGTGTGGTTGGGGAAGGTTAGGGTTAAATGATTGTATATTCTGCAGATCAAAATCTTTTGTTCATTTACAATTGATGTTGCATTATTTATTTTCAAATCATTTGTTGCATTGTTCTTGTGGTTTTTTCAACTTCCATGCGAAAATGGTTTGCATGAATTGCATCTCTCTGTTTTCTATTCTAATTCCTACAAAACAAACCTGCAGCTGGTATCACATCCTGTGTACCGGAGTAGCCAACGCATCTCGGTGTATCTAAGCACAGCAGATGAAGTCAGCACAGAAGGTATCTTGAATCACATGTTTGCCAACAAGAAGAAGTGTTTCGTGCCGCAGTACATAGGCCCACGGATGGACATGTTGAGGTTACTTTCAATGGAAGACTACAGCAACTTGCCACTGACAAAGTGGAATATCAAACAGCCGGCTGAAGGAGACCAGAGGGAGGAAGCTCTAGCAACAGGTGAGAAGAACCTCTCTCTGCTCAAGTCCATCACTGATAGTCTCTTTTTAAGTTTTAGAGCCACCTTTAATATTACATGCTGCTCCAAAGAGGAGGCCATGTACCTTGGCTGTATTTCCACAACTTCAGCCAGTCATTTTTTTTATTTTGTGTTCATTTAATTTTGAATATTTGTCATGCACTCATAACCACACATTCATGGGGACATGAGTGAGTGATCCTTGGGCAGTATGTCCTTGGGCAGGGCACCGTACCACATTTATTTCTCTCATGAAGTATTGTTGTATTATTAGCTAAATGGGCTACACATACTTGAAGTCGGTAACTTGGAGCCTCCATCCATTTCCCCCTTTCACCTGTCAGGAGGACTTGATTTAATCATTGTGCCTGGTCTGGCTTTCAACCTCGGCGGCGATAGACTAGGGAAGGGTAAAGGGTACTATGACAAGTACCAGAAGCGGTGTGCGGAGCACCCAAGTGGTAAGCCAAAAACAATTGCCCTGGCATTCAAAGAACAGATGTGTGCCACAGTACCAGTGTCTGAAGATGATGTCACCATTGATCATGTGATCCACGGAGACACACAGTAGTTCCACGACACATTTGAGTGTCGCCAACAGTCCCAATGTTGTATTTTCAACTGAGCAGGCACATTACATTATTCACTCACCAAAAGGAGACAAATTCTTAAGTGTAAGATATATAATTATGGTTTCACTCTCTTTTCAGGGAGCGACACAAATTTTCTTTAAAATAAAAACTATTTTTTATGAGAAATATAAGTAAATTATTATGGTTTAATATTGACGGGCCATCACTGGGATCCCTGGTTTTGATTAATGTTCATGTACATGTGATTTGTGATCCATTCTTGTATTCAGACTGCCTGTACCGAAAACCAAGCAATTTTAATGATGCGAATCCCTCCGGACTACAATGCGCAATGGGTCTCAGGCTGATTTGTGTAGATGAAGTGGTCTTTTTAAAATGTTATCACAGACGTTAACTCACAGCATTCAGCCGTCGGCAAAATGAAATACACCTCTCAAAGAGACAACAAAATTCTATGGAAAGTACACATACTTCAAACAATAAAATTTAATTTTGTTTTAATAAATCACCCTCTGAATAACTCTAGCATCGCGTTTTGAAATACAAATTTTGTGTTTGTATATGTAATGCAAATAAAAATGTATAAGTTTATCTGAATGAATAAAAAATACATGCAATTCTGTAATCGTGTACATGTAATTTACTTATTTCAAAGACAATCTGTAAGAGCAAAAATATCAACCGATGTTTTTACAGAAAGTTTGACAATATTCTATTTACCTGTGACAAAACAGAAAAGTGTTCACTTCAGTATAAACACTTCAAAGGGCCAGCCCACATACATGTAGTATGTTGCGTGGCCGAGGCATTTCACCATTAAGCATACACTTTAAAAAAGGAAACATGCAGATCTTAAATCCTAACAAACACTGAGAACATGCCTTGTGTAAAAGTTCAATTTCATTGTCAAGAATACATGCACATTTACAATTTTAACATGAAGCAAGGGCATACATGTAAATGCTCAAAGACATTCTCAATGGTAAAAAATTCAAAATATTTCTAAGCATTTGAGGTTAATCTACACAATATTTCTGCCCACAACAGTACACATTTACGTCGTTCTGTGATTGCTTCCTAGTTTCTGAAGCATTTAAAAGTACTTTTTAAAGGAAGTATATTAATCACTCTTCAAAGAAAGTCTTACATTAGTAAGTAAACAATTTTGTTAAAACCTGATGATAATATCGATTTAGATGAATAACACTCAAATCTGGTGGTGATATTTTTATTAAGAAATAGTTCCCTGCTTTAAGTTCACTTTATACGATCTTTATTGGTCCGTTGCTTCCTCGAAATTTGATGACCTCTTAATTTTGATACGACTTTGCAAACATGCAGACTATTAAGCGTGTGTGTAATGGAGTGTCAGTATCCCAGAATATGTTGCTACATGTACATTTCGTTTGGCATGAGTGGAAACAGTACAAAAAATAGAATAACAAGTATAAAGGTGTAATCACTGAATTTAGAGAAATTATGAATTGAAAATTCACATTGGTGACTAGCTGGAAGTGTTCTCAACTAAACAACAAACTTACATTGTATTCAAAATATCAAAAGTGGAATTTACTCTTGTGAAACATATTCTTTAGAATAGCCTTTACTTTTTTTACATATTATTACAGATATTTTCACGATAACAAATTCCATCAGCCTCGAGTTATGCATTTATAATTGGGTTAAAATATTAAATTCGCATTTTGTTGTAACTTAAGATGAGGATCGTGACTGTTTAGAACTGCGATACATTCAAGAGGTTCCCCTGCAACCAGGTTTGAGAATCCTCTGAATCAAGAGAAAGACCTTTGACCTCCGTAATGTCGGTGGTCAAAGACTCAGAAACATGCTGATTGGACACGCCAGTGATAGTGGCATGAGACGTTTATAAGCTATTAAATAACCTATACAGTGCACGTACATGTATTTTCTTTCTCGTTTTAATTTCCAACCTGCACCCCAAAGTGGTGACAATTGAGAGATTGCCTCGTTGTTGTGTAAGAAGGAAACCAGACGAATGCATGCACATCTGCCAGAATGTTGTTGAGGTAGAACACATTACTGACAGAATTAAAAATGTTCTTTTTAATGCTTTGCGTTATATTGTTGTATACATGTACACAATGCAGTATGCGGCTGAGATGTCATACAGAAAAAGCGTAAGACACAATATCTATGACTGCCTCGTCGCAAAGTACAACACCACGGTAAGAATGAGACCAAAGACGAGAATGATGAGGATGAGAATGATGACGTATCTCCATCTTCTTCGGATCTCATGGCGTCGGCTTGCTGCTTCGATGTCAGTCTTGGATTTGACGTCAGTCTGTGCCCCTAGTGCATATTGGCTGGGCCCTCCCCCCGCTGCTACGAGCTGATCTTTGGGCATGGTATTCTGATTGGTCAAAGGTGAAGGAAAGTGGAAGTATTGACCCTCTTGGCTTTTCAAACGACCATTGTCGGCAAGAATGAATGGGATTCAACTTCAGTGCACTCAGAACAACGAGTCCTCAGCCGCAAACATGATTTTTTTATAGGGAGAGTCAAACTTCATTTTGGTGATACTGGTTAGAGAAACTTGCTATTTAGTCCTCAAAAACGGAGGAGAATTTTTATAGTGTAGGCCCACGTGATTTTATGAACATACAAAGAAACACATTTGAGCTTGTTATCTCAGTTATTTTAGAGAATATAAAATCGTGTGGTTTCAATTAAAACTAAATACTTTAGACAAGATTGGCATTCTTTTGTTTGATGCATCATGTTTTCTTTCATGATACTTTCTTTGGCTCCAGTCAAAACAATATTTACATGTTTATTGCGTCTACTTACATGTTTCACTCTTGATGGCATGACGACTCCAAAGGAAGTCTGATAAGATTTTTTAAAATTGACAAAGGAAGACAAGAATATTAAAAGCAGGAACTGACAAAATTGATTTAAGATATTTTAAACAAAACTTATTGTCGAGGTGTGACAGTGGCAGGCGACATCGATGTAAGGAAGGGGGAATTCAAGGCCCCTGTTGCTAGTGGTAGGGGGCCCCATCCCTTCAAAATTTTCACATTAACTGGATGTTAGAGGACCAAAGTTGTAAACGTGTTTAAGATTACCGTACAAACTACTGATTTTTTGGTATCCGTACCAGTTTCTTCACGCCGTTTGCTGCACCGTTCTGCCCGTCTGGTGGTCGTTTCCCAAACCTGAAGTTTTTGCTGTAGTTTATCTTGGTCTCTGGTGGTCTTTCGTCAGGAACCTCCTCCGCGTCCTCGTCGAGGTCCTTCTTGGGCCGTTTGTAGGTGCCTTTTTTGCTCTTGCCTGCCTTAGCACTATTCTGACTGGCCACGGAATCTTGGCTGATGTCGCCGACCTTGGCCACCTGAGCTTGATCGGCTGTCACCTCCACGGTCCCGTTCTGGTCGTAGAGGGGGTTGAGTCGCATGGAACTACTGACTTGCTTCTCTTTGATTGCTGGAGGCGAGCCGAAGACGTTGGCCATCTTGACATTGTCCACTTCGTAGTCACTCAAACGATTAAGTTTAATTCTCTGAGGATTATAACGAAACATGTTTTTCTTAAGACAGTTATCTCTAAAGTTGAAATTGTCGATTCATCATTTATGAAATCCTTTATACTGTCGGACTCTTGTACACTCAAGTCCTGTGATAAAAATTCGCCGCGTGTAGAATAATTGCTTTCATTATAACCGAATTCTCGACCATTTCACAGTTGTTTCTCTTTTAAAATGCGACTTTGCATTTCTCCAGTAACGACCTTTATGGAAATGTTACCAACAAAAAACGGAAAATTGCGAAGGATATCCTTGTCAGACCAAATACATGTATGTAGTTGAATGCCTCGAAAATAATAAACAGCATTAGTGGAATTTTATTACAGGGATAAACTACCTGTATTTCGACATCACCTTCAGTTTGAAGTTCCTCATTCCCCATGCCCTTCTGAGACTGAAAAAAAAAGCGAAAATGCATTTGATAAATTTCTCTTGGTTCATTTGCATTTATGTGTTAACCCTAACAGTCCTCAGTCCTCCAACAGGTGAAGGATTGAGGAGCGTTAGGGTTAATCAAGATGTCAAAATGGTCTTCTAACCAGCTCTTTGGCAAAAATCCTCTGGACAATTTGTAACGATTCTGCAAGAATGAGGGAGGTTAAGATCATTTCCCGGGACTTGATGGAACTTGAACTTTATATGAAATTTGCGCTACCGAATTTCGGCCATGGGAGACTTAGTCTTCAGAATCTTCTGTGCAGACAGAGCGTATAAAAATGCAACCAAAATTCTTTTGAGTTTCTTGGGAGAGAGAGTGCCTAGTAGCACTTTAAAGCCACAGATCCCCTCTTTCTAATGATATGTTATTTATTCACACACAGCCATGATGAATGGCTGGACAATTATTCTTCGGAGGCGGGACCAATGAACCCAAAAAATCCAAAGAAAATTTTTGCTCTGTATAACGACACTGCTTAAAGGTCCTGGAAACCTTGGTTTATGAATTTACAAAGTTAACGAAAGATCATATCTGGGATTGTTACACACACACCGGGCTTCTTGTTTTGGACATGTTCTGACTCTTTAGCTTTAGTTGCTGTCTGATAGGAGATCGAAGCCGATGAGAGACGGAGCGTTCATTGTCTCTATTGTCTGAGCAGATATTTACAAACTGACTCGTAAATTTGGGCTAGAGGGGATGCCTAAAACAGACGGAACACCACACTCACACCGTGCAGTACCGTGCCCCCACACCTTAAATTTGGAAAAGAGCAAAGAGGTATGAACAGCAATCAATGAATTATTTATTTTGATTATCTCACATTGAGAACCCCTCCTTAAAAACAAAAATCCCCCAAACCCCGTACGAATTGCACTTGATTTATTTTTAGAAGAACACCACAGGCAACATGGCTTTAGAGAGTTAGATAAGCCGACCATAATAAGGCAAGCGAGGAGGTCAGAGTTACATGTTATTTTCCACGTTTCTTTTTATTCTTTTTTTTTTTTAGTGTGGATATAGAATTTTGAAGCAGCACTGTCGAAGTTCACTAAACTGGACCCTGTAAACAGCTACAAATCCAAGTCTACCTTCGGTAGGCCCTACTTTATTTTATGCAAAACAAATCCAGTTCTTTGCAAGTTCATGGGGAGAGTTCAGCCTGTACAACATTGGGCTAGAAATGTTCTTTTGTCGAGACGTACACCCGGAACTAACTTTATTGTATATTATTTGGTATCACAACGGTTCATCGAGCAACGAAAATTTTCTCACACTCCTGGTATGCGTGGTATGTAGGCCTACTACTGATGTGTATAAACGTAAGCCCTACAAGAACTGCTATGGACGAGGTTCACATTTCAAGGCTACAGCCTACGATATATTTTCAATAACTGACAACAATAAAAGTTATCCTTCCCTTTTCTCCTATAGATGGCACCTTTGAAATGCTACTTAGTGCTAGATACCACGCACCTTATAATTGATGTGATATTATTATATTACTGTAATACTACCAGAGATGATTTCAATACTAGTGTATATGATAGTTTTACATGATTGCTCTATTTGAAGAACACAGTAACACACGAATATTAAAACAATAATCATCAACAGGATGTTTGCGGTACATCTAGAACAATGCAATCCTTGTTTTTGGGACGCTTGTCACCAAGAAATATCCTTCTTTGGTTCTGTCTGTTTACAAATATATATGACCGGATATTATGAATGATAGCTTCCAGGTGCGTGCACGTAGGATCATCGTTTACAGTTGGAACACGTTGCGCAGCAACCACTTCCAAGTTTAGCATAATTATTGTCAGCATGAAGCTACGATTACCAGGCTTAATAGAAAATCTTTATCATTTAAATGTATAGTCAATATTTGAAGTTTTATTTTTTTATATAGTGTCTGTAGGTGCAGATCGGTTTCGGAAAAAATTAACTGTATATCAATCCACATGGATAAGAGAATTAAGTGAAGGGAAGTCAGAAATACAGGAGACGAGTCCCGATGGTAATCCGTATGCCATGCGGAGTGACACAACGCCGTTAATTTCAGAACTGTCATTTTTTTATACACACATATACATGTTGCACGTTGGTGGAAACAAAGATCATTGCGGGTACAAGTCTGAAGGGCAAGAATTCCATATTCGCTAATTTTTCCTAAAGGGGTGTATCAGGTATCAGAGAGTGATAACATGGCGGATTTAGCGGGGGAAATAATGAACTATTTACTTCGAAAAAACATGTACACGTACTTAGAAAATTCAGACCAGCCTCATAGGGTTTGTGCGCAGGGTGTCAAGTGATGTCCAGGTATGGAACTCTTCCTATGATAATTATATATGTGGGAGAAAGTGATGCCCTTTTCACAATGCATGGGTACATGTATATCACATAATGTTCACAAGCCCACCTAGAAACGAAATTCACCAAATCGATTTCTGTGATGGCTATTAACTGTTCGTCATTCGGCTGAAGCTGTAAATTTATCTTGTAACACACATGTACATTTACATGTACTGTGAAAGTATAATACTACATGTACCATCCAATTTAGACTTAAACTAAAATTATTTACAGCCAGAAATGTTCGATGTTTAGCTGCAAAATATAAGTACATGGAAAAGTTCAGAAATATTAAATTTACATAAGTACCCTGACAAAAAATTTAATCACATTATTTCAGGAATTAGAAAAAGTATTGCGCACGTGCATGCCGACATAATGACGCGTAAGGGAAACGGCTCAGAAATGCTCATAGGTTGTTCTGTGCTTTTGTTCCATCATCAGAGACAGTTATCATAAGCGAGTCAGCAACGAGCTTTGCCTACCGTGTTTGATGACGAGTCCCCGGACTGTGTGCTGCTGCGTTTCTGGTCTCTTTTTCGGTACCTCCTCCCCGCCTGACTACCACTAGGAGCAGGCGCTTGGGACCCATCTCCTACTGACCCTCCGTCGGAGCCATTGATGTCCGTGTTCGCCATGCTATAAATTCACGCTGCGTTATCCCAAACAGCTGGAGACAAACGCTACCTGTTGCCTTTGTTTAAGGACGACAGACACTCGCTGGGTTGGTTCTTGATAGAAACCGACTTGTCGAATCTCCTTCAATGGCTGTCCATTGTGACTCTGTGACCGGATCTTCTGTGTATTGAGATCAAGCCCGATATTCTTGGTAATCTGGAAATGTATTAACGCGATGTCCAAAGGGTGCTCCCAGCATGCGAACAAACCAAAAATCACGTAACCGACGGTTGTGACAGAAAGACCCTTCTATAAAGAAATAATTGAACGTGAATATCGTTTATAGGAAAGATGACTATTCGATTTTCCACAGATATCACGGTGCGTTTTCGGATTGCGGCTGTCATCGACTGTTTTCAAAATACCGACAACATGGCGGATGGTATGAAAATGGTTAAATGAACAAACGCTGACTCGGTCCAGTGTTACGCCTGAGTGCCTCCATGCAACTCCATCGATCCTAGCCCACAGGTAGGCAATACGGTTCATACACACACCACGCCCGTACCGTCTGTACACCTTGCATAGCACGTCATGTGTTGGGTGACCTTGGTGTTGTTCTTATTGTGGGCGACAGGCTTTCTTATGCAAATACACACCACGCTCTCTTTCTCAGAGGGAGTTCCTGGAGGTGATGACGAATTTATGCTTTTATTACAGCAGCCCACTGGATCACTTTTTTTTATACATTAGATGGTTTTTAGAAATGTAAGGGATCAGGCTTTAATAAATTACAGTATCCTGAAACACCGCTGTAAATTTGAGGAAACCCATGCACACAGTTACAGAACAAAGAAGCAAACAATATTAATATAAAGAAAGAACCACCAAAACATTCCAAAAACCAAGGATGAAATTATGTTGACAGAGCATGAACCTGCCAAGGACAGTTTGCAAATCGATCGATTGAGAAAGTTAACTTTAAAATTCCACACAGTAGAGGCATACGAAATAGTTTAATTTGGAGGAGTATTGACTTCACAGCTTTCTAACATAAGAGGCTTCATTTTAGCCATGCCATTTAGTCAACGGGGCGGGAAGCAAAACGAAAAAAGTAGCATAAATGCTCATTTCAACGTTTGTAAACATCGTTTCACAGTGTGTGGACAAAGACACTTAATATATAATTGGTTTTTATTTATTCTTGATAAATTGGCCTTTAATGAATTATTTATTTATTCAATCTTTGGTAATCGCTTTCGTTTTTTAAGAGTGCGTCGTTTAATATTGCTCAGAATAATTTAATTTTGTCATTTTGCATCCTTTTTGTCATTTTGTGTCACTGTTGGAACGTTTTCTTTTTCTTGACTTTTTTCATACGTTTTGTTATGCATCTCAGTTACTGTGTTTGTAAAGGTAAGACTTCCGGTCAGCATTCGTTAAAAACAGCATTCAAATTTGCGTTCATTTGGCCGCATTGCAGTCAATTGGCTTCATGCTTCTTTTCCCGTGGTTCATGTAAGTTTTGACATTGAATTAGGTTTCTGTCTTCAAGTTTTCAGACAGGACATCCTAAGTTGAAGTTATTGCATTCGTGTGATGTGATCGTTCAATTTAACAGTCAGTTGGTGAAGGCTTTTTTACCGTCGACTTTGTAATTCCAGCTGTTTTATGTAAATGAAATTGGAAATGAAAGCAAAATGTAAAATTTGGTTGTTTTTCTTCCTTTTTCATCTCTGGTTTGAGTTTTAACGTTGCTCAAAGTATGTACATGTGTATGTTACTGACGTTTTATTTCAAATGACCCCTGTTAATGCTTCATATATCTGCCTATCTTTTTCAGGTCAAAGGGTGGCTCTTAATAATCACTGATATTAATTTTGGGTTCCTGTGCCTGCCTGCATTAATTTGTGAGTTTGTGGCCACAGGTTTTCCCCTCAACGAGATAGATCTGGCGGTTTGATTTGTTTATGTCATTCATGATCGCCTGCAAGTTCAAGGTAGCCTGAGAAATTGCCTCTAAAACCTTCGATTTGAGGCGCACTATTTTCATATAAATGCGCTGCCGTGTTGGCCTGTAATGCTTGAATCTAGAAATCAGTTAGCATGGTATCCAGAGCAGAGGCCAAACCTTGGAAAATAAAGTTCCAACCTTCGCATTGGAAACAAAGAGGCAGTTTTTCTGAGCAATAAACAGACAACAGCTGAACTGAATTTCTTTGCGTGTACAGTAATTCACAACGAATTCGCCCGCTTAGGCAATATACCGAATTCAAAAGAGTGCTGTTAACTTATGGCCCGGGTTTTAAATTGCATGACTGAATTATGTAATCGCATGGTTTACATCCAAATCGGTTAATTTGGTTACATCCAAATTAGTTAACCGGAGGTTGATCTGAATATGCGTTCACATAGAATTCTTCCCCGTGAAGAAATTGCATGTACATGTATTAGCTGAAAAATTTTGCGCGAAGCTTCTAATCTTGTACAGTCATATAACCTCTGTAAGAATCAAAACACTGACACATTTATTAATTTTTCCATTTCAACAAGTATTTTTTCTGATGAGCAGTCCTAATCACCGAACCGTGAGAGGTTGACTCGTAATTGGTAATTTTTGGTAACGGAGTGAATGAACCAAACACGCGAATCTTAGAAAATAGGATGAACATTTTCCTGTCAGCGTCATGGGCTGCTGAACCCACACGTTAAGCAGCAACGACAGTTGGTGTTCCACAGCAAACATATAGTTTTGCTAAGGCAAGACTGAATTTAGTTTGCTTTGTTGATTATTTGAACTAATTTGACGCCCCCACCTATATCAAGATTTTTCCAGAATGTAAATGAGACTTGACTTTACTTACTGAAGCAAATGCTTCTTAAACCAAATCACACAGGGAAAATGAGTACCACAATGATTACAAGTGTGAACTGATTAGAAATGGACTGGTGTGGTTTTGAGGCCAGGGTAGTTTTGTTCGAGAGCGACACTGTTTTTGTCCACCCTAGAAACCTCCGCCGAAAGGTAATAATATCATTTTGAAAGGTTTTGAAATCCATGCTCGATGGATACCCCACTTTTATGTACTAATGACATTATTATACCTCAGCAAACAGCAGAGGACAGCATAAAACCTCAACCTAAGAAACAAAACCTACAAACAAACACAAATTTTAAAGAAGAAGCGTTAAAGCGAACATAAGAACACGTTGTAAAAATCGGTCAATTTGGGTTAAATCTTGATGCAGTAGGTTTGCATTATTCTTGCCTATAAATCGGTAACATTATCAATAGTGCCTCCATTAGTAATAAAGTTACAATTTTAATTTAAACATAATTTAAGAGTGATTAAGATTGATATAAATAAATAATAATTACCGAAAATGGGTCACTTGGGAGACATTCCCATAGGAACGTGCACAAAATTTTTCAAACTTTACCGTCCCATAATTCAATATTCCCTAATCCGATCTTATCCAAACTTTGCATGTTTTCCTTTCAGACCCTAATCTATCATCTCTCAAAATTTGGACGGTAAAATTTTTCCTCCTTCTGGTAATTGGAGCATTAGGGAGACATTGAAATGCCGGGCTTGACGTATAGCTTGAAAACCACTCCATTGCAAAAAAATGTAGTGAATTCACCCTTATCCCAACGAGATTTTGTTGTCATTATCGAAAAAGAAGATCCGACTGCACTGCCATTTGTTCATAAGACCCTCTCTGTCACGTGAGGTGTTACGTTTGCTGGTTGCCAGATTGAATTACTTTTATCTCCAACCCATTGCAATATGATCCTACTTTGCATCCGCGGTTACGCTGCTGTAGCCAGTATTAACCGCCGAATGCTTCCAACTTCGTTGTTAAAATCAGGTGTAACTCACCAGCAGCTTTCAAAGCTTCCTCCACGATGGTTGCTGCGTCATCTCTACCCATATCCTGCAGCGCCGTCAGCACGGCGTAGGTCGCCTCGCTGCTCTTATGGATTGTGTACCACTCTGCCAAGATAGCCATAGTCGGGTCCGGAGACAGTGCCCAATTACGGACATCCTCGCCGGTGAAGCCCAGACGGATGGCCAGGTAGCGCCAGTCATGCTCATGCTCGACATTCAGGAGTTTGGAGATATCACGGGACCACTTTGGAGCATTGGTGATAGTCTGAGAGATAACGGGTGCATGCAACGTCGGAAGAGTCGTATGAATTCTGACTGGGATTAAACTTGTAGCGTTTCCTCATCCTGGCAAAGGAAAGTTACTGGGATGTTTAATCACCCCTCTTCCAAATTTACACGCTTCAGTTGGTCTATCGATTCTGGCAGCTCATGTTCTACATCAATGAGTTTTCGAGAAGTTTAAAAAAATGGAATGCAACTGATATTAATGCTTTTGTGTTCAACTTCCGTTTTTATAAATCAAGATATAAATATTGGATAATGTTAGCGTGTACTCCTTTTGTGTCCTTAATTGGTCTTTAATTGGTAACTGTTTTAATAGCCTATTCACTCACTTAAAATGACAGTCTGTACCATCTTCAATCTTTACTTTTACTGACCGTCCAATCAAATTATTGCAAGCAATTCGACATTTAAATTCCATACTCATTTTAACATGTGTCATGATGTCCTGGTATCTGTCATGACATATTACTTATTAGGCGTTTTTTCACCTCCTTTCTCCTTCGTTGTTCCACTGATTTTCGTGAAGTCCTACCTTGATTGCCTTAAATGGTGTTCGCTATTCTCCACAGGCTCAATTTTACTCTTAGGTTTCTGCCTTTTGTACATTTTCATTAGCATTGCAAGTCATCCTCAAGCCTCTACATGTTTAGCCCTATATTTAGAGGGCGCCCTTTAGTGGCTGCGCAGCTCTGGCTGCACTGCACTGTATATTTTGCTCCGTTCGTGATTTAAAGATCATGTTATTTTTCGGTTTTTAATTAGTTTTACCCCGTCTTCAAAATTGAACCGTTGGTTGTATGCAAGTGCTTCTTGGTTACTGTGATGCGATTTCGTGTGGTTCGCCAAGCACTTTAAATTAGTCTGCCTGGTGGTCTTTCATTAGTATAGTACGCCATAATGAGTGCATAGGTTACATGCAACGTCAAGTGAACCGAAAAACCGCTTCAGCCTAGTACAACGTGTGAAGTTCACCAAAACTCTGTTCGAAACGCACCTGTTACAAAATTTATATCAGCTTGAAACTGTCTCATGACTTTAGTGAGCTGTCGGCATTTCATTGTAAGGCGTATGATGATGAAATGGTACATGGGGGGGGGCAAATCTATAATGATGTTCGTTGGTTGACGGCTTGTCACGTTGGCCAAAGGACCAAAGTGCAGTAAGACTCTCCCAATCGTATCGGTTGTCGTCATTTGAGTTAACGTTACACGGTTTGCGTGCGGGTGTCAATTAATCTAATTTTATAGCAACTGTCATATTAACGTAGATAAACAATCCTATATCCAGGGTTGACAAGGTCAACGTCATTTGCATAATGTACCTTGGACCTGATGATGATGAGGCATTTTCGCAGTCTAAATATCATATGAATGTGGTACTATCATATTTGTTTTTTGAATGCATTATGTTTTCAGTAAACACAAAACAGCTAATTTGAGGTGACTATAGCTTAAGTATGACGAAACACAATTTCTATGTTAATAGGTCGGAGAGACACACTTGGCATGTTACACAGATATCAGACACTTTCCCTATGGTAGGCGTATTTCAACTTTACACAGTGCTTCATAGATAAAAGGGTTCAAGGTTTTACAACAAAGGTAAATACTGACGTCCAAATTATGTTTCTTCATTTTTTTCGCAGTTTTATACGGGGACTAGGTTTCTGTTTTGTTGAATGGTACTTCAAAAAGACCATGTCATATAAAGAACAGCCTCGACAGGTTTTCAGCTTTGGTGCAGAAACTTGTAGACGCCTGGAATGAACCAAATTTCAAAAGTCTTTTCAAAAAAAGACTAATCTGTTGTACCCCCCCCCATGATTTGTTAAAGTATTAACGATAACTCGAAGAACTACACATTTTATTTTTTAATATAGGGCCTAATTTAGGCTGTACATAGATTTTGAGCCGGCGACGTCGCTTCGTCTAAAACACACTAAATTCATAACTCTTGCTGAAAGTAAACTGTGAACATTACATTTGAACACTTCTGTTCAAACATCTGAAAGATATAAAGTCTGAAGGTGTAAATAATAACACTATCAGAGAAATTCACTCTTAACTATCTTAATAAATGATTTCTATTAAAATTGTATAGTGGGTGAAAAGGTTCACAAACTTAAAGAGTTGTACATCTGTGTACACTTGCTAAAACCTACTCTGACAAGCCTGGCCAAGTGTGCATGATCAACCACTTTTTTGCGACAACTGCTTGTATACACTGGTTCCTTGCACTAACAGCCCCTGACAAATTTATGCTATTTACAGGTAGCCATCGCTACTAAAAAAAATAGAACTCGACGTGCTGTTGGGATGGACAGAGTCTATTTTGAGGTGTATAGAACGTCTGTTACAATCCAAATATTCAGCTTAATCAGGTGTTGTCATTAAGGATTCAAAATACCCTGAGAAGATTTTTATTATGGTACATCACAGGAAAATGGGCCTCTGTTCCGGAAAGTTTTCACCTATCTTGACACCTCCTGTCATGCCTGGTCATTTGTGGCATGCCGTAGCATTGTTGGACAGGGAAGGGTTACCGGTCGAAGTTTGGGTCTGTAGTGCATCTGCTGTTGTCCTGAACGCTGCCGTCGGGTGCAGTGTTTTCTACCTTGAACTTATCCTGAACCAGTTGCTGCTGATCACCCGACCTAAAACCACTTGCTATGAAATCTGCACACCGAATAAGATTGTGGTCTTGCTAGTTCTTGTTTGGCTGATACCATAATTGACCACCCTGTTGCTATTCTTAATTAACGTGCTGCACAAACAACGAATATTATATACCCAGCGTGATATACCCATTCTAATGATCGCTATCGTCTGCCACTGCTCATCTAAATTCTCCATAGGTGGATGTGTATCCTAGTACAGCGTCGTAGTTGTTCGCACACCGGGAACATGACATGAAAACTCTTTGGGCAGTGGGCTAGGCAGTGCCCTGCGCCGAGCCAAATTAGCAAACTCCACTCGGGGCAGTCCTGCGATTTTTTAAACAAGTTTTTGCAGTGTAACCTATGTACAAGTGTCCTTGTACTTTCACGTCTAAAGTATCGCACACACGGATGATTTCTTTTTCTTCTTTGGGGGCGATTCTGGTTTTGCCCTCTCTTTGGGGGCAGAGGCGCTCCTATCCTGCTGAATAATCTCGGCATGCTTCGGCCCTGTCTCTGATTTCGGCCTTCCTGGGTCTTCCTTTGGCCTTTGAATTTTCTCTTTGTCTCCATCCTTTGGTGTCTGTGCGAGCTTTTCTTGATCATCTGCTCTCGGTGGTTTGTTCTCTTCAGCTAGTGGTGGGCTTGGACTCGTCTTTGTTTCCGTCTCTTTCACCTCCTGTGCCTTTTCGGGTAAGTCGGGTTCACTTTCCCGTTTGTCTCCATCCTTTGGTGTCTGTGCGAGCTTATCTTGATCATCTGCTGTCGGTGGTTTGTTCTCTTCAGCTAGTGGTGGGCTTGGACTCGTCTTTGCTTCCGTCTCTTTCACCTCCTGTGCCTTTTCGGGTAAGTCGGGTTCACTTTCCCGTTTGTCTCCATCCTTTGGTGTCTGTGCGAGCTTATCTTGATCATCTGCTCTCAGTGGTTTGTTCTCTTCAGCTGGTGGGGGACTCGAACTCGTATCTAATTCCGTTTGTTTCACATCCTGTTCGTTTACAGGTTGTTTGGTTTCGTCTTGGGATGCTGATACTTTCTGAACTACCGCGTCCTCCACGGTAGCATAGGCTTTGATCTTCTGCACCAGCTCGTCAAATTTGGCATCGCGGAACTCTGTCTGGGTAGACGGGGCAGTGCAGTCAATGTAGAGAAGCTGGGCAAAGGGCATGCTCATGGGGCCCTCTGGAGGCCACGTCATCTTTTGCATGAGGAGCGGGATGATTGGTTTAGCAAGAGCGTCAGAAAGACTCACTTCGCGGCGACAGTTGGCAGACAGCGCGTACTTTGGTGTCACACTGGAGACCACGACCTTTGAGAAGAAAAAAGTGAAATCACTCTGAGAAAAGTAATTAAATATATTTCTCCTCTTCCGCATTTGAGGAAGAGCATTTTTACAGATCCTGTCTTTGACAAGTCAATACCCACCTTGGCATTTCTAATTCCCTTGTCTATTTTGGAGTACAGTGGATCACCACCACCCATCTGCATTATATCCAACCAGCAGCTAAATCCCAGCGATGTCAGTCTAGAGTACAAGGCCTTTATCTCCGTCTGCTTGTCCCATTGGTATGAAATAAACACCTGAGGGATGATCTCGTCTCCCTGTTTAGGAAAGGATAACCACCCTGAAAAAATTGTCAAACTGCAGAGCAAAGAGAAACTTTCAAATACGTAACAACACAAATACGAGATCGAGTTGTCCGATGCACTTCCACTATTTGTGTAGCATTTCAATGGAAATTTTTCTTTTAGCAAGACGAGGTTTATACTTATAAATACAGGTTATTATGGTAACTTCTCTCATAAGTCATCTACAACTGAATTTTAAGAAAAGTTGAAGGATGTGAAGGACAGTGGTCCCATCAGCTGTATAAATATTTTTTGATGGTCTTTTTGCCTATACCTCAGTGTAAGTTGCCATTCCATGTCACATATACAACACTTTCCATCATGCGGACGGTTCATTGGTTGCTGTTCAGTTTATCGGTTTCCTTGCGTTTCCAACTTCTATTCTTTCATCGTGAGGATAGAGCAAGGGGGACTATTTGTTGCAAAGCCTCTGAGCAGCGCGCTCACCCTGCATGTCTCATTCTACTTTGCCTATGTACCTCTTCTGTTGATTTTTCTTCCTTTGCTGCGGCGCCAGTCGGCTTCTTCTCGTCTGCTTTCTTCACAACCTTTGGTAGATCATCAATCTGAGGTGCCCAGTTGCGGTACTCTGAAATGACAATTCAATGTCCCTTGTGATTATCAGAACCTCCCCATCATTCTAAGTGTTACCATTATTCAGAAGAATTTTTTCAGTTGTTCATCGAAGGCAAAAACGTTATCCCCATAAGTACATGTTCTGTAAAAATCCATCAGAATCAATGGATGTGTTTGGTAATAACATAACTGTATAGATGGCGTGATCTTAGGGCTAAATTTGGTCAGTCGAACGTTTGAATATTTCCCGAGATTGTACAAGATTTGCAGTAATATTTCAGTCTCTAAATTGGAAACTCGTGGTATACTGAAACTAATGTGTGAAAATTTAGCGTTAGATTGTGATTTGAAATAGTTTGATCTGTTTTGTAAAGTAACATTTAAGATGACCAAATTGGTATTCTGAATGGAAGTAAACGTGAATGTCATTTTACCATCAGTAATCATCTCCTCGTCGGGAGCAACATGATAACTGATCTGTCCCAAGAGCTCGGCAAACTTGGCATCCTCCCAGAATTTGTCTCCTCTCACATATTCCTTGTCTGTGAAGAACTGAATGTACAGTAGCTGAGCGAACAGCATGCTCATGGAGCCGGCTGGAGGCCAGGCTATCTTCTCAATCAGAACGGGTATGATGGGCTTGTTCAGCAGGTTGGCCAGGTTCACCTGTTTACGGTAGAAAAACACATTTTATTCAAGAAGGCACCCCTGGATCTTAAATACACTCTGCAAAATGATGGCCATTTAGGTCCCAAATACTTGTGCAAACAGTGCAACATCTGGTCAAGAAGTGCATAATTATTAGAAGAGCTGTACAAAAAGTGAACAAGTGGTTTACTTAATTAAACGACCAACATCTGGAAACAAAGTACCGCCCAATGTTTCTCAAATGAGGCACTTCATATGCCCATATTGTGCCCAAGAACGAGCCTATCCAACTGAAGACGCGCTCATACCTCCTTATTGCAATTCTCCGACTTTGAGTACTTCTCGGTGCACATGCACAACACCACCTTGGCTGCCCTCATGCCCTCGTTGATCTTAGCAAAAAGACTATCTCCTCCTCCCATCTGACCAATGTCCAGCCAGCAGCTGAACCCAGCTTTCTCCAGATGCTCCCTGATGGCCTTAACCTCAGGCTGATGGTCCCACTGGTAGCTGATGAAAACCCGAGGAGGCTTCTCAGACATTTCAGGGGCGGCTTTCGGAACCTTCGAATCTGTTTTAAAGAGTGACATTCCCAATATTTTAAAGATTCTTTATAGGTATTTTTAGGAATGATATTTGCGCTTTTGGTTTTGACGTGTACCCTGAGTACTACTCCACTGGAAAAATTGCCAGCGTCTTTTGTTGTCGTTATCGAAAAAGAAAACCAGCCAAAGATTAAAACGTCAGATCCTGTCTGTAAATTAGAATTTTCGTCCTATCAAACTATTTCAATCGTCCCTATTTTGCTTTTATGATTTCCAAACCATTCCAGCATACCACTCTGAAACCCCTGGTGACGCAGCTGTACCGAGCAACCAACCTGTGAATGCTTCCAAAGTTGATGGTAAAATCTGATCACAAATGTTTCTGAAAGTAAAAGGTAACTCACCAGCAGCTTTCAAAGCTTCCTCCACGATGGTTGCTGCGTCATCTCTACCCATATCCTGCAGCGCCGTCAGCACGGCGTAGGTCGCCTCGCTGCTCTTATGGATTGTGTACCACTCTGCCAAGATAGCCATAGTCGGGTCCGGAGACAGTGCCCAATTACGGACATCCTCGCCGGTGAAGCCCAGACGGATGGCCAGGTAGCGCCAGTCATGCTCATGCTCGACATTCAGGAGTTTGGAGATATCACGGGACCACTTTGGAGCATTGGTGATAGTCTGACAGATACAAGGTACAACTTCGAAAATGTCATGACTTCTGACTGGGATTAAACTTGTAGCACCTCCCTATTCAGTTCAATTAAATTTACTGGAATTTTTATTCACCCCTCATCCTGCTCTATACGCTTCAGTTGGTCTGTAAATTCTGGCAGCTATTGCATTATGCTGATGTTCTACTTCATTTTTGAGAAGCTCTAAAAAAAGATGGCAAATGATCCAGATTGAACCCATATTAATACTTTCGTGTTCAACTTCTTTTATCCTAAATTAATTTAAATGAGAATAGTATATATTAGCACGTGACTCATCAATCGCCTAAAACTTTCAAAGTTCAGTAAAAAGTGATTATATATGTCCGTGTATAGGTCTTCAACGTAAGTCGTGATAACTTACCGGTACTAGTTACAGCTCGCTGTCACTTTTTTAGTTGCAATAATTAGCATGGTCTGTCTATTATTCACTCACAAGTATACAAAATATAATCGACAGCCTGTACCATCTTCAATCTGAAAGTTTATTTATCCTCCAATTAAGTTACGTTCACAAACTTGACATTTAAAGTTCATACTCAATTTGATATTCATCATGACATGACTTGCAATCAGGATGGGTTTTCAACCAGCGGTAATTAGTCATCGCAAGTTTACCTTGGTTGTTCCATGTATGTTTCAAGTTCTACTGATTCGTATAGGAGTCCTACCTGGAGTGCCTGAAGTTTGTTTGCTCTATATATGCCCCACAACTTTGCTCTTCATTTATGAGGTCTCTTTTCTGCACATTTTGTTAATACTTTTCGCTTACCTTCAATACTTTAAGTTATACAATTGCTGTTACTACATAGCCCCCATTGAAAATTCCTCGTTGTCCTTGTCTTTAGATGGATAGAATTAGGGACGTATTAGATCAGTCAGTCAAGAGAGAATTCAGTCTGGTCCTGCATTCTTCAGGACAGTTTATTTGGTTTTCAATTTGGCCTGGGGATGACAGCATTTCTAGTGCTCGGAGAATCCTTTAATGGTATTTTCAATGGCAGTGATTCTTTGGAGGAGTTTGGTCTGGTTAGAGAGAATGCTATACAGTTTGTCCTGGAGATCGAGGAAGGCCGTGTGCACGAACTTCTCGAAGGGACTTAGTTCATTAGGTCCTCGCAGAGCATGCAAGCTGTCCAATTCACCTCGACAAAGCATCTCCTGTTTACTGCTCCTGTCTTGGTTTGGCAAAACTGTTTACTGGAAGCATGCATTTTGGGGTTAACCTGAGGTCTAGCTGTGTGCATGACATTGGAACTCCATTTAAGCGATGGCTTGAAGTGAGGTTATGTGAAATATTTGATGCAATGAGAGTGTTCTGGACCTCTTTTGTTCAAGTTTGACTAAATGTCTTCAACATACTATACCAAAAACGCATAAAAAGACTACCGAGGCAGAGGGGTTTGCCATTGTTTCATCGTTTAAAGCTTCACGAGCAGCATGAGTCAAACTCCAACTACATGCCATCCACAGTTTGAGCTAGAGGGTATAATTTCTCCCGATATTCACTTCAAGCGCAAAAAGTGACATGGTGAGGGTGAACCAACCATGTCTGTTTATACGTACCTTATGGTCGATTTCGTCCACCTTGACGATAGTTTCGTCCACCACTTCCTCAAGCTCGTCAAGTCGTTCACCTTGCTCTGCCACCTCATTCTTGACATTTTCAATCTCTTGGCCCTGTTCAGTAACTGTCTTGTCCAGCCGGTCGACGTTCTGCTCTGTCTCAGTCACTCGATTGTCCAGGTCTTGCACATCTTCCTTCACGTCTTCCACGTCATCTGCCAGTGCTTCCAAGCTGCGGTTAAAATGAATTGGGTCTTTATTTGCGATTTGTTGTTGCAGCACGGAAGTACAATTGTCAGAAAGGAGGGTTGCCATGTCCTTCGTCTCCTTCGTCATAAACGAGATCATAAACGAGTTCCAATTATTCTATCGTCCTATTTAATGCCAATCTGTTTTTAACTGTATCCCCTTTGTGTATTACACCTTTCCATTTTTTGCGGAACATGACTTGGAGTGGTCGTGCATGTAATTCATGCACATTTTGTTCCATACCGACTGTGAATGTTTCAAAATCTCACGCCTTCAGACTCGGTTACAATTTTGCAAGATCTCAGAGGCACGCCCCTGGGGACAACAGGTCACTAAAAAATTAGTTTGATCGGAACGTCGACGCCAAGTACTCCATCTCACAAAACATGCTTTTGACATGCTTGTTCGGCTTTTAAAATGTGTGCTCTGGTACCATTTCAACCATTTTAAACCTTCAATAGTTTCCATCCTTGTACCTAAATTATCTCACCTGCGTCCTTCCATGAAATCAATCAGGGACTGCACCAAATCAGGCACGCCCATCGCCTGGCTCTTCAGTAACGGCTCAATATCGGCCCTGTACTTCTTCAAGACCTCCACGTACTTGCGACCGATTCGCTTTATTTCCATCAAGATGGTACTGATCCACGTATCCTCACTGCTCTTCAACTTATCGATGAGTATTTTCATGCAGCGGTTAGCTTGTTCCTACATGAACACATCAAAAATGATCGATGTTTTTACATTAAAGTGATGTTTCTTGTTTTCTTTTGTTCCTTTTCCTTTTAGCCATTTTGTGACTTTGGACGATGAGTACACTTCCGCGGTGCTGTGGCAGCAAATGTTCTAGCCATGAAGTTGTAGTTGGCCCAAAGTTGAGTCCATCACAAGTCCTGATTGTTCAAATGAGCCATGCAAAAAATCCTTTGTCAATGTTTAACTTCTGTTGCTTGACATCAGATCTGTGAGTTGACCCTTGGTCATGGTGATGGCCTGGACTACAAAACTGTCAAGTTACAGTGGTAAGAGTCAACCCTGTTATTTATTAACGACTAATAATAGCACATCTGCAGAGCAAAGTGTTTCACGATTGGACTGCTATCGTTCCACAGCCTTGTGTAAGTCAAAGATGGAGTGCTGGATATATCGCTCGTCGTTCTCATCATTTGGCAAAATTCGGCATTTCCTGGTGCGAACCGATGTATGTAGTAGGATAAGCACAATCCCTGTGAATGCCAAGTATCAGTGTGAAGTGTGCGTTGTCGGTTTCAGATTCGTTTTCTGTAACTAACCTGAGTTAAAATGCAAATCTGTAAGCACTTGCAGGTGTGCTATGCAATAACATGCCTATCACTCACCTCATTTATCTGTCCAACACTGGCAACAACCTTAGCTATTGAGTGGATGGTGTATGGCGTTTGCTTGGCTATCCTCATCAGTTTGTCGATCTTGTCCACAAATAAATCCGGGAACTTAACTGATATGTTTCCCAAGACCAAGACCACTTGATGACAGAGTTGGCCATTTGTGACGTCATCCATCATCAGGTCTACATGGGGCACGAGTATCTGAGAAGAGATTGAAAATTACTTTGGCATGGCTTAATTTTTTTTTAAAATTGTTCTGTTAAGAATAAAATCCAGTTATTTGTATGTGGAGTATTTATCAGTATATACCATATGGCTGCTTTGGGAGGGGGATGTGGCCAAGTGGTTAAAAGTCCTTGTTTTCCAATCATAGGGTTGGAGGTTTGAGTCCAGCGGCTGCTGGCAGTATGTTGTGGCCCTTTGCAAGCCACCTCACCCCTGCTTGCCTCTGTACACCTAGGAGTATAATTGGGAAGCAATCTGCTATGGACCGGCAATGCCATCAAGGGGGAATAGAAATAATTATTCTCAGTCGTTTCATGCCAAGGAAACCGGAAATAAACACCGGCCTGACGAGCCAAATTGGCTCTGACCAGACTTGCTGGCTACTTGTTCCGTTATACATCAAGAGGTTCCATCTTCAATACATTTTCTGTGCATTTTGCAGACGCACTGTTTTGTCAAGTCTAACGAATTAAGCGTCGACATCCATTCAGACTGAACAACAAATAAAGTAAGTGAGAGGGAAAACAAGCTTGTCAATGAAAGGCTTTGGTCATCGTACATTTCTCTATTACACACAAGAATTGACTTCACTCTGACTGACTTTTCTCCACCTGCACCACATCTTCCGTGGCTAAGATTTCCTTTTGTTACAAGTGAAAGTTAGCAGCATTACCTTGGCATTATCCTTTGCAACATCGTCCCAAAGCATGTAGATGTAGGTTTTGTTTGTTTGATTCATGTCCTCTATCGCCTCCGACAACTGGTCAAACCTACTCAGGATCTTCTCTGGGCTAACTCCATACAACGGTTTCAGACACACTAGGGAGAGAAAAAAGATAAGTTCAGTGAACACACGATGTGAAGGAGTTTTCTCGACAAGATGTATCTTTGGTCCCAAAATTAACGACGAAGGACAGGGCTTTGACACAACTTACTGCCAAGCATATCACTTTTTCCCGCGAGGAAGACATCCATGACGTCGTCAGCACAAGGGGCTAGGAGATCAACTTGCTGATAGAAGCTTGTGATGCAGCTCGAAGCGATGGTAACCAGGTGTTCGGTGTCAGTTTTGAGGAGCTTGATCACTCCAGGAACAAAGTCTTTAATAAGTCGCTGGTTGCCGCAGTGCTATAACGTGAGTGAGCAAGGGTTAGTTAAGGCCGAGTTTTAGGTTTTGGTCTGAACGAAAAGGGGCAACTTGTGTTCCCATGTGTCTGAGTCAACCACTTATTGCTAGCTAGTTACACAAAATGATGTTTCAAGTCCGTCTTGCACGGGATGTCTCATATCTACTATCCAGATAAATAATTGTCATCTTTGAAAATCATAGTGAAAGGAGTTAAATTTGGATAATCAACGAGAAGAGTAGAGTTTGAAGGTTATTGTCAAATTTACCTTGGAAACAAATTGAGTGCATATGTTTTGCACTACCAGTCCATATCCTGAACACGGTTGACCATCCAGCTCTTGTGTCAGTAAATACTGAAAAATCTTACTGACCTCTTTTGCATATTTGGATGGTGACCTACGGATGATAGAGGTAAAATTGTAACCATCAATTTTGCTAAGTACCGTGGATAGACTTTCATAGCCTCGGACATTAGTTCAAGATTCAATTCATAAATGCACAAATGTAGTTATTGCTTTTGAACAGTAACAAAAGTGTTGCGTTTGTAAGAGTCATTTTACATGTATCATGTTAAAAGTTTTTAACATGTCAACTGTTTTCAGAGGTTAACCGCCGGGGAGATGTCTGGTATTATTTTGAAGGATGTGACATAGTCACTTTTCCATCAAGAGAAAAGTATTCCTTCATAATTTTGTCTTGTGAATTTAATGATTTTTTTTCTAAATAAATGCATGAAGTAGACGTAATGACTGCTTTATGGATTATTTTCGCCCTTATATACGGAGGTCACGAGAACGTACCCAGCTCCAGAGAGGGAATTTGACAAAGTCTCACTGATGAAGTTCGTCTTGTCATCTGATATACTCTCTAGGTCCACATCGCCTGATGTCATCCACTCGTACATCGCTGTGTACATTTCTGGAAGGATCTTTTCACTTCCCTACAAAGGGAAGATACTTTCTGTGTAACTCTTGCTTTTTTCCTCAGTAACTCATAATTGACTTGGTGTATGAACGCTCAGGTGCCCAGGAAGATAAATTGAAACACTTGGGAAACTTCTCTTTATATAATTTCGAACTAGTGACTTATCATCAGTCATCTTCCACTATGCTCGTATGTGTGACACATTAATGCAGGGTATCTTTTTCGGGAAATGCAAAATTAAAGTGCACCGCCTGACGATACTGCACTCGTCTCCGACACGTGCAACATTGTCACAGCTCCTGCACTGTCTTGTATCCTCGGAAAAGCCATACAATATTATTATCATGAGTCATATTGGGCTGATGCAAGTAAACATTAAGTTGGACTGCGTGATTTGATACTTTCGTCTATCCTCCTGATTAAGAATCTCAATTTATGACTAAATTCAATGTTCAAAGTACAGAAATATTTCAATATGCCTGGTGACCGGGCTGTTCACTGTTTAACAACTGTGAGTTTCCACGCTCTTGATCGACCGGGAACCAACGAAATCCGGGTACTTTTCTGATATAATACTCCAGTCGTCTGCATTCCTAATTCCTTCAATTACTGCATAATATGCTAATTTATTTCACCGAGCGGATGAATGATTTTGTTGGCATTTCTATGCCAGTGAATTGAAATACAATCCCAGTTACAGTTGCATGTTCTCCGGCGTTGAGGATCGATCATTATATCACGACCATTATTGCTTATTGTTAACAGAAAAATTAGATGCCCCAAGAAGATAAAAATGAGCCATATTTCCCGGAGAGTAAAGAAAACAGCCAGCATAGGAAAATGTCACTCCTACCTCCCAGCTAATTTTGTGCCATGAGTCTGATACGAAGGCATATCCAGCAACAATTTGTAGCTCATTGGGCGACTTGAACAGTACCGCAAGAACTTCAATGATGCATTTGCTTACTTTCTTCAAAATCTTGTCTCGGCTGTGAGGAAACAAAAAAGGCCAAGAAACTCATTGCTTTGGGACTGAGTGCATTAGTAGGACGATATGCACGTCAGGATGAAAATAAATTTGTTATTGGAAGGAAATATATATGCGCATGTGTCTTTTATATAAATTGTGGCATAAGATAGGAAAGTGATATTGCTTGTAAGCTTCGTGTATATACATGAAACTAATACGTGTAAACTAGAATATGATTCATGAGTTAATTCCCCCTCCCTTTACTGTATGTAGTTCAGGTTTCGAAAGTTACTCCCCGGTTCTGTAATACGACAGAAAAAAACTTGCACATAGTCTCAAAATCGCCTTAAAAGTGGAAACCCAGTCATTAACTTATTTCCTCATATCACCTCTCGTAGTTTAGTGACTGCTGCATTTGAGAGTTTGCAGAAACAAAAGGTCCTACTTCCATATTGGTCTTGGACATTAGGCCCTATTGATGAATTCTTTTCCCCTGTAGATTTGAGATGAGATATATCTATTAGTGGTCTAATGTCTTAGACTCTTCTGTGATGCTACGATACTCACTCAAAGCCCTCCAACATGGCTTCAATGCATTTAGCCAAAGCCCCGCCCATCTCTGTATCACTTGGCGCACGATCGTCCCCCCACCATTCATCCCTCTTGTTCCTCACCAGTGCCACGGGAACCTCGAAGGTTTTGATCAACTTCTCTGCTGGAGCGACGTGTTGCTGGGGGAGGGGAACATAACCGATGTTAAAACTTTAAAGGGTATATTCGGTGATCGACAGGTTACAATAATATCAACTGCACATGGTTTGCGTTATGCACAGGCCTCCATAAGTAAATTCGATTCGTGTTTCTCACTGCTCCTTTAAAAGATCCAGCTTTGTAATGAACTGAAACCTTGCTCTTTGTGAACAGTTTGCAATGAATGGCCAGAACGCACTACTTTGCCAAAAAGCTTATTTGAGAGCTTCTTGAGAGGCACTGGCACATAATATGATTGGGTAATAATAATATGTTAGAATGTGAATCATGTACATCCGCAATACTCTCGGAGTAAGAGGATCAAAGTCCTCGGGGGTTGGTTATTGAATCCCCCACTGTATCATGAACATCGCCCACTTGGTGTCAACCAAGTCAGAAAGTCAGCAAAGGCAAAGTCAGCCGCACAATTCCTCGTCCCCAATGTAAGCAGGTAATTGTTCTACTTCACGTGCCACAATGTTTCGACAAAATCTTGCCTCACAACTAAATAACAGAATTTAAGACGTATTAACCAAGGTATACCGTTCGTTGAACTTTATCCCTATCGCAAGTTAACTTGGGGAAAGTAAAGATAAAATGAGGGGCTCATATTCTTTTGTTTCATATATTTTTTTATCTAAAGTGACTCTTATTCTAATGTAAAAGTACCTTCCAGTTTATAATATGCTTCTCCTTAAACATATCTGCTGCAAGTTCGTAGTACTTAGTCGCTCTTTTCTCCAGACATGTCTGACACAAATCCAGCATGTGTTTCTCATAATGATTTTTCCTGTAGGACAGAATTTGAGAAAAAAACTGAGAAATATCGGTCGAAAAGAGCTGGTATGCCGAATCAAGGAGGGTGTTCGTCAATATGGCATAAATTATTATTAACACAATTAATAGGATTTTTTTATTTTTCCAGCCTGAACTAAATGAAATTAACTTCTACTTACTTGGATTTAACTTCCTCAAACACTTTGTTCGCCACAGCATCTTTCAGGTCACCTGACCTTTCTTTTACTTCCTCGTCGTCCCGTATCGCCGGAAGAACCAGAGGCATGTAGGAATCAACAGCCGTCGGGTCTTTCTTGATCAACTCCGCTACTTCTTTGGTGCTTGGCATTTTGGCGAAATCGTTCATTCAATGAGTATTTTCCCGAATCCACACTCACAAGCGGTGGTTTGGGTGGCTCACTGTTCAAGTCTTGTCCCCCATATCATGAAATGAGAATTTAATGAAAGTGAATATTGAAGATTTTGCCTCGCTCTCAGAGATCGCCTGACGCCAAACTATCCAAATGAATGTGGTATTGAATAAGATCGCAGAACTGTATTGCTCAACTTTTGTTGCAGCGGTCTGCATGACCCACGCAGCAAGTGTCCTGGCCTTGCATGTTGACTTCAACACAGTGATTATGAAGTGTTTCACTGCGCTTTATCAAACATCACGTTCCAGGAAACTGCGTAGGCGGCGAGGATTCATTCACCACAAATTCATAGTGAGGGCGCGTGACAAGTTTAACCTTGTGCCTTTCGAAACCCACTCCGACCTTTGGCAGTACCCTTGTACCGAGTGCTTATTGTGACCACGGACGTGTTTTTTTTATATACGTCCGTGATTGTGTCTAACAGTCCTATATTTGCCTACCTGTTTGCGGATTAGACTATGACTGGCTGTATACAAAAAGAAAAAACAATCAAACAACCCCCCCCCCAAAAAAGAGGAGTGTTTTTAAAAACATGCAGCTAACGATTTAAGATTATTAAAAACAAAAACACTTCTTCAGAAACTGAATATTTATGCCTTAAAGGTAAGGGGTAAATACACGTTTTGAGGTAAAATCTGACATTAACAAAGAGTGGGATTCCTGCACACCTCGGCCGCTCATTTGAATAGCAGGAAGCGAGAGAGCGGTGTACGCATGACAATGGGATCTCTCGACATCTGTGGAATACCAGGGTAGCGAGAACTCGCCGGATACGTGAACTGAGATCACGGTAATAAGTTACCATGAAGCTCTAGGACGCATGTACACTGTACATGCTTAGCAAAAGGTCCGTAAAATGACATCAGCGGAGAGGTACAGTCCGCTGATGGATGAATGGGACTTAAAGGACCCAGCATGCATGTACATGTGTATCATATTCTATCCTGAAAATTTCTCAACGTTTTCATAGCCCTATACCTCGTTGTTTCTCGTGGTGAGGGACTTGGATGTGCTGGCAACATGTTGCTCCCTGCATTTACAAGTATTTGTGACTCAGCTTGTATATAAGGTTGAATATGTAGTAGTTGTTTCCTGGTGAAATTCCCGCGAGCTTTGGCTTGGGAGGTTCAAGGAATTGTCTTATATTAACTATCGAAACAAAACACTGTTGGCCATTTGATTCTTCCTCGAGAGCTGAAACCGCTGTCTTTCTTCCTGTTGTTGTTTTCATAGTCTGAGCTTTTATTTTCGTTGTCACTTCCGAAACGAAAGCAAGTTCGGTGTCTCCATCCTTGACCCTTTAAATGCAGGACACCTGCATCAAGGCACGGAGTATTTCAATGCTGTTTATATTATGTTCGGGGGCATTGCTTATAAAGTGATTCGGTGGCGTGTTCTCATCTTTGGACGAGAGTGTACAAGAGCAGGTGTCCAACAGAAAAAAACACAATGTTGCTTGTCGACTCCTTTCATGTTTACCTTGCGTTCTCACTGAAGAATTACACTACTGTCTGGGCGGATCGTGTGGAAGGTTATAATGCATCTTCACAGTACTTCCTGGTAACGGTGGAAATAGAGTTCCTTTCTCTTTCTGTCTACTTCCTCCTTTGTTATATGTTCACTGGTTGATTGATGTCAAGCAGGAAAAATAATGTATTCGTGTCCTTCGTAGGTTCTGTTTTATACTTTCACTTTAGTGACCTGGGAAACCTTTCAGGTTTTTGTCGCTGTACGCTGGTAAGCGATGTTCATTGTCTTAGTCGGGCAGTCTTTACATAGCTTAAAATGCATGGGCATAAATCCCAAGGGGGTACACAAAATTTCCCTATTGGTGATGACCACCCTTCCCCAGACACACACACTTTTTCGTTGTGAAATAATAAGACGGATTTTGTAGAATTTTTCGGGCTTTCCAACAACCAAAATGTATTCAATATTTAGCACTTAACAAGGAGGAACGACTTAAAAGAAACCTCAACACGCTGTTTTGAAGTAAGTTTTTCAGAATTGTAATACATATTGAAGATGTAACTCTGTATCATGAACAGCTATCAGCTCCCCCTTCCCCTGCTTTAAACTTGCCATGGACGGGAAGTCATGCTTCCCCAATCGCCCATTTCCCGGCACAAATTTACACCATTAAAATTCCACTTTTTAAATGGTGAGGACCCATCTGTTCATTGTACTTGATCTTATGGTGGTTTAATAATTTGTTTTAATGTCATCCGTTGACCTCTCGTGTCTAAATTTACCTTTCATGCACTTTTGTTATATTGGCTCATACCACAAGCAGAGCTGCCAAGTAACGCAGAAAATGTGTGAATTTCCTACATTTTCTTTACATATTAATGTTAATGTATTTGTTTATTCAAGAGGCACACACTGCGCCACATCAAGTGGATGCGTTACACGCAACGTCAAATAAAACCACATTAACCAAGTGCAAGGTTGAGTGTACAAAAAATCAATTTGAAACTCACCAGTTACAAAATCACATCAGCTTGAAAATTATGATGACTTAGCTGTACGTTCGTCATTCAGATGTTACGAAATACGATGGCAAAATGTTACATTTCTGGTGGGCAAATCTAGACTGATGTTCGGTGAATGATGGCTGACCACTATGGCCTTTATCAGTGCATGGCTTCACACACACACACTGCGCTTCCCGTGTTGGCCCTCATCGTTCGTGTCAATATTAAGTTGTTTGCATGCGGACCTCCATTGATCAAGTGCCATAGCAACTGTAATACAAAGGCGGAACAACAGTTCTATATCTGGGGTGGACAAGGTCAACATCATTGCATAATTTACCTTGGACTTGACGACGGTGAGGTTTCTTTACCTTTCAATGATACACTGGACAATAAGGTCTTCTAATTTTCGATTTTTTGTTGTTTCCACTGAACACAAAAGACGGCATGCAATGCAATTGCGATGTAAAAAAAGGAATGCAATTTATTCATTGGAAGTCTTAAAAATTCGTCAAAATCCGCTTTAATTTTTCGCTCACCCCAAAACGTGGGGGAGATATACCAATACCCTTTATGCCCCGGATTTACGTCCATGCAAAAACATAATTTAGGGTAGATATCGGTGACATCCTTTTGACTGCAATTTACGTGATGGGCAGCGAGTGGCATACGTTGCATAACATAGTCCAGGGGTCATGCCCTGTACACTTTAAATATGTCAGTGTGAGACAGTGTTGGTTCAATGAGAAATGAGTCTGGAAAGTCCCACTGCTACAAATGCTGACATGCCAACATGCTGATGAAATCATTCCCTAGCGCGGTTTTATAGGGGAAACTTCAGCTCTTTTCTTGTGATTCATGTTAGTGCTCCATAGAGAGTAGGCCAAATTTAGTGCCGATTTTTTTTCTAATTCTGTTTACACATAGAAACTTTGAAGTGTCTGGAATCGCCATTCACGTGCAATCAAAATTCACGGAGTCGTTCTTCAAATCCACCCCTCCGATATTTATTACGGTAGCATTCACCAAAATACAAAAAACTTCACAATATTTATTTGATCATTCACACAGAAACAGTAAAAAACACTTTCGTTTACATAACTCTCTTTGAAAGTAAATATTAAACAATACCTGGCAACCGATTTTTTCTGTTTCGAACAATTGTTATTGTAGCAATTTCAAGTCCAGAGGTTTAGGGGGCCTAAATGATATTTTTATGCAGGGAGAAGGCGACCCCATGACGTCAGTGATATAGCGAGTAGTGGGTGTAACCAAGACACAAAATTAAAATCTAGTAATTTGCACTTGAACATACTTACATGGGCGGAAATCTCTCCTCCATCGTGGGGGGAGACATCCATTTACACTTTTTTGTGCACACCGTGTTTATTATCTTATTACATTTATAAAAACTCAAAAGGGGAAATCCTCGATTTATCAAGTCCTTTAGTATGTTTTTTTGCTTAAAACATGGAGGGGACATTTGGCATTGTGTCCCCCGTACCAAATTCATGAGGGGGGGGGGCGTTTCCCCCCTTCCCACTGGGATTTCCGCCCATGCATACCTACCGTCGTAAAAATGACCAAATTTAGAGAAGAAAATGTGATTTGTATACAGTGCTGTTATGTACGAACATTACGCTGACGGTAAAGAATCAACTATTAGAAAATAGCTTTTTCAGACATTCTGAAAATTTAAAAAACAGGAAGAGTGCATAAGTCAGACTCAGTTGGTCTGGGACCCAGACAACAGCTGGTCGATTTTGCTTGGATGTATCTTCAGTACCAGGCAAAATCGATCGGTGGTTGACCGCGCTGATCGCACTTTGGCCATTGAAAGAGGAGTCGGTTACAGAATTACTTTGGGAGCTGGTCTCATGTTTCAACAGTTTTATGGCAGCTAAGCAGCGTATCTGTCTTAACGCCACAGCCCTTTTATATTCCATATACCAGTTTTTCCGCAATGACAAATGGACAGTTAGTTCGAAAGTGAAAGCGATACATACCGGAGTTTTATGAAAGTCGGTGCACAGAATCGAGTAGCAACCAAGCAGTTACGACCAAAAGCTTGACACTTTCAACAGCAGGCATAGTGCTGACAAGTTGGATGGCCAACAAGGCACACATTGTAGTGACATTTTTATCATAAGAAGTTTGATCAATCTTTTTAAATGGATGTAACAACTGACATGGGTACTGACAAGCTAACTTTCAACTCCACGGAGAACCCATCGCTCAATTTCAACGATGTCGGCGCAGGTTCATTACCTACAGACAACGCTGCTTTCAACTCTACCAAGAATCCGCCTTTCGAATTCAGCGACTACACCCAGAGGGTCATCGTAGCAACCTTGTTCCTGTCGGTAGCTGTGCTTGGTATCTTTGGTAACACGTTGGTGATCCTGGCCGTGCTCCTCTCCCGGAAAGTGCGTACCGCCACCAACGCGTTCGTGGTGAACCTGAGCGTCGCAGACCTACTAACTTGCCTGGTCATTCCGTGGAATGCCGTAGCCTTGTTGGGCAGGGAAGGGCTGCCGGTCGGAGTTTGGGTCTGCAGTGTAACCGCAGTCGTCCAAAATGCCGCCGTCGGGTGCAGTGTTTTCTCGCTTGTTTTTATCGGCCTGAACCGCTTGCTGTTAATCACCCGACCCAGAACGACTTACTATAAAATCTATACACCGAAGAAGATTGTGGTCTGGCTAGTTCTTGTTTGGCTGATACCGTTATTCATCACCCTGTTGCCATCCTTAATGAACATAGGTGGCTTTACTTACAACAAAAAGTATCATACGTGTGGATCAACCACGTCTCAAACCAGCTCTCATATCTACAACATCATTGTAGGGGGCGTGGTATACCCAATTCTACTGATTATTATCATTGCCTGCTACTTGCTCATCTGGAGACACCTGAAACACCACACCAAGAAGATGGCCAACGCCCAGCAAATTGAAGCCACGCCCAGTATCCCATCTACCATTTCCATGGGTTACACCGGTAGTGATGACATGAAGCTCTCGCATGTTAATCAGAAGAGTTTGAAGGCCGACAATTCTCAGCTGGGTCGCCGCCAAAGCGCCATCACCAAGAACATGTTTTTCGTCGTCTGCGCCTTCATGCTGTGCGTCACCCCGTATGCTGTCGTTGCGATGTACGGTGACAGCCCAGCCCGGCCCTACCTCTTTGCTTTGTTCTTTTTCAACAGTTGCGTTAACCCCATAATTTATGGCACCAAGCATCGGGATTTCAAGGCCATATTCCGTTACATCTTGCGTCCACAATGGGCTAACATCCCAGAACCCTCTGGGTTCTTCAAAGTCCTGCGTCGAAGCAAGTGCTGTTGGGTGAGCGACCAGTCTGGGTGAAATAGCTGTGTGCACTAACCAAGACAGCGGCAATTTGGGTCAGCTGTGGACAAGTCAGGTGACGTCACCGGACATTCTCTGCGATGTTGGGAGTAACATTAGGTTTTAATCGGAATCACAATCATGGAATGCTTGCTACGGTACTTCTTACCGAAAAGTAGTTATTACGATACCCTTTGGCATAGTGATAACGTAAATATCGCCACCGCGGTCCAAATAATAAACTATACGAATCCATTGACATAGGTAACACTGTCTCCGGTTATGTGCAATGGCCCATGGCGAAAAGCAACGTGGTAACTAAGACTTTACTCATGGGCCTGCCATATTAAAAGTGAAAGCGAGGTTAACTTTTCATTTTTGAATGCTGATAGTAGAAATGAAAGCAAGAATGAAATTTCATGACAAGCGGCCTGCCTACTCTTATACGAAATTTCAAACTAGTGATTAAACATTAGACGTTGGTGTGTAAGTCGGATTTAGAAAAATTTCAAAAGGCAGGCTAGAACACATGGCAATGTAATTATAAAACAGTCCCGTGCCTATAATTAACAGTTTGCAATTTATAAACCGATATGGGGAATAAGACTGAAAGATGGCTTACGCTTGTGCAAGGTCTAATGTAAGGACTCGGGTGAGTTCCGTGACAACTGCACTCTATAAAACCCAACGCAGTGGTTGCTATTTAGATTCGTCTATATTCTCTCCAAAGTTTCAAATCTCTTCCGACCATACAGGTTACAGTGATCAATACCTTTGCCGACTATGAGGTGCCGTTGTGATTTATGCATAGGCCAAAATAAATTAACTGTGAAGCAAAAGCGGATACTAATATTAGGATCAAACCCAATTATTATAACTTAATATAAAACAAAACGCGTGGTACTTCGCTAATATAGATAGAGCAGAAAACTCATAATTTGTGTATTCTGTTTTACTTGAATTCGTTCCTGTTAACATAGGCCTACATTTGTTTGTATATACAAATCTGAGTTTCAGTGCATATATATGAAACTTATTTGTTTATTTCGATCTACGTAACTGTTTTTCTGTCGTAACAGACGCGTCATAGTCAGAGGCATAACTATACGGGGAGCACGGGGGCACATGCCCCACTCCCTAATGCCCGTGCCCCTCGGGTGCACGCCCCCCTTGGGATCGGTGAATAATCTCCGTTGAGTTTATATAGCTATGCAGCTACCACTTATTTTCTTCTGGTGCTCCCTTGAAAAAAATGTGTGCGCCGCAAGGTGCTCCCGGACATTTAGCTGTGCCACTGTTCATGGTATGTTTGATATCCGTTCAGATTGGAAGCAGTACTGGATGAATTCTTGCAAGATAGCATCACAATCAAACGTCTCTAATCCTCCATAGTGAATCCGTTACGCTGATTGATGAGTGGAAATAAGGCATTCTTGCTAACGATAGAGTATTAATATATCATTGCTTTGTACTTTGCGATGTTGCTTTATAGTGAACGTAAAAGTGCATGTGTTGGCAACTTACGGGAAATACAGTGGGTAATAGACCGTTTTTATCAGGGAGCTTTATGAAATTATTTTGCTTTTAAATGACAGAAGATGAAGGTGCATACTGAAAAAAATTTACGCAAATCTTGGAGACTCAAAAAGTTAGTTTCACGCTTGTGAATTTTATGGATATAATTGACGAAAATAACCCATATACCAAACAACCAAGAGTCCAGCCCAGGCCCAGTAGTAATGCTCAGTCAAGCCCCAGACTGGCGGCAGCCGAGCAAATTCTCACTCGTAAAAATAATGAAGCACAGCCGATCTCAGCCTAAAGCAGTGAGGCAGCAGAGCCGTTCCTAACATCTCAGGTGATGTGCCCAGCCAATCCAATCCCACCATGCTGCAGCCGTGTAAGCCCTGCAGAACCGAGAGTGCCATGCGTCCAGCCATGGGGGTAGAATCAAGCTCAACCTCTGCCCATCCAACCTAAACAGTGCCAAAGCCCATATTGAATCCAACCACACAACGACCAAAAAACAGCCAACCAGACCCCAAATGAAAATTTCTCTCCATGTGTTGTCCGCAAAATCTTTACATTTTTCACTCTTTCAATCACAATGTGTTTGTCATTCCATGGAAACCTTTAATTCTCTTTAATACAGAAGGCGCGAATCACCAAACAAGACCAAAAAAAGCAACACGGGAAATAAATGTAATTTACACCTTTGTAGACTCAATGGCATGAACAACCCACACCCAAGAACTGTCCCCCCGCAACTAGGCCCGAATTTGGAAAAGAAAAAAAACTGAGTGCCTCTTCATAAAAAGAGGGCCTGCAAGTAAGTGGCTTCAATAAAATTTTGGGTAAATCTCCTGTAGAGTCTTGTATAATAAATATTTCCCTTGCAATGTTTCGTATTTACTGCTGTCGTCCCAAGTGTTGAAAAGTTTGGAAATACAAAGCGTTCAATACATAGACGTGATAAAGTGGCCTTTTATGAACCCACTAGGGTTGCTGCAGCGAGATGTCCTTTCCAGTTTACATCATTCCAAGCAAAAACCCGGAGGAAATTCTTTTAACCGCACGCAACGTAAAATCCCAGAAGAGTCCTCTCAAGGACGGATGCAGAACTACTCTTGTTGGGGGAGGGGTGCTGGGGAGTCAAAAACATTTTGAGATTTCCTTACAAAACCTAACAGCCGTTCTATTCATTACAGGATAATGAAAGGAAGGGAAATTATTTTTATCATTGTCTTACAAAAACATATAGCAAAAAGCTGCAACTCTTTTTCCTTCTGGCAACAGTAAAAAGAGATTGTTTTTTTATGTTAATAGCTCATTCATTTCCCAGTCTTATTCCAAGGCATCTCTGTACGTGCACATGGAAGGATGTTGATTCGAATGCATCTAAGATATCAAGGTCCGATTTTCGATCCCAAAAGTCTCGATTTAGCTGAATCAAGCTGGATACAAGCTGAACCCATCCAGGGCCGTATTGTGGAGATGTGGGCGCAACCTTTGCAATCGATGAAGTCCCAGTGTGTACCATGGGGGTTCAGTGAAAAATCGGAGCCAGTTGCATGAAGGGTCATGGGACCGTCGAGGGACCAGGAGCGTTCAGGACACTTTTCAATTAATCAATCAGAGATCAGAATATTCTGACAAATTCTCCATACAATCATATGACAGAATACTTAGGCGGACAATGTCCAGTGAAACTTTCTTCTGGAGGGACATTAATTTAAACTTGGGAGCATTCCTCCCACGGGATGTGCCAGCCATGGGGTGTCCTAACAATGAGGTGTACCTTCCCTTGATATCCCGACATGGAACTTAAGTTCCAACCTAGCTAAAAGTAGAAATATTTTGAAAAGACTGGGTGGGACAGAATGCAATTGTACGGTGAGAGAACCTCCATTTACATCAGCCGCGGCCAGTTCTAGCTGCCGTTGGGTTACAGACCAATAAACAAGCTTCCAAAAGCAAGTGATAAATAACCCCACTTCAAAAATCAGGAAAAATACTCACAAATTTCTCCCGTGTTCAAGATACATATCAAGTTCTAGCTCACTGCCTCATCTTTCATTTTCCTTTCAATTTTGAATGGCTTAAACGATGACTTTGAAGATATTTCTGCAGAGATAATCACTCTTCAAAATGATCATGAAGCCCATCGCCGTTTTGAAAATTGACGCCTACAAGGCTACATTCTATTACAGAATAAAGCTATTCAGACTAGAGTTTCCCGTTTTGTCCGATACTTTCAGAAATACAGGCTGGCAGTCCTGCTGGTATTTTCCATCCTCCTTGTAAACTGTCCATTCAATGTTCTAATAGCAGAATGGCACGTTGAATCGGACTTCGGTCCGATTCTGCACAGGCAACTTTGGGCCTATTTACGGTTTTAACCCTACTTTCAAGGCGTTCATCGTGTCCGTGCGTACGTGTACGTTGACGAATACTGTAGTGAGGGCGGTGTGCCACCTTAAAGGTATGGGCAGCTAAGGCTAATGTCTGTGGGCTTAATTTTCAACGGTTGCAGACCAGTTTTATTATTTTAGCTGCCACAGACAATAATAATAAATACCCCCACTTCAAAAATCAGGATACATATTAAATGATAGCTCACGTCCACATCTTTCATTTTTTCTATGAGTTTTCAGTGGATTAACTGATGCGTTTTGAAGATATTTCTCGGAGATAATCACCCCTTAAAACTTTGGGCCTGTTTACTGGCCTGAAACGTTTGAAAACAATGCAGCGCCATCTACAGTCCCAACGTTCTCAATCTCAAACTTTTTTGGATAGTCTGGTTCCCCAATAATTATGTGATGAAGAGTATTGTGTTTACAGGTACCGTACACGCGTACTAAAGTCACACACGTAGCAAAGGGCTGTGCACTGAAACTGTGAGCAAAAATTCTGCATTAACTTCTGTTTTGTTTCAACGTTTTATTGTGTGTCTAACGCCAGTAATTTTTATAGATGGTGTATTAGTGCTGTTCTTTTGGGAGTTGTGTGCATTTAAACGATGCAGTGTTGAGCCATCGTATGAAAATGACATCTCAGCCGATTATAATACGCATAGCCAACCAGCACGGAGAGAGAGTGGACTGGACAGTTCAGTCGCCTAACATATCATTTCAAGATGTCTTGGTGGGTAGTTTCTTTGCTGCTTTTTAGGGTGCAATTCACAGTGTTAGTGAATTGAGTTAAGGGGGAAGGGACTGTCCATCAGTCAATAAACTTGAAGTACAGAAAATGTGAAGATTTCTAGACTAGGAGCCTGCAGACATCAGCACTAACGTGACTACTTGTAACTTAATGACAATGTTAAATAAGACCTAGTACCGTGTAGTACACTGTAATTTATCAGCAGTCTTTATTTCATCAGTGGTTATCAGCCATCAGAAAGTGATAACATGCCTCACAAAGTTAAATTTAGCAAGGAAGATATCGAAGCATTTGCTTAAGAAATACAATTTTTCAGACCAGTCTCATCAGGTTTGTACATGGACATGTACATGTATGTGCACAGGGTGAATACTGACATGTCTGATGGCCGTGTATGGAACTCTTTCTTCCCAAATATTTACTTTTTACATAGGTTGATCCCCCACAATATTCCCATTCGGATATGCATTATTATGATCATGCGGATGGTATATGTACATGTATGCAGTATTTCTGAACAATTTCACTGACCTTCATGTCCTTAAGCTTCACTAGGGCTTCTGACCAGTGTAAGTATTATTTGACCATGGAGGAGCCTCAGATGTGCTAAATTAGATTTTTACCTGCATGGTACTGAACACGAACAGTGTTTTGGAGGACTTAAGCTGTGTTCGCTGTGGACTTTTTTGGTAAAACTGACAGAGATTGTTGTCAATTTGACAAAATTAAATCTACTGGGGACAGCCGGTCAACTGTCAAAATTGTCAAGTGTCAATCATTGGTTGTAAGTTTCAACGGAAGTTTTGCAACACAAGTTTTACAAGGCCAGCCAGGTCGTAGGAGAATTACATTGTCACTTTTGTGTTGCAGAAAAGTTCTGTTTGGACTGCTTGTGTAATGTAAAACTTGATCGTGTGATTTCTGTTCACGGGTCAATTAGTCAGAGTATGTACAAAGTGCCCATATGACCCCTGTTTGACTTTCCCTCACACTTGTCCATACAATACCGTGCTTGCGGGTAGGATATCGAAGATGCACAAAGGACTATTTAACAACGTATGAAGAAATAATGTTGCATTAACCTGAAGCCACATCTGATGTAAAATTATAAGGTCAGTGGATGGGATTTTGGTAAGACATGCCACTACGGTTTCTACATGTACTGTAAGTGGCCAATGGACTTTCCATTGGTTGCAAGTAATCCGAGTGTGGACGAATGGAAGAATAACCTCAAGCAGTCATGATAACATTTTACAATTTTTAGTCCAGTGCGAACGTACATGTAGCTTTACAATCAACACCTGTCAGTAATTTTTACTGCGACAACTCATCATATAGTTTGATGATGACACTACATGTATCATTGTGATTTTGTATTCATGAGATACATGGAGGATTCAGATCAAGTGGATATTAGCATGTTTGATCTTTAGATATGGGTACTATCAATAAATAATTTACATACATGTACCAGTATGTTACTTTGACAGTTACACATGTACATGTACCAGTATGTTACTTGGACAGTTACACATGTACATGTACCAGTATGTTACTTTGACAGTTACACATGTACATGTACCAGTATGTTACTTTGACAGTTACACATGTACATGTACCAGTATGTTACTTGGACAGTTACACATGTACCAGTATGTTACTTTGACAGTTACACATGTACATGTACCAGTATGTTACTTGGACAGTTACACGTGTACATGTATGTGCATGCAAATGTATGGAGGCCTATCGGTATGTGCGCTTCCCTTTTACACAAGTCTTCCTGCAGTTCAGTGAAAGTGATTCAATTTTGTCATTTTTGCACCAAAAGGTTGTCATTACCAGGGCTCAATCCCAGTATGCCATTATCAGAGTCCAGAGCAGCTTTTGCAGTGGAAAGCGAATGGTCACTTGGCCATCGCAACACCGACAGACATTTTTTTAGAGACGAAGTGGGAAGTCTATGTCACAACACCACACAATAGCCATCGAGTGTTTGGATGTTGATGGTAAATTATTGATGATGTCTGTGTTAATTTTTTTTCCCGTAGGATGTTATGGCACAAGTATTACAAAATGGCGCCACCACAGCATTTGAATGTAAGTTTACTCTGTCCACGGTTATAGACATGTACATAGGCAGGGCAGGAACTTCATGGAGGCATCAGAGGCAGTCGCCTTGGTGCCCTTGGTCTTTGCCTCAATGCCCATTGAAAAAGTCCCCGTAGACGAGTTGATTTGCTAGTACAAGTGCCCTTTGCTAATGAGAAATTGCCTCGCCCTTTCAAGAATGAAATTCCTGCTCTGCACAGGTATACAATGTACATCAGGGTAATTCCAGAAATTAGGGGTCTAAAAGTGTGACATTTTTGTGTCCCTGTTACATCGGACCTTTGTTATTTGACATGGAAATATCACTGGGATTGATTTCAAACTATTATTATTTGTGTGGCAGGTAGTTTACATTAATTCATCACTCTTGGAAATTAGAAAATGTGTTCTGAACAAAATCAGATGTCAGATATGACGGGGACACACAAAAAATAGACCTCTAATTTCTGAGATTACCCATTACCAAGCTCTGGCATGGTAGTGCATAACAGTTTGTATCAGGGCACTCTTACACAAACGAGCAGTAACGGAAAACAGTTGTGGAAAGTGGTGTGCTGTAGGATGTTACACTTTTACTCAAAATGGAGACTGCTGAGCTCTCAACAATTCCATTCAGTCTGACATCATACCCCCTATTGGCCACAATGCACTGTCTCAATGTGGTAGCTTTGGAAAATTGCTTCATGTTTCTAAATACAGCTTTTTGCCACTCAGCTTATCTGTTGTCAGTGAATGATATGTTTTACAGTTTGAAAAATCCTTCATCACTCCCTTTAGTACACCTCAGTTTATATTCTTGGTGGCAGTGAAAAATTTGATTTTGGCAGTGTGGCCTAAAAAAGTCATAAGATTGTTTCAGCCAGAGAAGACTAAAGTAGTTACGGTAAATAAATTTGCTAGTGGGCTGTTACAGCTAATATATTTTGTCATGTGATCTGTCGTATTGCTTTCTTTCCTGAGGAATTGCTTCCTCTTTCTATGTTCCGTAAAGTGTTAGTGTGATGTTCGACAGTCAGTTGGAAAAGTAATGAATTTTGCATTTTTGTTTTGATAATGGTTTTCAGATGAGGATGAAGATGGTGATCGTATAACTGTGCGAAGCAACGATGAGATGCAGGCCATGATGGCATATGTAAGTCCAACCTTGCACCTGCCTCCAAAGAAAACAAATAAAAAACAAATAAAAGATTTGCCGGGGAAGTACTGTAAACCGTCTTGCACTTGAGTGAGTTCCATTAATGAGATCTGTAAAAACTACACATTTACAGTGTATTAGCCAGCATTTTGTGAAAGTGAGTTAATTTTTAATGAGCATAAAAAATTCTTGCCCCTTGGAAATTCAGTTACTTTAAATGGAAATTTCCAGGCAAATTGATACTCCAATCTGATGTAGAAATCAGAATGTCAATCTTCGGTTGGGAATCGTTGTATTATCCTAGGTTGCCTACAACGTGAATCTACACGTAGCTTATCTACAATCACAAATTAAACAGTTTTGAAAACAGGACAGTTGTTGTCCAGATCAATTTGAAGTTGATATGCACCAAAATGACAAAGCCCACCATGTGAAGAGTTTTCACAGATCACATCACATTTATAACTTACTGTACATCATGTATGAAAGAGAGGAACTTTGTTTTTTGGGGGGGGGTTTGGAGAGCACTCAACAGCGGACTCACAAACTGTAAACAGTGTATGGGTATCCTTTTCAATGTGCCGGTATTCTCAAGCAGTTGGTGCTTTTCATCCCCTTCCTTTTAACTTTGTTTCTTTCACCTTTTTTTTTCTTCTTGAGTATTTTATTTTTCAATTTTTTTGGGCCCATGTTTACAACTCACTTAAAAGCAAGAAATTTGTCCTCTATTTCGATTATGTTGCTGCAAATCCTTAGAGATTATTTACCTACTTGTAAGACATATACTTATGTGTACCAGACAATGTGACTTCTCAGCATGAGTGATACTTAGGCATTGTATCTTTAAAATACACAATGTCATCACCCAAACAACTCCAATCTTCACCTTTGCCTCTGGGTATAACATTTATGCGTACCTATTGACCTAATTTTTGTCCCGCTGATCACAGAGTCTGATCTACCAAAACAGCCACAAGGATTTCTGGCAAGCTGTTATCCTTAAGGGCAGTTCTGCTGCAAATGCCACATGAGAATATCGTTGCTTTTAATTTTGTAGATAAGCCAAGGAAGAGGAAGTGTGGATGCCTAAAGCTTTACTGTATAACCGCTGTACATTCTTTCCACATATTCTCCGAAGGATTACACATAGGGATGCGTGCTCTGTCCATATAATAGAAGTGAATACATTGAAGGCACTCTAGTTTTCTTTCTTATTCGGTATTTTTCTTTTCTTTCTTATCCAGTACTTGTCTGTGGTAATGGAGAGCGAGTCTGCGAATGTGATGGCACCTCCACTGGTCATTTACCCTAGGGGTGAGTTTAGGTACAAGACCTTGTGGTTTTAGGCAGAAACTTCCTTTGAAATCTGAAGACTTTCAGGAGGAATGTCACTTGAACAAACATTTCTGCTCCAAACATTTGGCAGTAACAAATATTCCCCCTGGCTCCCAGATTGCAAACGCAATGTGTGGTACAGTGATGCACTCAATTACTGTGCTTGTAGGCAGGGGTTTTTTTGGGTGTGTGTATAAATACAATTCCTGCACTATTACAGACTTTTCATTTGTGGTGATTCATGAACTTTACACTCCTCCAGTCAGGCACAAAAGTCCTCCTTTGGTAGACTCATTTCAAGCTCCCCCCCAAAAAAATTTTGGATAACACTTTGACGGCACACATTTCACGTGTGTGTGTCTAAACTTGTCCTGTTTTCTGATATTCCGGCGAGCAAAATGTCACCCTGCTACATCCCCGTCCAATGGTCAATTCTGATTCCATTTAGCTTTGGGCAACTAATCCTGCAAAATTGCTCCCAAATGTTTTGGCAAATTTGGATGTGGGAGGTCGCGGGTTGAAATGTTTTTAAGACTACATGGATACCTGTCAATTACATACATGGTAGGCCATTGCTTGATTGGATAAGTGTTATAGGTACTGCTCGCCCCCTCCAAATTTTTGAGCCACCCTCATCCACCCTTGGAACCATGATGGTGATACAAACAATTGTCCACAGCTGATAGATTATGCTGTGCTGCTGGAACACATTGGAGCAACCAGAAATTATGTAAACAGTATGACGGATAGTGTTCACATTCAGTCTTAAGAGGCTATGTGCTTGGCCCGTCTTAAACATGCGTTAAGACCAGCTCAGGAGAATGGACGCACTATCAGCATCCATTCTGCTAAGCAAGGTCTTAAACACACGTTTAAGACCAGCCAGACACATATTTATTCCCATTCATAATTACCTTTTTATTCAGAGAGCCAAAAGATGTCGAACATGTGATGAATTTCCAACGATTTTGTTCTAATATTTTACTTTCATTTTCCTGAATGCCCCCATCCATCTTGTGGTGTATTCCTTTTGAAAGTTGTCCAATAGAATCCCCTTCAATAAACTTGGTGTGCGCGTGGCGTGTCACATGCACACAGACTCCTGACCAATCACACCCGACATGCCCGATTAAACTGTCTCGTATTCATATGCAAGCGAGTGATTTACGCAGCAGGCATTATCACTTGATCAGCGGGCTTTATCAAATGTTATAATACATGGTCACATGTCACATTTCGACCAGTCGGAATCGAAAAGCTGTCCCAGGTATTTATGAATTATGAATTAAACTGCAAGCTCCTTGATGTTAGTGAATTACTGGTACATGTATGCTCTCGTAAATGGTAAAATAAAGTACCCGTTTAGACAAATCCCGAGGAGTCCCACCGGACATTCACAGTGGTCCCCTGTAGTGGTTGAAGCATTATGTTGGGTTTGTAGGGGGAGACTATCTTGGAACAGTGTCTCTGTACAATAGCTATCACACTGCTTACCGCCATTGGCTGGGCAGCTGCACATGACCACTGATGGTGCTACCGTGAACACTGGATTCGTCCGTACTGGTTTACATGTAACATGTCAACACAAGGGTATTAAGCTGTGGATTGAAGGGAACACTTTACAATTCATCCGTATTTTGATTTCTCTTTCTACAGTTGTCAAGTCAGGAAGAAGAAATATCCATGGGTTAACAGTAAGTTACACAATGGGACCTCAGCATTTCTAGCCCCATGTTTAAGTGTGTTTATGTAATGTCACACACACCTGGAAAGTGAATAGATGGAGATCACTCAAACAGGCTGTAGCTTTCTGAACACAAGTCACTATAAAGAGCACAACAAACAGGACTTGTTGCCAGGTTCCGTCAACGAGTTGGTGACACTTGATGGGTAGTGGAAGTTGAGACTTCTACTTGCTGCCAGATGTCTGACGATCTCCACTTCAGTGATAATGTTAACAGTTCTTTTCATTTATCAGAAAAAATTCTTCTGTCACAAAAGTGAAGGATTTCACTGTCCAAAAGCAGTGTTGGTGACCTGATTTAAATATCACTTGTGTAATACTCAACCGGTTGGTGTTATGATGCATCTTACTGAATGGACCAGAAAACAATGGAAACAAAACCTGTCATCATGAATTTCCATCCATTTATTTCGTGAAATTGTAGGTGAACACAAGTCCGCCTGGAAATGTACCCAAAGGAGCAGACAGCGGAATCAGTCTTCATTATGGGTAAGACTTTTGAAGCAGCACTCTCCAACCAAGTGAAAGGTTTCTAAAGGTATAAATCTCACTGAGACATGATCTACTCTAAATGTACGTTGCTGTCTGGATAAGACTTTTAGACAGCTGTTTTCATCAGTGTTGTTGTTGAGTCCATCCCGAGTCCAGGCAAGCCCACTAAATTTGAATCAAATCTGGTACACTGAGTTCTTTTAATTCATGTGAACATAGCAATTTGAATTCTCCATACTAAAGACACTGTTGCTATACCTTGTGATTTGGGGCAAGCTTTTGCTTAGTTACATAAGAGATGCTTTGCATTAATACACAGTTTTCAATGGATAAGGGCACAAAGCAACCAGTCCACTCCAGAGATGGTGGTTGCTATGCAAAAGCTTGCCCCAAATCACGAGGTGTAGCAGCAGTGTCTTTAGGCTGGGGAATTTGAATTATGTTTATGTGCAATCAGATAACTCCGGGTACCAAATGTTATTCACTTTCAACTTGCAAAAGACTTATTCATCCCATCTTAAGCCAAGTCACAAGCTCCTCAAGTGAACTGTGACAAAAGGTTTCTCTTGGCCGCTGTTCGCTCTGTTACTTGTGATTGGTCCTGGAACTTGTGATCAGTCTTGCCAAGGTATTTGTAGAAAGAGTCCTGAAAGACTTGACTGCAATGCTCATTTCTACCGGTATGCATATATTATGCAGATTGTTAATAAGCAAACTGATTTCTTGACCCCCAATGCCTAAGTCACCTGTTTGGAACAATAAAAATTCAGCCAGAGACTAGAGTTATCACAGTCAAGTCATCGTAAAATACAGTGGCACTGAATCCTGTTTTGATTGATGGGAACCATAGGAGAGGTTATTTTATAATGCTTGCCTTTTTGCTCACGAATCAGGAGACAAGATGCGGAGCTGAGGGAAATCTTGGCTTCAGGCAGGGTAGGTTCTGCATTCTTTAGTTGGACAGGGATGAGATTTCTCAGCTTTTTAGCTCATTTCAGCTTTTTTGTGTTGGACTTCAGCTTTTTTTTCCTCACTGGCTGTGCACAAAAGTACAGGAGATTTTCACAGTTCAGCTTCTTTGTACCTGTTTTCAGCTGTTCTCGGCTATTTTTGTCATTGGTTAATCTCACTCCTGGTTGGATTTAGAATGGACTGAACCACCTAAACGTGGCCCGAATTTGTCCCCCTAAATTTACCCCATGAAGTGCCTTGCAAATATTTACTGGGAAGAACTACGTTAAATTTTTCCAGCCATTTAAAGGGTGATCACTTGATTTTAATATGGATTATAGAAATTTGGTTTTCATTTTTTCCCTTGCTAGAGTAGTTTTCATTGTCTAAATTTCAGTCTCTCTTCATTTCTTGCACGTTTTTAAATGGTTGTTTTTTCCCCACATATAGTAAAAAGTGGGGCTGAAATTATAATTTTCAGTTAGTGGCTAAACTTTTCCAGTAAATTGAAGAGACTGGCTTTTAACTAAATCGTTTTCTTAAAACTGTTTAATTTTCACTTTTGTTTCAGATGTCACAAGCAGATATACAGCATTTAGAAGTACTTGGTCAAGGTCACAGTGGAACGGTCTACAAGTAAGTAATCGATCCTAAGGATTTGAGAAGTTCCCAAAGTACTAAGTTGATTTTTTGGTACCCTCTCTTGGGGTTGAAGCCATCAAATCAAAATGGTTCTAATTTGCCTTCAGTTGAAAGCCAGTGTGTGCAAGTTGTCAAAGCTTGATGCTTATGCATACATGCACACATTGACAAAACAAGCTAGGGTGCCCAAAACGGCCTACATGGTCATGCCCAGGGAGTCCAAATGATGCCAAAACACCCTCAAGGCCAAAACCTCATTTGGTACCCCTCCAACTTAGACCAAGTTCAGGAGGGGACAAGGATTCGGTTTGTAGCGACCAAGTGCAGTATTTGGACACGGTTTCAGATCTTGGTTCAGTTGACCTTCCCACATACACTTGTATGTCTTCCATTGCTAATTGTCATCAGGTAATGCAGTTTACAATAGAATATCAATATACTTGTCCTTAAAATACTTCAGATTCATTTCTGTTAAGAAAAGTAATGCAATCATGTGAATAATGTGATCATTCATCCATTGCAGAGCGAGGCACATTGCCACCAACAACATAATGGCAGTAAAGGTATGTTGTTATTGGATTTAGTTGGTTTTATTTTACCCAGGATCAGAACCATTTAGCCTGTCCCAAAGTTAGCATTCACTTCTCAAGAGTTGAAACATCATATAACTTGGAATGAGGACATGAGCAGTAAAAGGCCTCTTGTGAAATTATATTGTTAGATGTCTTGGTATGTGACTGAATTCCGCAGAATGGCTCATGAAGCCGTTTGGTCAGTTACATGACATCCCTTGTACGTTTGTTGTTTTGCTTGGCATTAGTTTGAGCAAAAGGAGTCTTTGTTTTGACGCGTCACCCAGTTTGGCAGCCTAATGAGAATGGACATTGTCCAGAGAAATGTGCCGTGAGTTTTTTTTTTTTTTGATCTTGCATCGTGCAAGATTCCTTGAAAGCCTTTAACTCCAGAAGAGCTTTTACTCAGGATCCCGTCAATGCGCCTTCTTTAAAACTGCAGTTTTCTGCACTGTATCCTCAGGTCATCTCTGTTGATATCACACCTGATGTTCAGAAGCAGATCCTCTCAGAACTCCAGATATTGTACAAGGTAGGTCATAGTTATATTGAAAGACATGCTTGTATGGTTTGTGTGTGTAATTTTCAAAGCCGAAGTGAAGAAGCTAGCAGACTTGGTATACATGCACTTTGAAATGAGTTTGGAAAGCACTGATAAAAATAAAACTCTGATTACATCTGGGATGTCATGGGATATGGGCAATCCAGCCATTTACCGTATCGCAAATTTTACTCAGTTACTGTTAGCCTGGGAGGCACAGTGTTAAAATTCACAGAGTTGTCATAGAAGCCCCTGTTGCATCAAGGCTGAAGCAGATCTCGTCTTCCACGAGCAAGTCTGACGTGAAGTTTCCCCCAATAAGTCCCAACTGTGTATGGTTTTGGGACGAGCTATCCTGCCTCCAGTGGTTTAGCTAGACGGCAGGCCAAATTGCAAAGTATGTTGTAGATTCAAGTCGGGGCAGTTTATGCGGAAATATCCAAAAGAAAAAGGGCATGATTTTCAACAAAGCAAGTGCAGTAACTAAGCTGCTTGATGTGCAGTTTAAAACTTCGCAAGGTTTCCAAAGAAAAAGAATTGACAAAGCTGTGGAAATAATCTGTCCAACCTTTGAACAGCATTTCAGTAGTCCACATGTAGAAGACCTTGAAGAGGAGTTTGATTGTTGGACACTTTGGAAAGCATGTGCTTTCACAATACAATAGTCGCAAAATATCCTGAGTGAATATCTTTTTTCTTCCAAGTAATATCTTTACCTTGCCTTTGTGTAAATATCAGTGTTGAACACAAACTTGCATCAGGAGGGAAAAATGTTACTTCTCTAATAACGACAAGTACGCAGAGTGATAAATCCTCTTCTTTATTGTACTATTGCCCATCAACACTATAACAGACCTCTTAGAACATTCAGGACTGAATTGGGGTTAATTAATAAATGACTTGGGGCTGTTTATCTATTCCTGCTGGTAGTTAACCTGGCAACGTGGCAATAATATAACCAAAATTGCCAGACGTCTAACAATATCTCCATGGCAACATGATTAAATGAGTTCTGTCATCCATCTTCCCTACAGCATTATGCACGCCCCTTGAATTCAGAATATCGATGAGCTTGATGATACGACTTGGGCAAAGAAAAAAAATGAAAACAAAGATACATGTAGATATATGAAGCGGTTGTTATCAGTGTGGATGGTACTGCAGTACACTAGTACAGATAATGTAACAAAGGTCCAACGACATGCAGGTTGTGTTGTTGGGAGGGTAACCCAAGACTGGGAGACGTGCTTCTTCTTACGGTAATGAATATCTGCCCTTCAGCTCAGTGAACTGTAAGAAGCACTGACAGATGGAGAAAGGAATTTCACTGAGAAACAACTCCCACTCAGTATTTGTTGCTTCTCAGAAGTGCCACATGTGTCAAAACGTTACCGTACCGGGTACTTTTGTCAAATGGACGTTTGTGAAGTTTTGATGCAACGCCTGTGAGCACTGACTGGATAGGAAAGTTGGATGAAGCTAATTGTTGAAAAGTTGTCATAGATAACCATCCTCTTTTGTCTTGTGAAAAATCTTGTCTTGAGAGTTCTGTTCCCTACCCCTTGATACGTGCCTGTGTATAAACCAGAAAATGAAAATTGTAGTAAGAAATGTCACTTGGATTCCAAAATTGGTACCATCAAATACCGAGATAACAGAAATGTAACTGAAGGTCGGCGCTCAATTGAGCTTCAAATTAGGTCTGTCAGAAAGCTGTAATCACAGAGGTACGGCAGTAAACTTGAAAATCCTCAAGAATGTTAAAAAAGACTACAATTTGAGGGTTGTGGTTCCATCATAGAAAAGGAGTTGTATCACCAGCTTTTACAAAAAAAGAAAGCACCTTAGAAAGAAGAGCTCATAAATACCTGTAGGTCAGTTTTTGAGAATAACAAATATTGCCAGAGGGGTGAGTTTATTGCACTTTCATATTATCCCAGCCTGCCTGTCTGTCTGAAGAGTATTCAAGGAAATTCTTTGGCATCCGATTACCACACTGGGCTGGCTGACAAGGTGAAGAGAGCTCTTTGTCGTGTAAAGAGAAATGACCGACTTCTCGTACTCCTAGCCGGATCCTTAACACACAACCAGATCCTTTCCTATTCATGAATTCAGAGATGAGAGCCTGTATAGTCCTTGTGAACATTGTTGGAGGGTTTAAGAATTCAGAATTTTAGGGGCATGGATTTCAGCCGTATTTTGATCTATCGCTATTTGTACTTGCCACACAAACACACAGCCTATTATTTACACATACCTGTTTATATACAACTCTAGATGTTTACGGAAGTGTTGGCTCTTCTACTGAAAACCTAGTTCCACAGAAACAGGATTTATTTCCAGCTAAGTTAAATACTACACATACCTTTTGAATAACTTCCATTTTTAAGAAAATTAGCAAACTTGTCCAATTCAGCTGACGTTCATAACAGTTAAACTTAATATTTACCGTTAAAAATAATGTACATGACTGATAAAGAAATTGGGGCCACTTCCGATTCAGCAGAGAGTCACTAACAGTCAGTGACAGTGCAGTTGGCCTAAACCTGATAGCTACTGTACATGTAAATACATGTACATGTACATGCAGTTTAGTACAGTGAGTATATGTACGTGTACATCCTAATTAGAAGATTTCACCTCGTTCTTTACAACTGATACACTTTTGCTTATTTTGTCTATGTGAATGGTACTGCAGGGCAGGCAGGTGAAAATGTCTGATATAAGGTTGAGATTTACACGTAATTAATGGGGTATTGACAGGAACTTTGGTTTAGGAAAGTCATTGTTCACTTTTTATCACTTTATCAGCCCTCTGGATGCACAGTTATTAGCAGTTGGAGTCTGTACAGTGAATGTTCCAATTGATATTGCCAAGAGATAATGACTTATGCAGACTGTTGGCCTGTAGGTTATCCTTTGGTGACCCTTTTGGTGGCAGAAGCAGGATAGAGCAGGTACCCTGTGAAAGTTGTCAGGTGTTGTGTGTTGCCGCTCAGGCTGTGGCTTCTTGTCAGACGTGTCCAGACTTCATCTCTTTCAACCAGCTCCACCACTGCACTGTTTGTGTACATGGTGCGGAGCTTCTGGGCTGCATCTCCATGCACAGCCACTAAGCGCTCCTCATTCTTCACCAGCTCCACCATCGTGTCACGATCATGAGCCACGCTGAATGTAAAGAAATAGGTGCCGTTGGTTGGACAGACAAAGTGGCCCGTCTCAAAATTGAAACGGTTACCGACATTGGTGATCACCCGGTCGTACGTGATGTCTTTAGCCACGTCACCATGCCCGGGTAGGTCTAACGTACGCACCACAGTGAATGCTGTGATCTCTATGCGGCCCATCGGGTGGATCAGTGGTGGCGAGGCCATCATCACGTCGGGGCTGATGGACATCTGCGCCCTCTGTTCCTTGAGAAACTCCAGCACCTCCTGCAGGTCGGTGAGCACATCTGAGGACTGTTGGTTAAGCAGCTTGAGTATGCCACTCATGTCGCCCGAGGTCCCCTTCTCTCCCTTGTCACCGGGTCGGCCTGGCAAGCCAGCAGGGCCGTTGAGCCCATTGAGCCCATCCCGGCCTGGGAGGCCCTGAGGTCCTACCACACCAGGCAGACCTGGTGGTCCCACAGGACCTGCGTCACCCTTCTGTTGGCAGCAATCCCTGCAGGGCCGATCGGAACGGGAGACAACCAAAGCTGGCAGGAGTAGGACAAAGAACACATACTGCAGTGCTGAAGATGACCTCATCTGTATCAACAAAAACACAAAAAATGGACTTTTTAATAACAAGTTCTTGCAAATACAAATGCCATACAAGTACACATTCCAGACTTTCAACCATTTGATTAAAAAAAAAAAATATCGATTGCAATAATTGCTATTACTGATCATATTAACGTCACTAAACTGTTCACATGTTAGGCCTGATGGTCAGCCTTAAGTCACATAGTCATTCTTGGATCTTAAACCCTCAGGGAAAGTGTGTGCAGCCATAGAGAACTGTGCTCACCATCACAGGCACTATACTATACCCCTGAATAGAGGAGCAATGTAAAATAATGTGCTTATAAAAAACATGAGAACAGGGATTCTCTGACAGGATTCAAGGCAGTATCGTTGATGACTGCTTGTGCAGGATGACAAGACTACATCTGACATACGTTAATCGTTGGTCATGAATCACTAGTGTGTTTATTTACTTTGAACCAAACTTTTTTTCCGTAAAAAAGACTGGACATGCCATACATTGTGATCAACTTCACCTGTGTGGTTCACTGAGAATACAGGAGAATTGGAAAATTCATTAATCTGTCTGTGTCATTCTCCGTCAAGTCTCAATGTACATGTATATAGACTGATGAAGTCTCTTTTCCTCCAAGTACAGTTTGTGATTCTTTCAGGGGATATGGCCTTTCGAACATGTCTGCTTCTCTGAATTCTGCCGGCAAAATTAAATTGCTGGCGGGCAGCTTCTGTGCATCATTAAAAGTTAAGTGACAGGTGTCTACTGCAAGCTACCGTGTAAATTGCAAACTCAATTACCCTTAAATATACATGTACATGTAGACTCTACAGCTCCACTGTTTAACAAAGTGAGGAGCAAGTCAGTTGGAGTGCAAAAGATATTCTTTCCCTCAAATTTGAAGGCTCAAAATTTTTCACGCCTACTCAAGTGACATGTTAGGTTCTCATAATGTACAGTGAGACAAGAGGACATCTACATCTACATCTATTTATGACATGGCACATTTGAAAATCATGCAAAAGGTGACACCATATACATTTTGTAAGATTCCATTCACCTTTAATTAAGGGGAATGTGAATGCAAGATTTGATGTTAACAACCTTTTGTGATATAATTTGCTGGAAATTAAATGTGTACAGCTTTTGTGAATTTGTACATTTTGGTAACCCCTTCAGTCGGGGGGGGGACCGTGGACAGCCGCGGCTTTGTGTGAGGATTAGTGCATACCACTCATACATTCTATTCATCATGCAGCTGCAGTTTCAGTGTGGGCCTGCTGCTGGACAGGGCTTTGCATACTGGGCATACCGCAGCCCAGCAGTCGCAGTCGAAAGAATCCTGGCATGAGGGGTTAACATGACTTGACAACATCCGTATTTGTTACACTACAGTACTGCATTACAGATTGTGAATTTTTATTGGTTGAGCATCGATCACGTGATTTGTTGATGTACATGTATGTTTTGGTATGTGAGTGATGAACCTCACGGGATGTACATTACCTTCATCTTTTTCACTGTCGAAGGTGTTGTTTATACCACTTTGTATTACATGTATATCAGTATGACCTCGGGTACAAGGTTGTAGCTACACCGGTACTACGTACATCTGTGTATGTTGCTGCAAGACGCAACACTGAAGCAATGTTTTTGCTACAACTGCCATTGTTGTTTACATTGTCACAGTTCAGTTGGTTTTTTTGTGTGACTGTATGTATTTCACCATAATAAACTCAGTAGATGACGAGAGGTTACCTCCAAAGAGGAATTTTTTTTTCTCATTTCAAAGATGGGATCAGCTACATGTAGGGTTGAATATTTCAGGTAAATCGCATACATTACAGTTGCTGGTAATAAATACTGGCTTTGTAGTTTACCAAGAAATTGAAGGACTTTTTCATAAATGCTCTCATATTTGAGGATCCATATGGTGTAAGCCTTGTAACATGTACATGTAGGTGTCCATAGCTTGTACATGTAGATGTGTGTACATACATGTACCTGTAGTCTATAAACAATAATAAAAGAAATAGGCTCTCTTGCTACAAAAGTAGACAAGTTTGCTGTCTTCAATTTTGTAGTGGTTCTGTTCGTCTGGTAGCATGCTTTTTTTGTCCCTTTTATCCTTCAGACGCAGTCCATCCAAAGCCAATAAAAAGCCCAAGTGAAATTGGAAACACAAGAATCAAGAACTTGATCCCCAATCAGAGCCGGCGACCGTCTTAACAAAAGCGAAGGTTCCTAAGCCTGGAAGGCCAGATTATCGTACGTGTAGCTCTCAAGCGTTTCCCTCTCTTGTCTTGTCAGCCACTGAGAAGGAAAACATGTCCCTGCTGTCCCCCCTCCCCCAAGCATTACAGCCGGGGTGATATTGATTTTTTTTCTTGGTCCCTGCAGAGTAACATTTACTACTTGCCTCCTTATAAATTAACATTCTCCTTTCCATTTTCCTTTGATAGAGGAGATTTAATCTGTCAGTCATGGATAGTATTGGGGAAGTTGTGATGTTTTTAGTTTCTAGATTTTTCTTGAATTTTTAGAATTGTGACAATCAAATGCATTTTGAGGAAATGGTGTAGAGCACCGAAGTGTGACGTCATTTTGAACCAGTGTTGTGCAAATGAATGGAGTAAGCATGATTATTGGTTCATGTGCTGGTTCCCGCGTTAATCCCTTTTACACTCATACTAGTGGGTGTGATTATTTACTTTGATACTCTAACACTAAGAAAAATGCATTGAAAGAGTTCTTGTGGGTTTGTCATGTCTTGACATCTTCACTCATCCATTTCAAATCACAGCTTGTCAGAGGAAAATCCTGAGAAGTCCCAGTTGTTTCCACGTATTTTTGCCTTCCAAGAATTGAAGTGGATTTCTGTGTTCATATTGCACCATTGCCCTGTATTCTGGTCCATTTAAAAAAACCCAAATGCTACATTGTTCTGCACATTTAGAATTCTTTTACAGTCTTACAAAAATAGTAAAACTAGCTTTTACAGATATTTATTTATGAAGGTCGTCTGTTCATTTTGGATTTTTCTTCAGAGCAACATAAACAGACTAAAGGAAAATATGCAGAAATAGAGAAATTGTATCATAAACAGCACTAGTCATTAGAGTAAATGGCACTTACTGTACAGGGTTTTAAGATCTGTGATGTCGAAAAGATTGTTGTTGGATTTGGAGCAGTGTTAGTGGGAAAAACCCTGCAGATTCAAAGTTCTCTTTCTATGTGGGGTTGTTCTTTATGTACATGTGGTATTAGTTAGGGAAAAAAAGTAGTTCAGAAATGGGGACAAGAAATTGACATTAGTGACTATGGAAACATTGATATTTGCAGCACTTCTTTGGGTATCACCGACTTCACCCGTCTGTCACAACTGAAAAAAAAAAAAACACGTCCCACAAACATCTGCAGTTTAATCGATGAATACATGATCGGTGGCACTTTATTACAAATGACCTAGGACGACGTCTCTGAAACTACTAGGCCAGCTGATTACGGGGGAACCTTGTCCAAACAGAAATTCAAATGCAAAGGAAATAACCAAGCTCGTCGTATCACAACAATCGGGGAGACACCAGACCGGCTGATGGATTAGATGGTGCCCACAGATTGAGTCAGATGGGGAGGTTATTGGATTAGGTCCGCTGCAGTCGCTTGCCCGTTTTTCCTCCAATCTTCTGCCCTGTGAGGCTGTGACATTTTTATTGGAATCCCTTATTACGGTTCATATTTTGCAGTTTTGAGCATTTAGAAGGGAACATAAAATGGTGAATTAAAGGATCAATATGAAGGCTTTATACCTTGCTTGGAACATGAAAAGCAAAGATGGAGCATACAAAAACCCCGAAAGGCAAATTCCATCCCCCAAAAAACTAATTAATAAAATTGGGATGAACACAAAACCTGAGGAATTTCTAAAAATTTTGTACAATCTCCTAAACATTTTAGAAAAGTTTTGAAAGATTTCTGACATTTTCAAATGCTGAATAAATAAGAAATCAAAATTTTGACCCCACGTCATTAATTGTAAGACTAGATAATTACCGCCTCCTTCTCTGTATGCCAAACTGCAATTTTCAAAAACCTTTTCAAACCTTGTGTGCTTTGAAATTTGATATCCATGTCCTGTGAAAGAGTGAGTGTCAGCAGCATCACTTTGGCTTTTGGCAGGCAGGCATTGTGTCAATATTTTCTGTAGTTCATCGGTTTGTCCTAGGCAAACACACTCCACTTAGACCAGTGGCCATTACTCACTCATGTCATAATCTGCACTTAGTCATTCTTGCCAATTTAATTGCAGCATGGCTCCTAATCAATTTATTATTTCTTTCAAGAAAGTGGGAAGGATTTTTTTTTCGGCTTACAGAATTTATCTGTAAAGCCGAATGATGGCAATTATGCATGTGTAAAAGGATAAAGTGTTTGGATGAAATGGTAGAATCACTTTGATATGCAGTTTGGGGCTCAAGACTTACAGTCTCGGGGTGGAAGGTTGTCGTGATCTGGTTCGGGTACAGATTCATCAAATTATGTGCATTCTGTAAAACCAGGTTGTAGAAAGTTTTTGTTACTTGATTAACTGTGTCAGGTAGGAAACTCCACACCTCAGGCATGTAACCTTTCCTTGGATCATTTGATTTCCTTGTTTTTCACTTCACACTTATGCCATTGAAAAGTGAAAAACGTGTAAAGGCACGTAAAGATTGAAATTTGTTTGATTTTTTGTCAAAGTCCGAGTTGCATGCCTGACACCTACAACTACTAGTAAGAGCAAAAGTAGTGGGGGACAGTGAAAGATTGTTTGTACGTGTAGCAGATGTGTCCCACCTGCATGTACAGTACAAACTGTGCATGAAGATGAGTCATTTATTACTACAGCCTGTACATAATTAACCAGTACATTTGTGTAGGAAGTAATGACAGGAACTATAATGCCATTTGCATGTATCGGCATCCATTTAGGACGCATGTGCGTGTAGTGACTCTAGCTGTCCGAGTAAGGCGGCCTTGATGAGAACCCTCTCGGAGCCTTTCCCTCCCTCCTCCCGCCAGCCGGGCGCCTGGAGGTGACTGGCCAAGATTTCACCACGGGTGCTTCATCACGTTTGCAATTCAATAAAATTACGATATCATTTAAGTATCTAGCGATATCGGCCGTGAGGGGTTTGGAGGAAGGATGAGTGTGTGCAGCAGTTTTGCTTTGCCAGTCATTAAGGGTTTTCGTGGTCACAGCCGAGCTTCGTACAAATTAATGGATATTGGCTATCAGTTGAAATGCCAACTCTCGAGGTTGCATTTATATTGGAGGGATTCTTGAGTGGAACAGGTCCCTGTTAATGGAACATGTTATCACCCTTGTGCATATAAATGAGATTTGCATCCAATACTTTTATCACCTGACATCTTCCTCTTTCATATCTTGAAAGTTCTGCTTGTACATGTAATATTCTCCTCTTGCATTCACCTGCACAGTGGTTGAAGAATAAATTACTTCTCTGATTTTTTTAAACCCTCATGATTCTATACACATGTACATGAACATGTACATACATACATTGTACAATGTAAACACGAAGACTTTCAGGAAAAAAGGTGAATGCATCAACCCCTGAACTTTCCAGTGTACCAAAATGTTTACATTTCTTTTTGATATCAGTAAATAAACCATCCAGCATCTTTCAACAATAAACACAGCTTAAAAGTACACCCTCTAGGTACATGCCCTAGACACAAACTACCAGACAAAAATTTGAAGTGTTGGGGATTCTATTTGGATGATTAATTTGTAACAAATTGACTCTGTTATGAAATCCTCATTCTGTTTCAGTTTTGATGGTTATGAGAAGTGCAGAGTCTGTCTACTTTGAGAGTAGTTTTCAGCTGGGGGGGGAGGTTCCAGGCTTCAAATAACAATGCCCAAGGCTTACGGTTAGAAAAGGGTTCCCTCCAGATCTCACCATTTTGTTGTCTGCTAAATCAAGCATGGTAGGACCAGCATTTTCTGAAAGGCATCTCTGTGAACCATACTAAAGAGGAAGAATGGTTTACACTTGTTGGGTGTTTTGCTCGTGCTTTGATGATTGCACAACTACGTACATGCATCATATATTCTACTGAGCAAACCTCTTAGTCGGCACCCGATGCGTTAGTTTTTATTACCAGTTGACGCCCGTCCGACTCCTGGCCTATTAAGTACGCAAGTGTAACGCAGTGTAATGTTGCCCGCAATTGTTGCAAATCAGTCGCGAGCCATTTAACTGCGGCTGGGATTGAGTTGCCGCCATGCCACCCTGCCTGTTCCATCTCCCAAGGGAGTTTCGTTGCAGACTGGGAATTAGCGTTTGTCAGCAGTTAGGGTTTGCGTGTGAATCCTAGCAGCGAAATGATAGAGGGAGGAGATTCTGAAGGAATGTAATCATTGTGGTGAATGAAGGCCGTCAAATGGTGATCTAGGCTCGTATGATTGGGGATTCATGGGAGCTCTGTAGACAGTCATAAATGTGCATTGTTACGAGTTGGTAGTGCGTGGTCAGAGGACGATCAGAATTTCCTGCAATTGTTTGGACCTAATTTTTGTTGGGTGGAGTTACCTTAGAGTCCAAGGTCAATTGCTGTACATTTAGTGTTCATTTTTTTGTAGACAAATATTTTCAAATAGGAATATTTCGAAGTTTCTTTTGAATACCATGGACTGGATATTTATGATATTTGAGGAAGGGGAGCAAAGAAATGTGATTGGTCAAAAAGATGGAAGCTACAGTACATGTAATTGTTTTCACAGCCTTATGCGTCTTTTCCTTATAATAGGCGTCAAGTAGATCTGCAGATTCTCATTTTTAATATGGGTCCATAAAATGAATACCGATACATGTGATGAAAGTTACACAACCACTTTCTTCTATTCCGACTGAGATTTTTGGACTGAGCCTGATGCAAAGTTGTGTTTGTGTCACGTTTTTGTCGTACACTGTGCACAAACTGTGCTGCCTGCAATAATGCCATTTTTGTTGATCACTGTTGATCACGTTCATTGCCAGAGAAGAAAACCTCAAGAAATTTATCACTCCACTGCTGCTGCTGCCAAATATCCTGTAGGATTTCTAGCAAGGCTCTTAATATGTCAGTCAGTTGGTTTCTCAGTGATGCAAGGAGTGTGCCTCTTCTACGCTTGCTCTTTCAAAAAGAGGTCTAAATTGTCCGGCTGTTTTGTGACAACGTGTGTCTTAAAGAACTGCAGAGACATGTGGCCTTGCATTTTGTAAATATTCAAAAGTGGTGGAAAATGACTGTGTGTAGAGTTGGTAATAACCATACATGTACATTTTCAAGATAAATCTGAATAATTTGTTATTCCATACATAAAGGTACTAGTACATGTATGGTACTCGGAAGTTAACTCAAACAGCAACTTTTTCATCAAGTCATCAATGTGACCAAGAGTAAACAAGAACAAACATCTTGTTAACAACCCTTTCTCTGATCTACATGCATCGATACTTGGCTCTGAATAGTTACAAGAATTGTAAAGAGGCAAGATTTTGGACCAAAAAGAAACAGACTAATAGATCTTTCAAACAACTGTGTCTAAGAAATCCCTACGCTGCATATTGGGTTTCCAACTAGTTTGGATATCCTACATACAAGATCAGTCGTAGTAAAGATTTGTACAATGCTGAGCTGAGGAAGTTTGATTTCATGTGCATTCCTTGGTTTGTTGGAGCTGCTCATACTATCGATCCTTACCTCGTATTGCAGGCCAGTCTTAGCCAGGTACCGGGCAATCTGAAGCTCTGACAATAATGCTTCCTGCACTGATGACAGATAGATGAAGAGCCGCCTGCCTCACTCTTAATGAAATGACAATTGGCTCGGGACTCAAGAGAGGGGAGGAAAGAAAAAAGCCTCTGTCAGATGTCCGAGCCTCTTCAGTGTCTCTTTACACTCAGTAATAATTGGGCATCTGGCTGCAACGATGAATCTTGAGGCAGAAAGGCTATGCTGCTCTGCTGTAGGCTTTCCTGCCGTTTGTGTCTTCTTTTTTTTTCACCGTCGGATGGCAGTGATACAGTGTTGGCAACTGTGCCTGGATACACAGATGTTTGTATCCCACCTCGCAGTGCAGTCGGACTTCTACACTCTCATCCGAGGGGGGTGTTGCTTGATTGGCATGTAGAGGCTCTGATTGGCCAACAGATTCTGGTGTCGATATCCTGTAGTCCTGATACAGCATGATTTGAAGGCGCCTTTGCATGTGATGAATGATGCCATCCTCTTGTTACGGGTTCCATTTCCAATGACAATCAAGCTGTTATATGTACATTACATGTACATGTACATGTGTATGTTCACTTACAGAATATACGTGTTCAAAACTTAACTAGTTCTTTTGGGTGTTATCCCTTCACTATTTTAAAATACACGAATGAAGCAATGGGTATCTTAAAGTTATTTTGTTATTGTATCTGCGTAAATGGTTTCACCCATCTTAATACTTATCCTTTTTCCAACCGGAAACACTTTCCAGAAGAGCACCAGGCAAATTTAAGGAAATTTTGGAACACTTAATGTGCATGTATTTATGGAGACGGAATTGCCCTGTCATTTTGAAATGAGTGAAAAATTTGTTTATTCTTGGTTGGTGGCAAAAAGAAGAAATGTCAGCAAAGTAAAGAATGTACAATGGTAACCACAAATTGCAACACCTGAAATAATGTTTGAATAAGGCATGTCTCGAGGAATTCACCATTAGAATTCTTTCGAAATATATCAGATTGCTTTTAAAAAGTACTCATACTTTTGGAAATCAACTCAAAGAATTGCTCTTGTGAAGCCCACAAATATATGTGCAATTCTTATGTATTTTTAATCTGTTTTCATTTGACAGTGTGACTCCCCTTTCATCATTGGCTTCTATGGAGCTTTCTTCACCGAGAATAGAATATCAATATGTACAGAATTTATGGATGGTAAGTCACGAGATGAGACCCATCTCTGGATTGCTTTGTGTGTCCTGAATGTAAAATGAGATCTACTTTGAACAAAATGAGTCATGGTTTCCCTGTTGTATAACCGTGTCATTTTAGCTGTAATCAAGCTCCAAAACTGAATAAAGGCATGTACTTGCCACTGACGCAGTTTTTTCTCAAATTTTGAATGTTTACATCTTTCAAAGAATTTCTTTTATTTTGCATTGTAATTTGAATATTTTACACTTTGTGCCCAAGAATCTGTTCTGAACTGTCTTTTCACAAAGAATCACTTGCACTAGAAGTCAACACATCATAATTTTAATTCGTAGTTTAGAATTCTTTCTTTTACATTCCAAAACCTACATGGCAACGTACATGCAGAAGTATCGGAAGAAAGATTATCTGGCCTGATCATGGGCATGTCCACTACAAAGTGGCCAATTAAGAGTGTAGATTCTGTCATTATTAATCAAATTGTGATGCTTTAAAACTGCCTTAAAGTCGACTTCTTTATTTTATTGCGTTTATTGAAATTCTTCAGAAAGTTACCTCTTATCTTGTAGTACATGCAACATCTAGAAATGTTCACATTCTTCAAAGCCTTTTGTGAAACATATAAGGTCCACAGGCCCACATTCTCTTTTCAGAACCTTGCTAACTCAACAAAGACATAGTTACCTACATGTACATACATGTACACCTGTAGTTACCTGTGGAGCAATTGCAATCGCCCCCAAGCTGCTCTACTTTCCACTGTGAGAACGGTCTTACATTGCCTTGAAAAAATTTCACCATGATTTAATGGCCAAACTGCATTTTCACGGTTTTGAAAGTTCATAGTGCGAGCTGCATTGCTGCACATTGTACACGTACGGTAGCTAAAAAGATCTCTTTGAGTATTTGCTTAAACATTTACTGTTTGCTTTGGGGCCTTACTGCTTTAGGTGGTTCATTAGAGATGTACCATTGCATTCCTGAAAATCTCCTGGGAAGAATTACTGTTTCTGTAAGTATGCCCTGCCTTGATATATGAGTACATCAAAACACACATGCTGCATGTGATGTATCTGGTCAGGCCTCTATGGAGGAATTTTGCATGGGAAACCTATTAACTGGGTTTCTGGGCCAAACAGCAATGAGAATCTACCCCTTTTCATCAAACTGCTTTGGAATCTATGGAATGCATTTTCGTACATGCATTTATGCATTAAACAGTCACTATTTTTAGATGTTGCTGAATATTGCCTCACTAATGTTGCTTCATTGTGACGTGCCCGCCCAATTGAAATCGTCGTTGTGTATTTTGTAAGAGGCAATACAGGTCATTCAAACAGAATGGTTTTGGATGGCGTGACATTTTCTAATAAATGTCGACTGTGAAGACCATTGTATGAACCACGTGAAATAAATTGGTGTGACTTGAGGAAATGATTGAACTTGACTCTACAATTACATGTACATGTATATCAAAGAATAGAGAGATTTAATCGGCTGATTCCACACGTGCTAACAAAACCTGTCCCGTCCATCTGTCTCCTGTGCTCTTCTTTCTACAATGACAGGTCGTCAAAGGATTGACATACCTTTGGAGTTTGAAGATCATGCATAGAGGTAAGTACCAGATATGAAATAATATTGCTGCTTTTTTAAAAATAGTGTTATTTAACTAAAGTGAAAAACACGTTTCAAAGAAATTCTAACAAAATCATTGATGATGCTAGCATAAATGATTTATAAGGATAGAAAAAGAAAAAGGGTCCTTGGGAAGGGACTTCTTTTGAACAGCAATACAACCTTCATAACTGCATTCCCGTACAGTTTAGGGTTCAAGTCCGAGTGTTATTGGTAAAGCATTAGGAAGGAGCACATGTTGGACCCCCTTGCACTTAACTGTGATCTTGATATCACCACATACATCTATGCCTCTATAACGTAGGTACAGTATGCTGGTGTGACCCAACCCCCCTCCCTGTATTTTGAGAAGCCATTGACGCTCATACAACCTGTCCTGCAGTGTAGACTAGTGTGAAAGTTAACATCACCACAAACGTACCTGCCTACTAAGGGTGTTTAATATCCCAAGCAGACTTGCTGGAAGTCCTCTCCTTAACTGGTTCATAAGTATTCAGTTTTTCCCTGTAGATGTCAAGCCTTCCAATATCCTGGTCAACACTCAAGGTGAAGTCAAGCTGTGTGACTTTGGTGTCAGTGCTCAACTCGTGAATTCTATCACTAAGACGTATGTCGGAACCAACGCATACATGGCAGTAAGTCTCTCTGAATTTAGCAACGTGTGCTGTTCACAGAATACCTATTGCTTTGATACATTCTCCTTGCAATGAATTTGTTTGTTCACATTAGTGCCTCCACGCGACAGGAATCCACACAAACACAGAACAAATGGATGAAAGACATATGTGTCCATGTTACATGTGAACAATGCAAATTCCTCAACTTTCGCTGCCCATAACTACCAAAGCTTTCTACAGACCAGATTTGCATCTTGGATCACTCTGAAGCCTGAAAAATTATGGCTTGCAGAGGACTTGTCAAACATCAATATAATTATGTGTACTTCAGCCTGGTTTTTGGAATGGTGGGTGACGCATTTTTATAAAGGTTCAGTAGTTGCTTGATTCCTCATTCACTTGCCCTGTTAACTTCAGAAGTGAGTATGCTTTTTAACCACTTCCTGCCGGGTGACCCGTTTTCGAGTACATAGGCTTTATATGCAGAGCCGGGGAGCCCGGAACTGGGACAAAAGAGTTGGGCCATATAACAAAAGACCGTGCTCAGCACAAAAGACTGAGCTGCTGGGCATTACCAACATTTTTTCGCTCTCAGTAGTGAAGATAATCCAGCCTTGTTTTGAAACAGTATACCACAGTTCGAGGCATTTAGAGCGAGTGGACTACCACCGGGGACAAAAGCTCTCCACCACTGCAGCAATGAGCCACACAGCACTGCTGCACGCTAATGTGGCCCCTATTGAAAATAGGTCAGCAGTGCACTGTGCCGGTTTCGGGAACAGAAGAATCTTAAGTAACACCGCACAATCTGGGCTCTTTTTCCAAGGCTGCAGGCCTGGCTGAAATATTCAGGAGTCAATGAAGGTCACCTGTCAGCTTTAGAGTAGTCCCAAAGAGTCCTTCATGTGGGTATAAACGGCCATTAAATGAGATGATGAATTTTTGAAGAATTTCGAAAACGGAAAATCTGGAAAAGAACCCGGCATCTTGTCTTGCTCTAGAAAAATCCAGCGGGCAGCAAGTGGTTAATAGCCCATCCTAGCTGACACTGATGTCTCTAATATCAACCTGATCAGTTTGAGTTTTCTCTGGCATTCTACAGCATCATGTGACGTTTCTTTCTTTGTTTAGCCAGAGCGAGTGAAGGGAGACCAGTATGGTGTACATTCAGAGGTTTGGAGTCTTGGCGTATTTCTCCTTGAGGTACAGTGATTCCAAAAGCCAATTTTGTGTTAAAGGTTTTGCTGTTAAATGGGTGATGTGCTCATATTGTGTAACACTTTTCCCTTGATAGTGAGAAACACGTTTGTGTATGATGGATGGGTATTTACAAGGTATTGTTGTGGAGTAGTAGGGTTGTCAATCATGTTTCATTCATGTAAGCTATGGGAAATTTAGGACATTAACTTTTCATAGCTATTGGACCCGAACTCGCTGGCGGGTAGTTTGTAGTGAAAAGTGGAGCACGTCTAAATAATTGATTGATGCTGACACGTATAGCCGCAGGATAATTCAAGTCCCTGTCGTAATTACAACATCAAAATTTTACATGGCACAACGGAAGCATCTTTGAATGAATCAGTAGGTAAAGACAGACTGTGAATATTTTGTGGGTGCACAGGGTACTAGGAAGATTTTACATGTATATTTTATTTCTTCTAGATGGCAACGGGCAGATTTCCATACCCAGTAAGTCATTATTTCCTGAAACATTATTTGTAATTTGACTAAATTTCTCAGATAATTTATTTATTTGATTTTTTGGCAGTTAGCTATTTTTGAGTTGTACATGTATCTCTGTGCTATGTCATGGCTTCAAAATCCTTTACACGATTAAGATTTCTTTTTTAGATGTGGGACAAAAATATTTCTTTTATGTTGAAAACTCTGGCAATCGAATGTAATAGGGAGTAACTAACCAGTCAACCATTGAAGTGTAATTACCAATTTCAAGTGGTCTGATCTGTGGTCATCAGAGGTGGACAGTGAAGTGAAAAGCTCCTGTTTCTCAGGTCAAATGGGAGGTTTCAGAGGTCTTTGAGGAATTTAGGCGAGTAGATCACCACCGGGCAATTAACTTAACGTCGGCTTTTGTTGATTCTTGAAAGTAATAGCAGAAATGCTCTGGTTCACAGTGGAGGAGTTTGCAGGATTCAGAAGGGTGATTGAAGAGGGGAAACCAGTGGAGATCATGAATTGTGGAACGTTTAGACATAGCGTGTGCTGATCTCTAAAAAGCAAGTTCTCCATCATGTACTTGTACTTTACCCCTTTAGCTCCTATGTTGAAATTCATGTCTTATGTTTTTGTCGTACAGGTTACACCAAGGGAGAATGAACTGTCGGTAAGTTTGCAGTGTTTCTTAGCAAATTTTATTAACCCCTTCGCACTGGGAGGCGGCAAAATCCGCCGTAAAAATAGAGATCCTCAGTCCACTTTTCAGCTATTATTCTCGGCCCACCTTCGAGCGAACATGGTGAAAGAAGGTAGACCCTGGCTCTTGTATGTATGGTAATTGGTCTTTGTATGTAGCCCAGAAATGAAAAGACCGATTTTGCATCATAATCACCAGCCTCACAATAGTCCCCACTTTGAAAAGAGGCAAGGGGAATGTGGAACGGTGAGTAGAGCTGCATGCCACTGAACAATCAGCCTTTTCACCGCGTAANGGGAAGAAATTCCCGTCGTCAAGGGGTTAAATAGGTTTATAATTTGAAATAATAACTTTCCCTCTGACAGTTATCTAGTCTGAAGCACATGCTTTTTCATTACCAATTGTTTGTCTACAACTCAAAAACTACTTCGTTATTTCATTTTTTTAATATTCACAGGCCATAGACTTGCTACAGTGCATTGTACATGAGGTGAGTTAATCTGTAAATTTCTTGAATAGTTTGTACCCAACGCGTTAAGCAGTACATGTAAGTGGACGGATTCTTGCTAGTGCCGCTAGTGTTTGAAGTGTCACATTTTTCTAACAAGTGCGTGGACAGTCAATAGAGTACCGAAGTGTGACGTCACTGTGAATCAGAAAGTGCAGTGCAAACGAATGGAGTACGCGCACGTGTTGGCTCACGGGCTGGTTCTCGCACTAATGCCTTTTACACGCTAATTGTGCGTGTGACGTATTCACTTCGGTACTCTATACCTGGCAGGAATAACAATTTATTTTGTTACCCAAGCTTACATGCTATCATTTTTTGTGGTCACAGGCACCTCCATCGTTGCCGAGGGATAGTTTTTCAGAAGCATTTGTGGATTTTGTAGCCCAGTGGTAAGTGAAGTTTCAAATAATACAGACCATTTTTCATTTAGAAAAACTTGAACTCGTTTTGATGATGTTATCCTTGCTACTCTGTTCTTTTACTGCCTGGGACGGCCATTTTAACTCGGAGACAGGAATGTGTTTGATTATTGACAGTGTCAGTGCCTTTCGACATGTTTGGTAAAAGGACCCCAGAAATATTTACCCCAAATTGGTACCACTTCGGCTTGGTTTATCACAGTTGATCTGAAATGCTTTTCGCCCTTACCAGCATGCGGAAGAACCCCAACGACCGACCGACGCCAGAAGCCTTACTGCACCACGCGTTCATCAGGGCCTACGATGACGGCAACAAACAGATCATTGCCGAGTGGGTGTGTAGAAACCTGCAGGAGATCAGGCTGATGGCAGCAGCAGCAGCAGCAGCAGCAGCAGCAGGTGCTGGGGGTATGTGACGAAAGAAAAACAGGGATTTTTCAGTGTGACGTAGAGTTCACAACCAAGATAAACTCCTCCCCCTGTAATTTCAGTTACAATTGCAACTCACGGCACCATTGCCTCAGTCTGGACGATGTGAGTAGTCAGCAAGGTAATCAAGGTGGCGATGCTGGAGCATTGGAACTGATATCCAACCAGAGGTCCGTCTGTCGATCCCTCCCTTGTGATGTGTAGTTCCTGCGATCTAGTCGGTGTTACTTTTGCCTCCTCTACGTCCATGCTGTAGGTTTTACAGTCAAACCCCAGACCAAGCAACAGATGAGCGGTACAGTTTATAGTCAGTGTTGCCATTTGAATGCATAATTGACTAATCTCTGTAACTGTTGAAGCCATTTGAAGTGTGCTTTATACCATGCTTTTCTGGTGTCCGAGGCTATTGCTAGCTGTGTCTTGTGTGACTAGCATAAACCTTATGGGTCAGCGCGGACATCTGGGATTCTCGCAAAATGACAGTTGCTGCGCCGGTGAAAACAGCAATCTTGGCAACGTACGCATGCACCAGCCAGTCCGAGGATCGGGTTATACAATCTTTTCTTTGATCTGTACGTACGCGCTCGCTCGTTGCAGTTGTTTTCACCGGCACAGTGTGGTTGCTACCCATATTTTTGTGAAACTTCCGGATGTCCGCGCTACCCCATATCCTGTTATCTATAAAAGCCTAGTTGCACAGTGTGTTAAACCTTGTGATGAAAAGGGCCATGGATATTCATGGGTTAGGTCTTGGTGCAAAACACATGACTTTATTACCAATGAATTGGTGCCAAGCAATGAATTCCACCATCTCCCTTATCTCTGGACAGCACTATGATATTATCCCAGCCGTAATAATGACTTTACAGATCTGCATAGGTGAGAACCCTAAGTGATATTGTGAACATGGAGTAAAGTTGTTTTTTGTTTTGTTTTTTAAATAGTAAGGTTTCCAGTACAGCAGGTTACATGTATAAAACCCAGTTTGGCTTATATGTACAACCAATAGATTATTCGTCAACTGCTTGATTTGAATTGAGCATTATAATCCTAGATTTCTGTTTGCTTGTTTTGAAGGTAGTATACATGATTTGCATGTACAGCAATTTGTCAAAAATGACCGATTTGGGTTTTTTATTAACATTTTATTAACATTATCATTTCACGAACATGTTTCATTTTTTGAGTTCACTGCTTTGAGAAAATTTTAGAAAAACACTGTTCATTTTTAATACTCAAAGCACAGCTCGTGTAATTTGTCTTGCAAATATCCATGGGCCACAGGACATTCGTGAGTGTCTGGACAGTGCACAGGCGTGGTTGATCTACAGACCAATTATGGCCTTAAAAATGTTTTATTTTTGCCACGGTTTTATGCAGCGGTAGTGGTCAGCAAATTTACCTTCAAAGTTTGTGTTTCCTCCTTCAACAATGTAGCACTGGGAAAACACTAGGAATTTGTCGAATAAATAACATTTCGTCGTGCAGTGAAGTAACCACAGTCACTGTGTAACCACATGTGCATGTACAATCAACCGCACAGTGAACAGTCATTGTTCCCTGTTCACACGTATGTCGGTCAAAAACCGTCCGCACGCCGTCAGTGCACATCATAAACACTTTATAAATCGACAAGTGTGGTAACTATCCTTGCTTTTAGGCACGAAAAATATTGTGATTGGAAAAACGGGAAGCTAAATGTCTCAAAGTTGCAGATTTTGTTCAAGAAAAACACGCTTCGCCACGGAGCTCTGAAGGAGTGGCCATGTTAAAATGCTGCTCAGTTTGGACCACACTGTTATCTTAGGGGAAGATAGCGAGATGATATTATTCACGTGAGGTAAACTCCTAGTTTCATAAAGAAATCTGAATTTCAAATCAATCCAAATTCTCCTTTAGGCTGTTAGTTACGGTTATACATGTCACTCTATCCGTTAATAAATTTGGGCGTATTGAAGGCACATCGGCAGTTTGTTTTTTACCCGTTTCCATAGACTCCAACGGCTCAGTGCATCACACACATTTTCATTGTGCCCATTAACACTTGTGGTATTTGAAGAAATTGTATTTTCCAATGGTCATTTGTCTGGACAATCTTTGGAGAAAGTGTAAAATCTCGAAAATGACGGCATTCCTGGTGGAGTTTCCGAGAGTGTCCGACACTATTATTTACTTACGTTAGATCTTGCAGATCATGTACACTACCTTAAAATCACTGACCTAGTCTGAAACAACTGGTTTTATCACTGTGACTTTAAAGTGCAATATATGTGAAGGCTTGTCTTAGTATTTTTTAATCAAGCTGCATATTCAGTGGGTTTTATTTGCATCAGTTTACTTGTTTATAAATGTGGAACAATTTACCTCCTGTTGGCGATTTTTATGATATAAACTCTTTTGTCTTTAGTAACTCTGCAAAGCATTTATGTAGTGATTCAGAGTTAGGTGGATTCTGCTGTCCAGTATTTTTTATACACCTTTTGATATGTTTTATAAGCAAGGGCAAGTTCCATCAAAGCTGTTTTGCTGAATGTGTATGATTACTTCCGTGTTGGCATGATGTTGAAGCGGATTTTCCACCCTCTTGGCATATTGCTGTCACTTGTTTAAACACTGAGAATTTTCCTGGTAAGCTTTACTGACAAGCTGGTTGCTTTTCTTTACTTGCATTTTTATGTAGATCAACAAAAAAAAGCAGGGGATAGTGAGGAAACTGAACAATGCGGAGAAAAATATTTCAGTTTGTCCCCCAATCCTCCATTTCAAGAAGTATTCTATTGCATTCCAGCGGGAGTAACAACACATACAAGAGTATGCATACTACTGAAAACTCAACTTGTACAAGTCCTGCATTCATTTTCATGCAAAATTTGGAAAACACTACCTCTAGTTCTGGTAATGCTATGCCCAATAGAAAAATCCATAAATCCTGAATACTTTTCTAAATAGCCAGACAAATCTCACCCCTGGCATAGTTACCTCAAGAGGTTTACATCAGCAGTAGACACGTCAGCCGCAGATGTCTGAATTTCTGAAATGAAACATTTAGGCTGTTGGTTCTCTGGTTGTCATGCATTTTTAACTGGTACCTGTATTTTGTTCTACAACTGGCTTGAGTTCATGTCCATGTATTCAGTCCCCGGCCTTTGTGTCCTATTCCTCGTCATATCTGTGCACACCAACTGTCCCCCGCATATTTCCTGCTTTTTCTTGTTACTTTATGCCTCTTTGTGCCTCGGTATTGTGTGCCCTCGACTGATCTCTATGGATTTGAGGTCAGTGGAAGTGCTCACGCATTAGGATGTAAGCGTAACCTTGATAAAAGCAACTGAAATTGGTCTGGGCTGCTCACAGCGACTAGATTTTCAGCTTGTGAGTTTCTACACAGACAGCCCCTACATTACAAGCAATCAATGCAGCTAAAATGCTGAATGAAATCATGCTGTATAAATGCTGATTTTTTTAATTAACATGCAACCTATACTTACGGTAGCTCAATCTTTGACAAGTATCAACCATTAACTCTTAAGTGGGCGGAAGAATCTGAAATCAAGTTGATTTTAAATGATCAAACATCAGAGTAGTTGTGTCAGCATAGCTGTACATGTAGATGTAAGTCCTTCCACAGCGGCCGGTAACATTGCATGCATGTATACATGTACATGTATATTGTGTGCAGGTTTTCATACATAGTGTGGACCTCTGCACAAAAACTTCTAAACTTCTTTTTCTGAGAAGCAGAAACATCCTGTGGACATATGTAAGTCCACAGAACGTCTTTCTTTCCTGTATTGTGTGGACATCTTTTGTTCACAAGTCCACACTAGGTATATAAGATTAGCGCAACGTTTCCCCTCTGAAAAACAGCTTCTGGGGCATTTTGGCGTCAGGGTTATCTGTGGCAAAATGAAGAGGATCAGTCCGGGAAATCATGAGAAATCCAGCTCGAAGGAGTTATCCTAGTGGGAGAAGACAGATGAATGTCCACACATGCACTTTGATGCAGGTGACATTTCTTCAGTGCGCTAGCAAACTGCAGTCCACACTTCAAGAACGTAATATTGCTGGACCCATTGTAGCACATACTTAATGTAGCAGACTCTCATGGAATTAGCTGGTAATATCAAATTAATTATTTTCTTCAAATTCAAGTATTCAATTTTGTTTCCTTCAAAGTACTATTAGCATTATTTACATACATGTAGTAAGTTTATGTTACAGCAGACACACTGTTATGATTTTTTTATATCTTTACATTGCTTGAATGCTTGCCAGTATTTTCATTTAGAAATGCATGAAGTGACAATGTAGGTAGGTATGCGTACGAATGCCTAGCCCTAGTTATCCTGTTGATTTTGGAAGCACTATTCAGTCACATTTCCTCCCGTGTGGAGGCTCTGAAGAACGTCCTCCACAGAGGGGCCAAACGCCAGGCCTGGAAAGCTTAGATAACCTGACCTTCTGAAACTCCGCTGACCAATCAGTTAAACTCTGCTTATTGCCCACATGGGTAATCACACTGCATGCTACAGATGTGAATGTACATCAGACTTTAGTTGGGCAGTCACTGCTGTGAGTGGTCACACAGGGATCGATCCAGTGTTTTCCCACATTCTATATTTAATGCAAGGTTCCTTTGTTGTGATTAGCCCGTTTAGGATGATAAACACTGGCTAAGAAAGCAGCCACAAACCTTCCAGTTTTATTGGACAGTGGCAGGAGAGTATGTTTACAAAAAGAAGACGTTAAGTCGACTCGTTTAACTCAAGAATGAATCTTGTACACAGGGACTTTTTTTACGCAATGCCAACAAAATACAACATGAAAGGAAACGAGTATATTTACAATAAAACTGATTTCATGGAAATTAAATAAGTGAGGTGTCCAGAAGATTTTGTTTAGGTCTTAAAAATGTGCCAATCTGAAGTCTAAAGTTTCACTCTACTGAAGCACATTACAGGTTATCACGCATGTACATATTCATGATTGAGAGCTGAACTCTTACTGGTTAATTCATCATGTGTCAGTTGCTACGTCCTTGCTGTTTATCAGGTGCACACTGCGCACAAGTAAAATAAATACGTGCAAGTACTGAACAGTTCCCCAGAAGAGGTCATAGAATTGTTGCATGGGTGAAGTACAAAAAGATGAGAACTGTTGCATGGGTGAAGTCCAAAAAGATGAGTGTAGCTGCGGCTGTGCTTTTATGCACACTGTACATGAACGGACGGGGACACACACACGCCTTTCACTTGTGCCTGAACTTGTAACGACAACTGAATGTGTCTGGCATATGGTAAAATAAATATACATGGGACACTGTTTATTTTGGGTTGATAGTTGACTTGAGCTTCCCTTGGTGTCTACGACGGCTTGACTTACATCGAGTCGTTAATTTACTGTTACCCCTATTTGCTGTTGTCAGAGCAGCTGCCTTATGTACTCGTGATGTTACACGGTGGTTACTGCGATGTATGCTAGGGTAAAATGAGCGTCATCCTTGCATTATACTGTCACCATGAGCATGTGAATACGGTTAATTCCAGCGACAACAATTTTCAAACCATTGTTTCAAATCTGAAGAATTATCTTCAACTGGAGAAGGTACAACTGCTCCTATTACTCCTTGTGATCGAATGTAATTCCTATGTGTACCATCTCCCTACTCGTGGCATACGATGTTCTCCCACTGTATCCCATGATGCACTGCGGTAAGCACTGCATTAACCATCAGCACATAGGGTTAAAGAGTACCAAAGCGTGACACCATGTTGAATCAGGAGGTGTCGTGCAAACTAATGGAGTATGCACTTGTTGGTTCTTGCACTGATGCCTTTTACACACATCATTTTGCACGTAACATATTCACTCCGGTACTCTATTCTCCTCCAGATTTATGATGTATCAGTGAGTTTCAGTGAGTAAATTTTGACACCATATGAAGGGGAAAAATGGGAAGATGGGCATTTAGATGAGGACGAAAAGAGCCTCCAGTGCCAACAGGCCCAATGAAGAAGGGAACTGGTCCAGTCTTTGAGAAGAGGCTGCATGTATATGACACCATGGTTTCATCAGTCTTCATCAAAGGTAATTTTCTTTCCCTGAAATGGTACAATTTTGGACTCCTCTTTGCGCTTCTTGCTGGCCTCCCAGGAGGGATGAAGGGTTTCTTGGGCAGGGGCTCCCTTCTGGGATGAAACGGTGGCAGCGGTGGGATATCTGGCTTGAGCTGGGCGCTGCAGGGCTTTCTGTCTGGACTGACTGGCCAACATCTGCTTGCTCTGGAGTCTGCTGGGGAAGAGTTTGTGGGATTTTTTCTCAAGGACATCTGCAGGAAGAAAAAAACAGACCGTGAACTCAAGATATAACGAACCCTGATATAACAAAATCTTGTTATGAAGAGCAAATTCTGCCAATCCCTAAATTCCTATAATTCTTGTTTTTCTTAGTTTTTCCACTCTTTTTATAACAACGTCCTGGTTACAGCAATGTAATTTTTCTGGTCCCTGAAACTTTGCAGAGGGGAGAGTGATTGTAAATATAATACGGGCGATTCACAATAGTGCGCCACCAAGAGTCTGCAACGCGTTGGCCAATCACAGCGTGCGAAATCTGTCGACCCAATGCACGTTCAGAAAGGGTCAACAAATTTCGCGCGTTGTGATTGGCCAATGTGTTGCAGACTCTTGGGGGCGCACTATTGTGAATCGCCCGTATTACGTAACTTTTTTTTTCATTTTTCTGTTATTCATTTACACGGTGTGGACATTGCTGATAATATTACATGTACCTCATAACACAGACGTATGAATGCTGCAGTACACATGCAAATGAATTTTCCTCAGTTATTCCCTCTTTCAGTTAAATCTTGCAGCACTCAAGTATTTGGGCTTGAGCATGGAAGTCAGTCCTCGTATGCATGTTATTGTTTCTCAGGCTATTTGTGCCAATAACTATATGTTTATTCATAACCTTTATAATAACCAGCATAACATTATGGACTTAGGAAGAAGGTCCAGTTTTAGAGGCAAGAGGAAACCGGAGTACCCAGAGAAAACCTGCGAGAGTGAGTATGGGTTGGAAACCAGATGCACTTAAAGCTTGGGCCAAGCCAGGACTCGAACCCGAGCCTCATTGGTGCAAAGCGAGGAAAGAACCACTACGCTAACCCCCCCCCCCCGGTCCTATGCATGCAATGCAGTGCACTTTGTTCACTCTTCCTATGATTAGCACTTGCATTTGCTTCTGTACAAAGTTACTCACTGATACTATTAGGGATTGTAAAAGAAACCTGACCTCTGCGAGTGTGTCTCGGCGGGAGATCTGGGTGGCAGTTGATACCGGGTATCAATTTCTCCGCCGTGGTTTGTCTGACGGGGTTTGGTTGGTCCACCATGGGGACCTTCTGCTTCTTTGTTTCTGGTGGTGATCGAGAACTCTCTTGGGCTGCTCTCACATTTGGCTGTTGCTTCTGCAGTCGCCTGGGGGACAAAAAAGATATTTGAAATCTTGTAAATTTTTGAAATAGTACACTGGCATTAAGGCAGAGGAATGGAATACTTCCTATCATCCACAAATAATAGACCCAAACAATGTGTATGTACATGCCATCATGTACATGAACAGAACATGTACATCAACTACATGTACATGAACTACATGTACATATACATGCACAGAACATGTCCATGTACATGTAGTTCATGTACACGTACAAAACTGTAGTTCCACCTTCAATTTTGTTAGAAAAGCAAGAGGTCAACTGAGGAAGCACCCCCCATACACCTAGTAACGCAGTTGGCAGTGGCATTACATCACCCATGCCACTTACTTTGCTTTGACTTTTTGCTTCTGGGACTCTTTCTTTGTTGTCTGTAACATCTGTGTGATGTCATCATCCTGCATACTTGACAGGCTTCCTAAAAACATTGAGTCCAGTTTTCTCTTCCCAGTCTTTCTTGACTGTGGAATATCAGAAACAATACTGTCTTCGGCAACTGGTTCCAATTTTTCTGTGTTGCGTTCACGGAATGACTGTTTTATAGCTCCATCTCCATTCTCAGACTCTGCTGAATCATCATCACTGTTCTCCCTGTCCCGATGCATCTTCTCCTTTATCTTCATCTTCTCCCAAGTGAGCTGAGCATCTTCATCATAATCATGCTCCCTTTCATCACCTTGTTTCCTCTCATCCAATGTTCTTATCTTCCCGAAGGTCACTTGCAAATCTTCGTCACTATCATCTTCACTGCCATCGTCCTTGTCACTTTCAGCCCCCTTTATCTTATCCAGTGTCATCATCTGCTCCAAGGTGACGTGATAATCTTCCTCCTCCTTCAGTCTGGCTTCGGCCTCTGCTTCAAATTTGCTCTTGCGGAGACGTCGGTGCTTCTTGGTTCCGGTCATGAGCAGGTCCTTGGTGACCATGTCTGTAATACAAAAAAATCTGAAACTTTGTTGGCACTGTCTATAAACAGCCATGAGAACTACTGAATAAAACTTAAAAACAATATCAGAGGCCAATATGTGGGGTCAAGTACATGGGAAAAATGGATCACTCAGTAAATTTTGGGTTTGAATGTACAGCTCCAATATGTCCTGTTACAGCCAACCCAACCCAATCAATGAAACTGAGGTCAAACCATTTTGACTTGTGTGGCAGGTAATTTGCATTACTCAATCACTCTTGGAAATTGAAGAATGTGATCTTAACCTACAGATTCATGTCAGATGTGACAGGGACATGACAAAGAAATTAGAGCCCAAATTTATAGAATGACCCACATACGGTGCATGACAACATGACAGAAGGCACAGGTGTATCTAAGGCCTTGTCTGAATTATTTCAAGATGTATTTTGTGTTGGGGAGATCTTAATTTGGTTAAGACATCTGCACTAGTAAGCAGGAGGTCGTGGGTTCNTATACGTTGGGTAAGGGCAAAACCCGTTATATAAATGTCTGAATTACTTGGCTACAGCTTGAAATTACACAGGACTCTATGAACCTTGGCAACAGTAGACTTGCGTAATTTGGACACGGCCTATAGCTGCCTTTGAGAGTCTTGACAGTTGCCACATGTACCTCTGTGAGAAATGGATACAAATGCAAGCTAGTGGCTTCCATGGGAGCATACATGTTGCTGATCAAAGCTCAGTGGTGCACCCAGGGGAGGGGTAGGTGAGCATCATTTGGGGGAGGGGGTGAATTCCGGTCCAAGTCCTCCCCCAACGACAAACCCTGGGTGCACCACTTCCAAAGCTACATGTAAGACATTCAGACTCGGTCAAACACTCAGCTACACCAAATTATTACTGAACTAAACACTACGGCTGCTGTGATGTTCACGGCGACAAATAATTAATGCCCTTTTCCTTTCACCCGAGGGCCTGTTTCCCCTTGAAATATCTTGAAAGAAAGTCCATGTACAACTTTTGGCTGTTGGGTTGTTGAAAGAATGGCATATAGGCATGCTGCTTGACACCCTGCGCAAAACCCTAGGAGACTGCTCTGAAAAATTTGAAGTGTTTTCTAAGTGAATACCTGTAACTCCCTATTTTCACTGCTGAATTTGTCTTTTTAGGACAGTTGATTGCTTTCAGACGGCTAATGCGGTAAGTCACTGCTGGCAAAAATTCATGACACCCGTACATGGAATTCTTTCCTTGTTTGTTTCAAGTAACTGCCAAGATTCTTCTAAAACTTTGTCTCCTTTGCCATAATTTTAGTTAAGAAATTAAAATATACCCCACTTTCCAAATTTAATACAACTTTCCACATAATCCTTAAGTACCAGCATTAGGGCAAAAAGAAAGCTCTTACCTTTAAATCTCGACACCCTTTCTTGTATGAGTTTGTGGTAGATAATTCGTACCAACACTCGATCCTTTGCAGTGGACTTTGGCTAAAAACAACAACAGATCAAGGATCACACGTAACAAAATCTGACAAAAAATCAGTAACACCAGATATCCCAAAGCAAAATCAACCACGACTTTCAGTTTAAATAGGCACATGTACAAGAAGAACGATACTTTGCAGCAGTCTTGTCGTCCAAGTTTTACTGCTCCTTTTGGTGACATCAGAGCCTAATTTCATGGCCCTGCTTAGCACCAAGTTTATGCTAACAGAGGCTCCACGTACATCATTGAGACTGTTAGCACTAAACACAGCAAAAGGCCTGTTTATCTCAGAGTAAGAACTTGCTTAACTTAGTGACATGTGTGCGCTACCACTAGCAAAACCACTCCATGAAATCAGTAAGCGAAATTTTCGACTGAAGTAAGCACAACTTATTTAGCAATGTCACGAAATTCTGCCCAATTTAGGAATAACAGAGATGGGTGTCCAATACGTGGATGACAGTGGATTTCCCCTTGTCCTTCACTTTTAGGCATCCAGGGCATAAATTCCTTTCATGCTACGTGTACATGTAAAAGACTGGCTGATTTTCCTGTCTCTACCGACGAATCTAATGACCATGATCGTTTACAGTGGCCCTAACCAATGGCGGAAAGCTTTGTGGTAACTATGATACACAGCCACTTTCACAGTCACACTGTACAAGACCCAACACAAAGCTTTCTGCCAATTAAAGGGGCCCATTTGGATTGTCCTGAGAGATGATCTTGGAGTCAGCTAATTAGTTGATTATTAGAAAAATATTGGTTTCTCAGTCTGCTTCAGGTTTTGGGGGTCAAGTCAAGGCAAGTGCCTTTATCTTAAAGAAAATTTTGGTCTGACTACAATAATGACAAATAATAGGAGCGCAAAATGACAGAAGCGTACGTTGTTGAGGACATCTTGAAGGGACCTTTTAATAGTCACAGCCTTCTTGGTGACAGTGTCTGGCTGAAGGTCTTTCATGGCTTCTATCTCTGCCACAAACCTCTCCGCTCGTCTCTTGTTCTTCAGCAACTGCTGCTCTGAGCCCCTGTTCAACGGTTTGGAGAGTTTTCAGGTATCGTTGCAGAAAGTGCAGCAAATCACAAGGGTCCGCTATTGTATACTGTACATGTATTTAGTAACTCTACAAATTGAATGAGTGTCAGTGGAATTCCAAATACATTTATTCCGGACACTAAAAATTTCTGATATCAACAAGTAACGTTATTTAAAGAGCATACACACAAAACAGCATTTAACCACTTGCCGCCGGGTAAAACAGTCCCTTGAATCACAAGCTGCCGGGCGGTGCTTTATGAATTTGACTTTAACATTCGTATTCACCTTACTTGTCACCATTGTTACGTCTATTATGGAGTTACATAACAGCTTGTTTGTTTGCCTTCAGCCCCCAGGAATGACAAACAATGGGCAGGCTGGACGATGCATTCGTCGGCCAGGCTGGCTTAGAGCGCTGCGGTCCTTCATGCCATTGTGCTTCACAATACGCTTACAGCCTATGGTGACTCATAGCAGTCATTCCTGTCCCCAACTTAGGCCACCCGGCTGTGTGAATTAGACGAATGGGTCCGCATTCGGGGACACCCGGCTCTAAGTGGTTAACAAACTGATTGAGAGACCATGACAGATCAATGCATACATTTACTGTGTAAAATCAACATGTTTTGCTATCTGAACAAGCTACCCTGCACCAGCAAACCAGGGAACAAGGTTTAGTCATTACTGACTGACATGAAGGAAAACAATACAGGCGTTTCACAACGGTGCGCCTCCAAGAGTTTGCAACACGTTGGCCAATCACAGTGCGTGAGATCCGTCGACCAAATGGGCGTTTGGAAAGGTTCAACAGATTTCGCGCGTTGTGGTTGGCCAATGCGTTGCAAACTCTATTATGAATCACTTGTATTCATTTTATTCAGAAATTCCTACTTTTTCTTTCGAAGCCTTGTAATCTGCCTTGTTAGAGAGTGTGCACTGAGTACTTTCACCCTTTTCACAACGTTCCTCAAGTTGACAACCTGAAAGGAGTAATACATATGAATTTAGGTAGTGCCGGAACAGCAAAACATTCAAAGCAAGTTACACATAAACATGGCCATGGAGTCCAAGCTCAGTTGGTAGAACCTTGCTGATTGGCTGCTGAAAAGTTCCATTAAGAAGCCAATGTCTGATTGACAGTGACAGTGAGAAGAAAAAAATGAAAAAGGGGCAACGTTTTCTCCTTTTGCCTTCCCAATGCCTATCTCCATGATCTATCATTGTGCAAAATCACCTTAGCGATAACACTAATATGTCATATTATTAACTCACTGTTGTTAATCATGTTAATGTAATGATAGCCCCTACCGATTAACTACATAATAATAACAATAAATAAAATAAAATACTAGGCTAGTACTGCTCTATAAACCTCGGCCCATACATGCGGCATGCTTATTACCTACCATGGAGGTAACCCCACTAGTGTGGCACAGACTCTCACTCCCGACCCATCAAGGATGGATCGGGAGTGAGAGTCCGTGCCCCACTAGTGGGGCTACCATGGAGGAAGTTTTCCTTCCTCCATGTTACCTACTAACTTTTGGCCGGCCTGGCCTACCTCATTATTGAACTGCACTTTATCCATCTTGTATTTGTAACTTCAAACTAGATTTACTCAATACATTCAACTACATGGTGTGTAGGCCTATTTGATATTCATCTCCATTTACAGAGCAGCCGACACACGAGAAACGATAGAGCTAGCTCAAAGTCAAATAAGGCCGGAGCAGAAATCAGTTGTCAATCCTCACGCGTAATTGTAATTTGTAGTACAACACATTACCCGTTCGCGTTATGCGGCCCCCTTTCCTCATGCAGACCATGTGTTGCAGAAGGGTCGAATGAGGGCGGTATGCCAACTTAACGATGTCTCTTACTCGGCTCAGGGCCGCGTCCGAAACGGGCTTCCAGAGCTACGGCTAGGTCTATTGTCTACGCGTCTCCACTTACTTTCAATGGAGCGAAGACCCAGACCTAACTCTAGACAACAGATTTGGATGCAGCCTTAGCATTTCTTGTCTAGAGCTAGGTCTAGGTCTTCGTCCCATTGGAAATGCGCGGAGACGTGTAGACAATAGACCCAGCCGTAGCTCTGGAAGCCCGTTTCGGACACGCCTTATGTGCCAGCTAGCTGAGGCTGGGCGCCAGTAAATAAATTGTCATTATAGCCAACAGTGATAAATACTTGAACTTCAAAAGATCAAGAAAAATACCCAGGGTTTGTATTTCAGGCGTTCAAGACACACATCAAATAAAAGCTCATTTTGTTCGATTTCTTTTCGAACTTCTATTCATTAAATGATGACTTTTTATGAAATTATTTCCTCAGAAGGTCGTCCCTACAAAGCAGCTGTGAAGCCCCTCGCCATTTTTATTTGAAAAATCGATGCCCGTGGTCGAAAAACTGTTTTCAGGCACCAATTTTTTCCAAATCTCACCAAGACACAAGCTGGCAACCTACGTTTTCTACAAACCTTCAAGTTCATGGGCCACAAAATGCTCTGTTTCGTAGAGAATTTGAGTGCATTGCAAGTGGTGACTTGGCCGGCGCAAGCAGAATTTCAGCCTAGGCCTGCCTGCACCATTGCGTATTGTGATGTGACAGAGGGCGCTAGTCACTAGGCACGGTGCAAAGTTATAGCTGGCGCTCTGCCCAGTATATAACAGAGGCAGATGTTAGGCGCGCATGGCTGTGTGTTGAGCAAGCGCGGCGCATAGGCTCCGCCTTGTGCGATATCGCATAGGGCAACGGAAGTCACTGCTTGGTCACGTGAGTGCGGGCGTGGTCAGAGCAGCGCGAAATCTATAAAATGCGCGCGCAAGCAAGATTTAGTCGTCCTGATCATACAAGGGCTGATCCTGGGGCGGGCTAGGTAAGGGTCGAGAATCCTGTGCAAGGGTTAAAGTCACCTAGCCTAGTGTGACTGTGCCTAAGTCCGAGTGGTGCGTGTATGTGTTGTTGCATGAGGGCTCGGTAGGTTGAGGGGCTGATTGGTGGTGCGGTATAGTTCCAACTCGGGGTACTTCACGTAAACCCGAGTCCGGACACATTGCTGATGATGATTACCGGATGATGATTATTGTGACCGCTAAGACATTTTTAATTTCACAAGTGTTAGTCGCCTCATTTAAAAAAAAAATTCCCACCCCTAAGACACCCCTTGAATAGTAATCAAGCTTCGGACTCGGCCTGGGTTTTTGTAGACGAAATATCCCGAGTTGGAAGCCACACGTACAAACTTTGTGATTTATAGAAATATCTCTACGATCGATCCTGATTATTGACCTCTCATAACCCGTGGAACGTGGATATAGACACTTTAATACCACCTCCTGAGAGGCTTTCACGGGAAAATGGGCTCAAGATGGAGATAATGTATTTAAAATACAGCAGCAACTTCTGTCATTATACAATCATGCAGAGTGCTCTCTTTGCTTCAGTCTTCTCCGACGCTAGCTCGCACAGAATGAACACCAAGCAATGTTGAAGACAGACTGTGAAGTTACATACCGCCCTCATTTTCAATATTCTCCCGATCCAACTCACACACGGGCAAATGAAAGCCTTCGCTCATTGCCCAGCAGCCTAGCGCCTGCTAGGGCGCTGGGCGACGAGCGAAAATGAACGCCTAGCATGCAAGCGATGTAAAGTACAGCAATGTACTAGAAGAGACACCATTAAGTTAGTATACCGCCCTCACTTCAGTCTTCTCCAACGCGCGCGCGCATGCGCGGACACAATAAAACGCAATCTTAGTGACAAACCGCCATCACTTCAGTCTTCTCATCTCCAGCACATGCACGCAATTATATTAATGTTAATTTTGCAAAACTTCCCATTGTCTGCGGCTTGGGAAGACATCTTAATGATGCCTTATGAAAGGAAGAAGCCCCGTCGTTAAGTTTGCAGGCTCTCCTCACTTGCCCTCATCACTTTAGCCTTCTTTAACTTAACGGTCTTAATAAATATACATGCCCATAAAAGCAACAAAAGGGAAAATCTATTCAAAATACAATAACCAATTCCGAAATTGGAATGCGCTTTCTTGCTTTTCTTCAGAGGGATGGGCTGATACGGTTTATGGCGTCCTCCCAACAGGCCATGATGAGAATAAAAGTTGTAGATTTGCGTCCGCCGCTAACATGTCCCGACGCCACCTACCCCCGTCCATTATTGTTTACAAAAAAATCATTATTTGTAAGAACTTATCACAAAATCAGAGTTCCACATCTTTTAGCGGCTGCATAAAACACCATATTTATACATTTTCATCCAAACTTAGCTCAGTTTAGATGGCTTTTGTATGTCCAGATGTCTGCTTGAGCTTGGCCGCCTCACGTGCGTCGGATCAGCTCACACGTTTATTTTCGTTCTACTGCCGGCCGTTTTTTGTTTTGATGATCCCTATTTGACCTGATCCATAAACTGATGAAGAGTCTACAGGTAGCTCATCCCCAGCAAGGCGATTGGTTGTGGTTTAGCAGTATTTTACTTGAAAAGTGTCTGTACTTGGAGGTTGAAATAAAATAATGAAAAAATGCCTCCTGTGTTTTGAAATTGTTAGGACACAAATATGCAAATTCTATTCTCACGGCCTTACAAACTGTATGGTTTTAACTTCAAACCAAAACTGCTGCCGATTTTCGGTGCAGTAATCTGCACATCAGTAGTCCGAGTATTTTACTGACTTTCGACTTCATTTGTCGTAAATGACACTTCTGGCACACATTGCTATGGGAGGTTGCCATGTTTGTTGATCTATCCATTAGGTTGGTTCTGGCTTAGGTTGTCAGCGTGCATGATAATAATCTTAAACTAGAAAAGTACTTCAGTACTTCCTTTCAGGAAAACTGCTTCTTTGACATGCACATCCACAGGTGCATCGAGAACTTTTCTCATCCTACGTCAGTTTCCAAACGATCACAGTTTCTGATGTGTCACACATCCTCAGTGTTCATTGTTGACACATGCACAAAGACAAAGAAAAGCTTTAGATGTGCACCTTTGTAACACAAGCAGACACACAAGAGACCATTTTTTTCCATCTCAACCTTTTTTTTTTAATAATCTTGACATTATGTTCCATTCTTTTCTTAACTGGATTTATCACAAACATTCAAAGCTTTGCCTAGCACATAATACTGTGTCAATACAGCAAAAATAACCGCGTTGTAAGAAATCTGCCGACAGAAGTTGACCTCCCAATTTCTTAATGCTATAATGCCTCCTGATATGTGTTCATCTACATAAATTAACTTGCTTATCCATAAACAGTGTATTCTGTAAAACCCAGATCTTGATTTAATCCATCTGGAGCAATGATGCTGGAGGTCGTGAATACCATACTCCCATATGTCTCATTATATTTTTTCAAACAACCACACAACAATAAATTGCACAGATGTTTCTGAAAGCATCACCAAAATGCTTCTTTTGCTGAAAGCAGTGCATCAAATCCATCCAAAATTTCTCAAAAATTATTTGAAAATACTTTGGGAAACATTGTAGGTTGAGATATTGAGACATCAAAGAACAAACAAGACGACTTGTTTCACACAACTTTTGGATTAAATTGGGGGAAGATTCATCTTGGTTTGGGCAAAAGAGGCAAGCCCTTTAAAGGCTAGATCATCCCTCCCACATCTAGCTCCTCCATGACGGGCAATCTCATAAAGCCCATGGTTTGAGGTTTGATTCCCTAATCCCATACACTTCCTCGTTAAGTGCACTGAACCTTTGAAAGATGATCTGGGGGTACTGATTCTTTGAAATTTACTGGTTTACACCATACTACAAAAGAAATGTCTACAGAAACTAGCACTTGACTTCATAGACTGGAGCTGCAAACCGGAAAATACTGCTTAGAAGATTAATGTGCTTAGCAAAACTCAGCTCTACAGTCATAAAAACTTCACAGTACATGACAATGTCTGGCATCCTGCTGTTGCTGAACAAACACTTTCTTTGCTGAACACATTTCTGTGCTTCCCAGCCCCCAGAAATGAACCCCAGGTTACTGTTTGGTCTGAGTAAAATCCTTGAGTAGTTGAGCTGACAACTCCAGATAGAGACACTGGAGGAAGGGGGCCAGAACTGACCAGGCCAGGGACTGACTCAAAACTGCCTTCGGAGAGGATCTGGAAACTGGCCTACTCAATATTAAGCTACGTCTACATTACTTGGCTGTGGCTAGTTAAAACACACAAGTAAATGTAGCCATGGGGCTGGGGCTTCCATAGGTTTCATATGTGCTATTATCTACCTCAGCCAAGTGATGCGGACCATGTTTAGACAAAGCCAAAATAAAGCTGACAATACACTTATTTATAGGGGGGCTTTGCTGTCATTTTTATGTCTCATTGTAAAACAAAATCCAACTCAATGCAAATGAACAGATTGCAAATATAGAGATTTGCCACGACTCTGATCACTTGACAGTTTGAAGTATCAGTGTATTTCTTGTTCAAGAGAAAACACTGAAAAAGCGCAGTGTGCACATTCATGAATCATCTTCTTTAGTATACAACTTTCAGAAACATCATGATCTGTCATCACCCAATACATGCTGACAGTACCTCATTAATGTACACGCATCTTCCTGAACCTTTGTGTTTTTTTTCACAGCATTTCTGTATATACCAGCCTCTGTGTTTGCTTATTGACTGCAGTGCATTCCCTTCTATTGTATTTCTAGTTACCAAGACAACAGACAATGAACCAGTTTGGTATTTCAACAGTACATGCCCAAAAATTAAGCGCGTCCTAAGTCATTCAGGAACAGCAATACATGTGGGCAAGGTCTGTGCTGCGCTATCAGCATGGCCATGTGCCATGGCTCATTTTAGAAAAAAGGCTCATTTAAAACCAGTTTGAATGACACAGAAATGGAAGAAACATCTGAAATAAAGATTTGCCTCTCATTTCCCCAAAAAACATCTGTTGACTAACCCAGACCAGAAGCTGCATGAGAATCAAACAAGGTCACTTTGTAACATTATAAAGGAAGGACACAAACTCTTTGTGCCTTTTGGATTGGCCTCTAACATAAACCCTTGTTACAGGGCAGGTACCTCCAAGTTGATATGAAAAGAAAGTACTGTTTTGGTGTACAATAATAACAATAATAATAATTACATTAAAACATGCTTTTATTTACAAATATGATTGCGGTGATGTGCAATCACTAACGAAAATTGTTCCTTTGCAAATACTACATAAAATAAAGATGATAGGACCTCAATCATTTTGAATTATATGCACCAGCATTAAGCTCATCTGATTTGTTTGAGTTGCTCTGAAAACATACTTAAATTACACCATGCAATGAAATCTGCAATATCGTCATGTGAAATCCCTTTCAGGAGTCAGCAGAGCTCTGACGACAGATGGAGTATGTTTTTAGAAGTGTTAAGTATGCCAGTTCTTTTCAGAATTCCACTCATTCCTAATAGAGATTTCCAATGGTGCTACCACAATCTTCATCGATATTACTTTGTCCACCATCCAGAAAACAACACTTTTGGCTGTAGTGGGACATGGCAAATATAACTGTGCAGAACACAGAACGCATCAAAGGAACAAAAGCTCTTCCAGTCATTAGTCAGTCTTTGGTCAAAACAGGCCCTCAAAAGTAAGTGTTATGTGCTTTACTCTATGACAGAATGTTCCATTAAAGAGAAGAACACAACACCTCGTCCTTTGCAGTAAAATCATTTACACCTATGGAAGCCACTGGCTGTGGCCACTTCCCATACATGAATGTAGTTTTGCCTTCCACAGTCAAATCTCACAGGCAGAGGCATGACTGATCTTGAATGGTATTGGGAAAATAAGTTCTGTTGTTTGTATTTGAGGTGGAGAGGGTGGGGCTCCATGGTGACGGGGGGGTGGGGGGTGGAAGATATCAATTGGCAATCTGTAAGGTGGCATCTACGTGTATATAGCTCAGTAGGTCTCTGAACTGATGAGATCGTGTTTTGATTGCAAGTGCACTTTCCTATGAAGTCAGATAGGGGTGATGGGTTGGAATCTATTACACTGGAGGCTTGGGTCAGGAGGCATCTGTGCTTGCAACATGGGACAAACACGTTGTGTCACAGTGTATGTATTTGTAGACGAGGAAGCATCTTGTGTCTAGCTCTAGAGCTAGGTCTTTGTCAGTTGCAAAAAAGCCTACCTTCAAGGTGGACCTAATTCTGAATTGGGAGCACCCAAAGAAACAGTGCATCTCGTATTTCCACAGGCCAAGCCATACATATTTATTTCATAGGTGTGGAGACAGACTCTCGTCAGTATATCGACTTTGTAGGGACAGCAGAAAGTCCCCATAATGAGGTCCTCACTTGCCTAACAATAGAAAGAAAACTTCCCCATTACATGGTGATGGCCTGTCCACACATACTGGCAACGAAGCTGTGCAGACTACGCACGTGTTTAACTCAAACAATGCATGCACTTTTTATGGGGAAAAGTTCGTTATTTATGACAAACTCAGTCTAAAATTTCCTCACTCAAAAAAGTCCCCTCAACAATGGGCCAACCAGGGCATTGGTATTAACACATTATTTATGTTATAAAATTCAAAACAGAAAAAAAACAACAAATATAAGGCCCACATTTTACAAGATGGAGAGATATCTACAGATGTACATCTCTCTACAGAGAGATTTTCGGGATGTAAAATATCAGGCTAACAAACATTAATCTGGAGTAAAACAAAAGAAATTCATTGTTTACATGTTTTATTTGAGAGAAAAATTACAAAATTTTTTCCTAAAATCAGAAATTACAATTTTAATGAGTTGAATTGGTACGGACTAGCAGAAAGTACTTAATGTCAAATATAGATTTTCATTACGTGTGGATTAAAAAAAAAATGAAAATGCCACTTTATATTGATATATGGGTTTATGATGATAAAACAAATACTTCAGACACTGAAAAGGTGTAGGATTTTTACTTTCTCTGATCTTTTGTCAATTCTTTTTTCAATTCTTTAAGTATAAACTATGCTTATTCAATCGCTATGTTGTGAAAGGAAGGGAAGCATTTTAACCAAAACACAACAGCTTCTTTATCAGCTTGGTCTCTCTATCTCGACACGTTTTCTTACGATATGAACTCTCCCTGTGATGATCATACAAAAACTGTGTTTGTGATTTCTCCATGCTGTGACAATTACAAAGGGGGGGTGCTTAATTGTTACCCCTGCTCATCAAGCCCACAAATCATGCTTACAGTCATCTTGGCTCACTGTCAAGCACACATTGCACGTGCAGTAGCCACTCAATGGTGGGATACCGTACGGTGCACTGAGTTGTTATGTCTAAGCTCACAGATCAATTACACTACTGTAATGTCATGATTGCCAAAGCAGAATTATCAAATGAAAAGGTAGTTTTAGACTTCAGTCTTTGCAATGCCGCTAAAACATGATACACCTGCGTGACCATTCCAAACACCAACAAAAACACAGTATCCACATACAGTTGACATAGCCTGAGACTTCTCAGACGGGCACAGCACCTGACAGTGTACAGAGTAGTACTCAAGACCGCTTAAGATGATCATAAGACCCAGTACAGATCATTGCAAGACCAACACAAGGTCTCCCGTCTGAATTCAAATCACAAGCTATTCACACACACTGCGACAAAAGCATTCGTTTGTCACTGTTCAAATCTATTACTTGTGACTGGCCTTGGGTCTGGTCTTGTAACTGGCCTTATGTCTAATCTTGTGTCTGGTCTTGTGTCCGGTCTTGCAATGGTCTTGACTACTGACAGTGAGTAAGGCTAGCCACACTGACCACAGCATTGAGAGCACAGAATAGAGATACTTGAAAGTGCCATGAGCACGGGTCCCAAGCAATAATTCTGAAAGTACACTGCTGAAGTTTAGACCAAAATACAAACGGATGTGTAGGCACTGATACAGTTCTTGTTTCAAAGCTGAAAACAATAACCAATCACTCTTCATATCAACTACAAATTCTGTTTAATGATTCATCGCACCATTAAAAACAAAGGGGGGCAATATTCCCACCTGACTGCCATTAACGAAGGCGTTTCTTACACTTGACGTTCAAGCTATAAAAGGAAGAATCTGTGGCGTTTAAACAGTAAGCCTCGTATTACAAATACGCAGTGAACGCACAAGGATGTGATTGAGTGTTTGTGGATACATTGTACTGTACATGTCCACTGTTACACAATGCTGCCATCTTAGACAATGCTGCCAACCACTGTACGTCACTACATGTATGTCAGCTTTAATTGTACAGTTGTGGTCGACATTCATTATCAACATGGATTTTCTTCAATTTGTCATAGGATTAAGATAAGTGCACATGTATGTGCTTGAGAAGAAATTTCTTTCTAGTGTAGAATCTATGGAAATGGCATCAGCGGGTATTACTTTGTTTTTTTACCAAAACGCCCACTGACATGACTTTGAGGATTTACAGACCTTAACTAAAAGTAGCCTTTGTAGGTATTTATACTGATAAGTATCAAAATGTAGAAATTGAAAATCTATGTAATTGATAGTCAAGTTTTTGAGAATTCACTCAAAAATTGACTTCCTTGTTAAATTACCAGAACACTTACTCTATGATGAACTGAAAAGCAAACTTATATCTGTTATAAATAAAAATAATTTTTTCCAAATTTAATTTATTCATGATTTTGATGGAGTGAAAAACATGCATTTTTTACATCGTAGAGGGAACTGCTTCTCTGGTGATCACGGACTCGCTAATGGAAGGCTAGTTCGACAACAAAACTTTCCATCAATCATTAGGATCAACAACTTACCTGGCTACCAGGGTTAGGGGTTTGGACCAACAGCAGTCCTACAGAAGCCATCACATGGCCTCATTTTGTATAGACTTCTTTGACAGGGAATCAGTTTTGCTCACATTACCAGCCAACATAACATTCGACATTAACTCTTTGTGCTAGCACCTCCGCAACATTAAAAAAAACCTGACTTCTGTAGCACAGTGACCACAGCGAGCAGGTAAACATCACCTTGGTTTGAGTAGCTCCTCACCTCCAAAGACTGACAGCGGTGTGTGAGGTCCCCACTTCTTCTACTGGCTAAGCAGATCAGCGGCTCGTTGGATCATACCAGGGTCGTGGACCGCCCCATGTATTGATTCCTGTTATGTGTCAGCATCTCTGTGACTGCCAGCAGCTTCTTCAAACTAGGCTGTTATACAACGGACGAATGTTTTGAAATTAATTCGCTTCAGTTGAGGAGCTTGTATTTTGCTGAGAACAAAGACTGCATGCCTGGTAACGGTGAAATGACGAAAGTGATGTGTTCATTTAAATTCATCAAGGGGGAATTAAGATGGAAACACCTTTGCACAGATAAAAAACAACTTGGGAATTCAAACGCAACATAAAAAATTTACGCATAATATGGGGAAATAAAGTAAATTAACAGTCCCTACATTTGTTAGGCCAATATACAGTGTGTTTTAAAAAAAGGAAACCGAGATTAATTTCTTCATTTTCTTGGACATGGCTGAAATTTTGGAAATTGGCAACCACCATTTATTAACTAATGATGGCCTCTTTCCTATGACACCAAGAACTCTAATTTACTGTCACAGATGACTGAGCAGGAAGCAGTTCAATCAACTGAATAACTGCCACAGGGACAACCAGAAGGGATTAGTACAAGATAATTAAATAAAAAACCACTTTGCATGGTTTCCACCTGTGTTTTCTACATTTCCACAAATATGACACATCCTACATTTCAGACATGCTTTGTTTTCCAGAACAACATTGTGCACAAATGCAAAGGGACCACATGAAGCCGTTTCCCTATCTATATATCAGGTCTCCTCTAATTCCAGGCACCAGTATTTTTCTTCTACCTGAACTACGCTGAGTTGTTGTAATTCTTTGATGTAAGTAACACACAGTTGGTGCAGAGCTGCAAGTTGCCTGGCTAGATCAATGGGAGGAACTTCCCCTGGGGGTGGACACTCGGTGACAGTCTGTGAGGAAAAAGGGAAAACAAAACCGGAAGTGAGACACTGAAAGTTGAAGGAAATCATGTGTGATCTGTGCAAGCAAGCAGCAACTCTTTGATGTAAGCCTCTTTTGTAACAAACTGTAAGTGAATGACAGTTGGAGAATTACTTGTCTCCAGATTGAAGTTGTGAGTCAAGGGTGGTGGCTGTTGCCACTTCCAACAGGGTTGTGTCTCACATCAAGCCGCAGCCAAGTGATTCAGACACTGCTTACTTGGCCATTCGAGGAGACAAGCTTGCAATTTCTTATCATACATGTACAAAATGATGAATTTCGACAGCAAGGCTGGTGTCGCATATGCAATTAAATAAATCAGTACCCTGATATTTATTTACAGCAGAGCTTCCGTGCGATTCTGGTCGGTGTCTTCATACGAGTGTTTTGGACAAACCTGACTCTCTTATTCAGTTACAGTTGTGGTGGGATAATGTGCACACTTATTAAGAAAGGGGGACTAAACCTAATAAAATGGACTAAAAGTCACCACAACCACATTTGCGTTAAAGGTTTCTAAACGGAATCTTGCACAAAGGAAATCAATCCAGACCCTCGATATTTCATCCATATCAATTTCTATCAGGCTGGCAAACTTGGTGATACATCAAGACAAAGCATTCAGTTGGCTCTTTCTAATACCAAGAGCCAAACCAAAATTTACTCAAAAAAATAACCTGAAGACTGGAAATGGAAATGGTCATGAAAGTGACATGGGTAATTTGATAACATGACTTACAAAGTTGATCAATACCAAGCTCACTGTCAGCCGTGGAGGCAGTCATAGTAACTACATTGTAAACGCCAACTCCTTTATGGCCAGCAAAAGAGAGAAAATTGAGTCTGGAGTCATCACTAGACAATCAAGAACAACTTACCGCTAATTCGTTAAGGAAATGACACATCCTGCCTTTGTTGATGACAATGTAAGGGTTGATGACCACCATGTAGGCCTCCTACAAATAAAAAAACCAACAACTCACAAATGTGATTAAAGAATTAGGGAGACACCATACGATTCAGGGGAAAAATAACTTTCAAAACATTACATGACACTGAGTGTCACGTAATGACACAATCAGTCCTTCATTCTCATTCAGACATCTTTGTACTTCCGCGTAGCTCGCCGCAGCGATTTACTGCATGGAACATCGCCCTCGCACGGAAGAGTCGACCATTGGCCGGACTTTCACCCTCTCTCGGACCAGGCTTTCCGAGGCTTTATGCTTACACATAACTTGATTTTAAAAAAGCTGACCTGAGCGTCAAACTATAAAACGTGCACATACGTCCCAAGACAGCAGTGTAAATTCCGTGTTAAAGAATCCTGTTCAAAATCTTCAGATGTGATTTCTGCCTTGCCTTCCTCAAAACAGGAGGACATCATCAAATTTTACAACAGCTCACGATTAAATACTGACACCAGTCATACACTGGAATGCTTTCAATCAAACTGAAATGAGAATACTTTATCTTCAAATGGTTTGTTGTCTTATCTGCTCCGAGCAGGAACAAAAGAGGGCGTGTTTTGAAATGAAAGTAACAGTCCTTTGGTCTTCATGTGCACGCCAAACACATGCAAGAACCCAGTTAGAAAACTTTGCAGTTTCCCAATACTCAACTTCGTCTCCATCTCAGGCTTTGTCTATGAAACTAATCCCCGATTGTGGGCCAGACAGTACCATCTGTTTCTCTTTCGCAGCTGAGGGTGCTCAGGGTGAAGAGCAGTAGCTAATTAATTTCATCCAACTTGTGCACTAGATTTTTTTAATCTTTCAGTCAAATACGTGTTAATCAGAACCAACACTGCATCGCAACCAAGGACCTGGGCCAGTGTTGCATGATATTACCATGAAAGTTGCTTGCAAGTACCTGCACCTGGGCACTTACCTTGTAGTTAGTGCCAAATTCCACCTGATTAGCCAGATTCTGTATCGCCTTGGCAACAATCATGAGAGTGCGACTCGCCATGGGTGACGCAGCCTCTGCAAAAGGAAATGCGCAATTGCACCACCACACCAACAATGAGAAAAATTCAAAACAATGTGGCAAACGCACGCAACCAACAATCTCCGTTTGACGTGAATACATTGTTCAGCCCTGTGCCACACGTTAGAGGATTTGCACGCGGCATCATAAAGACAAAAATGCCTTACCTGTTCAATGTCTCACACACAGTGCAAACCAAAGATTGTATAGCGCCAAAGGCAGAAGATGGATAACTCTGCCCAACAGATGTAATTACCATGGGCGCCATTTGAGCAAGCGATATGCCTGCGCAGTTTACAGTAATGCTTGGGTGCAGGCTCACCAGGTGCACGTGCCTGCCGCGGCGCCTGCGCATTAATGTGTATTGCGCAGGCGTATCGCTTGCTCAAATGGCGCTTATGGGATTACAATATTTTACGTGTATTCACAGTGAAGTTCGCATCTTGCGCCGCTTTGCTGCGCTATACGATCTTTGGTGCAAACAGCATTGCATGTGTATGCTACTGAAGGTAACACAGCAGCGAGTAACTTAGGTCTTATGAAGTGGTAGTCTGGAGGTAAAATCTGTATGCGTTTCAACACACTTGTCCCATGAAAGTCTGCACAGGACTTTTCAGTAGTTTTCTTGGCTTCGTCAGCACGCCCTAACTTGTGTTACAAGCACAGAGCAATAAAACTTAAGATTTAAAGAAAAAAAAGGGACACTTCACAGCTCTTGATTCATCTGAGCAAGAAAGTAACTCCCAGGAGTCACACACTGCAGACTGGAATGACGCCAAGCTAACTTTTGATGGAAGAACACACATCTTTGAAATGCAAAAGGTGTGCACCGGAGTAACCACACGTCATACCTGTTACGATGTTGAAAAGCCTGGGGTTGAGTATCGCTGGACATATGAGCCGTAGAAAGATAAACCCTCTGTGGAGAAATACAAAACAATGGATAGTGATGAGGTACTAGTGTATGTCGATCACCAAGGACAGTGAACTTGACACCAGCAATTGATAAAATGTCCTCAGCATTTTTATTATAACATGCCTTCGTATCATGACGAGTCTAGACTTTTGATAGAAAAAAACCTTGTGAGAGAGAGAAACAGCAGACAACTGAATCACTGCAGCGTACCGTCGAATGTACACTGACTGTGGATTTCTCATGCATTCTGTCAAAAGCAGACTCTTCGAGGTAGCTGGTCCAAAATCGGTTTTTATCCCCTACTCGCTGACTGGCCATTTACTTGCATGTGAGACTTGAAGCGTTTGGGAGGATGTAGTGAAACCAGTCTGCGCCCAGCCAATTTAGTTCTATAGGCTGGAATTTATCTCCGGTTTGCTACCAGGCATCACCAAATGATTGAGACTATTTCTACCCCCCTTGGAGGGGATGCCAGTCAATCACAGTTTGCTCCCCGGTGAATGCTAGGACTCACTAATATTTGTAGGTTGAGAGAGGCAAGCAGGGATGAAGCAGCAAACCCAAGCCTGCAACTTATGGCCGGCAAATGGATTTGAACCCCTGACGTTTTGGCCGTGAGTAACAAATATTATCCATGATTCATAAATACCTGGGAAAGTTTTTCTATTCCTATTGGTTGAAATGCGACTATGTATCAACATTAACATAGAATAAACAGGTATTTATGAATGGGATTTGGTTTGAACAATAATCACGTCCGTTCTCCTGAGCCGGCATTAAATGCACGTTTAAGACCGGTCAAGCACATACTTATTCCCTTATTGAAGCAGGCTTTCCCCTTTAAAGTCATGGCAAAATCAAGCCAGTTCGGATTGATAAAACGCAGGTGAATTAGTGTTCGTATTTTTGCACATCAAACGCTACCCCGAGGACAATTTGCTTTTAAAAGAATATGCCGCACGGGGTATATCCCACACACTGTCTGGCTCATGCTCAGTCACCATTCCCTAGCAGCCCACCCACCCGATTGCCCGAGCCGTTATGTTGGGATCGTCTGGCCACTTTTGCCTCACGTCCTGCTTCAGACACCAGCAAAGATACCTCAGTGCCCTGTAACAAATGGTAAAATACATGCATGACACAGTTCAGTGGTTCAGAGGTTCTGTGTGTATCCAACTTGCAGAATGTACAAAGGGCTGGAAATGACCTGGAATCGTTCTTAAAATCACAAATGCAAATTTTTGAAACAAGACAAAATATCTGACTTTTACAGCAAAATTAGTGTACTGCCAAACAGATATATAGCAGTTCTGACTACAATCCAGGCATGCCTTTGTCTGAGATCTGAAAGGATTCCAAGCTAGTTACTAGATAACTAATGTGGGAGGGCACAAAGCATAGCTAGTTGGACTACAATATGTAGAAAATCGCCCGAAGAAACTCAGAGAGCATCAATTGTGGATTTTTTGCCCTGCCCGACATGTGTATTACAACACTGTATACTCAGTGTTTGCCCCCGAAGGCTTGTGAAAAAAACCACAAGCATACATGTACTCGGGTGGGACTTGAACCCACGACTTCCTGCTTACTAGTGCAGACATCCCAACCACTCCATCACTGAGCTTGCCGATGTCAGCTGGGTGGTTCGAGTCAGGTGTAGCAGCGGGTACCGCAAACAACTATTTCCAAGGGTAGATTTGCGCCGAAGGGATGCTGATTAATTTTTGGATTTTTTTCCCCTGCGCGACGTGAGTATCACTTATGTGACTAAAAGAAACAGAGGAAAGGGCTGAGCCAAGATTCATACAGACAAGAAGACTTACGGAGGGCACATAGTCCCAGATGCAAAGATGGACTCGATGATTTCCTTCAGGAACTCCAACAAATACTCGCAATTCTCTGATACATCATCTCCCTTTTCTACCTTGAGTGGATTCAGCTGCAGAGACAAAAAAGCACAGGTCTCAAATTATCATGGTTCACAGATGCTTTTATTTTATAATTTGTTACATCTTGAATCAAAGTTTTGTCACAAATTTTCACCGTATTTTCATTCCACTTTGCTTCTAGCTCTGCTCTCTTTTTATTGTTAACTTAAACTTCTGGTAATGTTTGTTTGATCTTAATTATTGGTGTTAGTAGTTCTTCAGACATGCAACTTAAACAAGTGATTTGTTGAAATTCATTTTCAGTGCAAAGAACTCATGATGTTGTACTCTTTGGAATGTGCAAAATTTTGCTGGTTAGTAGACCAAGGTTTCCCCAACGCTGCCGACGAACATGAGGTGGCCCAAAAACTTTGACAAAATTAAAGTGCCAACAAAAATGCGGCTGACCACACCGAAAGTGCCCAGAATAATTTCTACATACACCATACTTTTGTGGTAAATTTGCACTCAATTAGTTTCCCCTGGACACATCAGTCTTGTATTTTGAGGCCTTCAGTACCAGTCAGAACAAACCCAAGGTGAACCATGCTAAAATTTGTTGAATTTCTGCAATGTTGTTCTTTCCATTATTTTCTTTTTTTAAAATTCAGCTAACAAATTTGTTTTAACAAAGGGAAAGGTGGTTACTAACATTGGTGAGGTGCGTTGCCTCACATTTGAATACGCTGGGAAATCCTTCTGTACGCTTAAAATCAAGCGACATGTGCTGCGGAAATGCCATAAATCCAAGTGCTTCTGAAACCTGGACTGTCTCTCTACTGAGATTCCTACCTCACACGAATGCTTGGACTCCATTATCTTGATAATGACATCGTGCAGTGCGTGCTGCACAAATTCCTGAGCTGTGATCTTCATGTACTTGTCCATCAGCGTTGTCGCCAGCGTGTTAGAGCGAAACAGTGTAGACTTCTCCTCTGCAAAATAGTGGGGGGGGGAATGAATTTGAGGGGACACAATGCATGTGCGTAGTATCTGACAAAAAAATTGAAAGTTATGTAGTATAAAACAGTTTAACCGGAGTGAAACTTAGAGATAATGAGAAAGTCCACGAAACATTCACTAGAGGAGTTGGAACAACAACATTTTCAATAAAACGCTGTGATTTCTCAGGGCTTTCAATGTTTACAAGGAATGAGTTCTCTCTTGAATGGCTAAGCTATGATTTTGTAAATCCCGTGCATTTTGTACCAAGTGTAAGAAACAGCAAAGCAGGGATAGTTAGATCCCTACAATGATAAAATTTTGGGTCGCAAATCTGACGCCTTGTATTAAGGCTGAGATTAAAACATGTTTGGTGAAGTTTGTAAGGTCTCTCTAAATCTTGTGTTCTATAAAAAATCCCTTATCTTAGCCAAAACACAAAGTTTTACACTATAAACCAGATCCTTCAAAATCCACCTGAAGACTTGGGAGGATGAGAACTAACCAGCGAAAGTTAGTTTGCATGAGGCTTTGCTGCCCTGTGATGGTTTAATTACAAAGAATGTCCCACTGACTTTCTGTACAGTGAAGCTCTTTAGAGATTACTGGCAAGTGTGCCTTTGAAGCTGGGAGGGGGGTGGAATTCAGTTAGTTTGCGAGCCATAAGGGGTTGCGTAAAGGTTCCAAATCCAACCCCCTTCCCCCCACCTTCTTTTTCAATCTCCCTGCTGTTGAGTTTCTTCAGCAGCTCCACTTCTTTCTGTTGGTGGCGGAAGATGTCCAAGAGGATGCTGGCAAGGTTGGACCTGTCTTTGCAGCAGGCATCCTCCAGGGCATAGATGAAATGATAGTCACTGTCGCACAGCACCAGCTGGTGGAGAAATATGAACAGGAGACACTGTACTTGCTGATGCCAAAAAAAAAAAAAAATACCTTGGCGGGAGGATGTTAGACTTGAGCAAAATGGGCTTTTAATCTGGCATTTCTATGTGAGAACTACGTTAGGATGTCATCATTCTCAATTTACGACTTTTGCTCTTTGCTTACAGTTTTGTTGTCTATATCCAGTCTAATTCTGAAGATGAACTGGAGCTTCTCATCAATGACCCTATGATAACGTGCAACAGGACATAACTCTGAATGCTCTGTACCAGCATGATCTGCACTTTTGCAACAGGTTTTGTATGTTGACCTACTTCTGACGATCCTGTTGCTCTTTTTGGGTAAGTCTAAGAAAAGGTGCCATTTTCTGTTTACACAATAAGCACACTCACAATCTAAAAGTCCTTGTGTATTTATCTCTATCTAGATGCCCAACTGCTGAATAAAGACAGAGAAATCCATGAATGTCTGAGGGTAAAATGTCTGTCGTGTCCACAGTGTTGGCAAAATTGTGGACATTCCTGAGTATACAGTGGTGGTTAGAAGATAATCTTTGGCCAGACAGAATGATCGGGCAGGCCACACACCTCTTGAAGACTACGATACTCCTCCAGCGGCATGAGGGTCTCCTGTAGGAACTGGGCCCTGGTTCGTATCGAACCCATCTCCCCTCGTCCCTGGGAGGTCAGAGCGATCAGCGTGTACCACTGGTCCACCACCACCCCGTTGGGTAACTGTACCAACAGCAGGGTGGTGCGACACAGAGGGATGGGCTTGGCCCGCTTGGCACCGTTGAAGATGTCTATCGTGAAGGAGTCGATATCATCAGGGAAGTCACTGAATGATAACCAACAAGATGAATGAGTTACTTGTAACCCAGGAAACCAGACTGATTTTGTTAATTGTTCTGGGAGTACGGATAAGCTGCAATCTGACAGCTTAGTGTCACAGCAAATGTCACGATGAAAACAACTACTGGCATGAATCTTGCCCTCTCTTTTCGAGAAACATGAACTTGCACTAAGATGGTATGTAATGGTTTAGGCCAGATTTCGTAGTGGAGTCTGTTACAAGAGTTTGCAAGTCAATCACAATTCTATCACGATGCCGTCAAGCGATCAACAGGACAGTACACAATAGTATCCGGAGTGGCACATTCAACATGGCCCTAATCATTCCAACAAAACTCCTCCATCTGCGCAGGGTCTGGGACTATATGGATGACGAATGCTAAGAAAATGTGAGTCCATCAAACCTAAAGCTTGAAAATGCAAAGCTTACTTTTTTTCAATAATTGTGCACAAAAACATGGCAATCAGCCTACCCCTTCATTCAAACACAAATTCCTTGCTCCAGATGGTGTGGGTTCAGCTTAATGCAAAGACCTAGACGCTGGCTTAAACTAAAACAAAATGTGAACAATTCACTTGTGAAAGAATGTGCACAAAAACACTGCCATCCATGGCTCCACTCACTCAAACACAAATTCCTCACTCCAGACGGGGTCTGGGGCCACCTGGATAGGCGTGCGGGCCACCTTGATGTTGTTGAGGGAGATGACGCAGTATGGGTGTGAGATCTGACGGGAGGGGATCTTGTGAGCCTCCAAGATGTGCAGGCTGAGGCTCTTCAGCTGCTTGATGCCGGAACTCTTGGCCCGTGTTGTCTGGGTCCAGCTGGCCCTTGTACAGCAGGAGCGCAGGACCTGGGTCCAAGTCTGGTGGGGAGGGGGTTGAGGATACAGGGATTTTAATAGATTTGATTTTAAGTAAGTGAAAAGTTTTCACAGCAATCTGTTAAATTTAGACCCGACTGTCACAACCTAATTAATATGCAACAAACAGTTCAAACTGCTGCCACTTTAAAAAATGTTAATATTTTACACATACATGCACTTAAGTGAAATTGTTCAATCCATTACGGATTACTGCTTAAATCTAAAGGGATGGAGTTGAATGTAGTGGTATCCGCTCTGAGCGGAACAAAAGAGGGCTTTTTTTTGGTACTCACCGCAAAGGATCACCAAGAAGCGTGCAAGAATATATGTGTGTTTGACGCGGAGCATGCGTAACTATTTTATTCCGGCTTGTATGGTCTTTGCATACACGCAGAACGCATGCAAGAACCCGGTTGTAATAACCTGTCTTTCTTTCGCCGATTGGGGGTGCACTTCAGCACGGGGCAGATAGAGTACCAAAGTGATCAAAAGAAAAGGCCCTTGAATCAGCGACAAGAAAATGGAGAATTTGACTAGGCATCGATCACGTCAGGGTCACCAATTTGTAGTCAAACTACTTTTAAATGGCCTAAGCTTAAACCACATAGATATTTGTATCCCCTGAGGGCTGCTTTGCCCAGAAATAGAAGGTTAGGTTTTGGCAGACTTACGCTGAAAGCANTTTTCCAAGGGGCCAAAAGGTAGGGGGAAAAAAAACTTGGGGAAAAAAAAAAAAAAAAAAAAAAAAAAAAAAAAAAAAAAAAAGGAAAGAAAAAAAAAAACAGAACGATTTCAATACCTGGTTCGGCTGAACTGCCGAACCAGCTAAAAAAAGAAATGATCCGCCTGGGATTCTACGCAGTTCTGTGCACTTTCTTTATCAAAACAATTACACTAAATAATTATTATTAAGAGGATACAAGTCACTGATAGGCCACGTCTCCGTGGCTTACCCTTAGCTGTGTACTAATGCCAAATGGACCACCACAGGGACGTGGCAATATCAGCACACTGAAGGTACATGCTGGAGAGTGAAGCAACCTCCAAGTCCAAAGTCAGTGAGGAAAACAAAAGAGGGCGTGAGAGTGACGCAGGCTGTGCTGCCTTTATCTGCCAGTGCATCTGGAAAGAATTCTTATGCAAATGATCTGCGGCTTCGGTGGAGTCACTCCATCAATGGTGGCTCTACAAATATGCCACGCGCACAATGATGTGTGTAAAAGGCATCTGTGTGAGAACCAGAGCGTGAACCAACACGCACGCGTACTCCATTCATTTTCACTGCACTTCTTGGTTCAAAATGACGTCAGACTTAGGCTTTGGTTGACGCAGGTGCCTGATGAACAGTACATATTGTGGATGAAATTTCTAAGAATGTGCGTATACATCTTGTATTGTACCGTGGGTCATGCCAGAACATTCTGTCAATCAACAACATCCAATAAGAAATGAGTTTCCTCACGGTAAAAACTTGATCTCTACAGGCACACACCCTGAATGGGTCACCACTTTCTAAAACTTACCTGAGCCAACTGTGGTGTTTCAGCATTCAGGTAGAAGACTTCAACATCACTCATTGCACGCACAACAATCTGAAAACAGTTGGGTCGGTTGAACAGGCTCTCATGGACCATGTAGACTGAGCCGTAGCCCAGATCAATCAAACCCTTGGGTTTGGTTCTCTGCAGATTAAAGAAGGAACACGAGACAGTTGGCCAGTGCTTTGGTCAAAACAAAAGTTCAGAGCATTTCTTTGTTTGCACTTAATTCTAATTAGCTCCATCTTGTATACACCTAATGGATTCAATACATGTACACACTTTTTGTTGACACAAATCAAATTATTTGCATACATGTGTAAATAATTTACATGTACACGTACATGTACTAGCAGGAGATACACTGATTATGCAATATTGGAACTTAACACCCCTTGTTAATTTCTCACCTTATCATTTTCAAAATAGTACAAATGTTGTTCAGTACTGTTCAAGACAAAGAAGTACGTCTTCCATTTCTTGTGCTTTGAGCCTACAGAAACAGAAACGGAACAGGCAAATACAGTAGAATTCAAAATGTGACTTTTTGTCAGGTCAGCAACCTACATGTAATTGGAACTGTCTGCTAGCTTTAGAGGTGAAATTACTAGGATGTTACACATTACAGAGTGATGACTGTCAGGTTCTTTTGGAGAGCACTTTGCCTGTGGCTATGACGGCTCTCACATTCCTTCTGATGATAAGACACATTGTCTACTGTGGAAATTGTGAAATACCTCAAAACCATCTTCACGAAAGTATGCATGTGCATCCAAGGCTCAAAATAAAGAATGAAACGTGTAACACGGAGGGCGAGTGATAGGGTTAAAGTATGTTCACTTCAGCAGTCCATGTGTGCTGTTTCAATTTGCAAATTAATTGAAACAGGCTCAAGCTTGTGAACAGGACTAATATTTGCCTCATGTTCTAGGCTTTAGAAGGGGTGGGTTGGGGAATGGTCTGCAAGTCTCATTGGTTTACATGCATTACTGTCACCCCAACATTTAAAAACCATCAAATACCAGGAAAAGCAAACATAAAACTCTCATAAATGATAGAATACAACAGACCGAAACACAATGTAAACATGGTAAACTCAACACAGGTTCTTTGTTCAGGGGCAGAGAATACACCAAGTACTTGTAACTTGCATTCATATAAGTTAAGGAAATCCAGGGGAAAAGTAACAAACTGGATGATACAAGACCTCAATTTTTCATTCTGTAAAAGCACTTTTGAGAATGATTTTGTACAAGAAAGAAAATTCTGTGTTCTCATGAAGGCATCTGCTCTGAAGCCTCATCAGTAAATGAAGTGACAGGCTGGTAAGTATTTATCCAACTGGGCTCGTGCATGCGCCCGGCAAACACATGAAGGACTGTGCATGCCAATAGAAATTGCTTATGCATGGGCAGCGCGGCCTGCACTAAGTGCACATAAACATTTAGGCAAGCGGCAATACGGGCGATTCACAACAGTGCACCTCCAAGAATTTGCAATGCGTTGATCGATCACAATGTGCAAAATCTGCCAACCTAATGCGCATTTGGAAAGGGTCAACAAATTTCGCGCGTCGTGATTGACCAACGCGTTGCCAACTCTTGGAGGCGCACTATTGTGAATCACCAGTATTTTTCACCAAAGGGAAATCTCATTCCGCACGGCTAGTTTCCCGTCTCAGCTCTGATCTCACTTACTCTTTTTACTCAGGAAGCCCTGCCTTGCGATCCGATCGCCGGTTCCTGTCATGATAACCATTCCGCTGCTTCTCCTCCGGCGTATGTCCTCGTAGTTGACAGTGGAATCTGGATTTATGCGGTTCATCTTCAAATTCTACAACAGTGCACAAAGACAGAGGCAAATGAAAAACAAACAAATAAATGAATAATAATGCGTCCCTGCATGAACTGCATCTATTTCTAAACACTTCTAATTAAATTTTTGAGACAGAAGAGGGCAGGAATAAAAAAAATTCAAATAATGGGAAAATCCAATCCTTGCCTCAGAACATTCTAATATTGAATTAATATTTAACAGGATTAATAATTTAAACATAGATAATTATTCTGTTCTGATCTTATAATACAAATAATAGCCCATTATTTAAATAATTAGAAACAGGTTACAGATCTTTACAAGCATTTGCTTCTATCTTGAATCCTCATATCATTTCTGTTATTTTGATATTAAATTCATGAGAATATTTTATTTAAGATATGGAAATAAATAAACTAAACTAAGCTAAAATGTCATTCCTAAAGGGATGGATTGAGGCTTAATGACAACAGCACTAGAAAAAAAAATGGAGAAAAAGGTTGAATACAATTACAGGTAATTAAAGAACTTTCATTCAGCAAACATGAAAGATGGCTACTTTTTGTTATCAAGCTTCAGTTTAGATTATTCCACTTTCCAGTGCTGACAGGTTGCCAATTTTAATCTCTTGGATTTTGCTTCCCACGCATCTATTGGTCAAGGGCCAAGGAAAATTGAAGTGAAAGGGAACATTTTCACAATGCCGCAATGCAAATACGCCAAGAATAAAAAAAGGAAGGAAATGCCGACTATATACGCATACTGTAGATGCGGGCGGAAAACCCCAAGCTATTGAATCTGGATGAGGGAAGCCAAGTAGAGACTGACAAGTACCAGTACAGTTTGCTTGATATTACGGCAGAGCTTGAGCCAGCGGTGCTGGAGTGACAAAATACGAGGTTGAAGAAGTGTCATTCCTGTGGGCTGTGATTGTGCTTTAACCCGCAATGAGCCGGGTTATTTTGGCCCATCTCACAGGTGAGGTGGGGGGGAGGAGATACATGTACATATGCGAAAGCAGCTAAATACACGCATATTATACAAAAATATACAATCTCGACTCATTCAAGGTTAAAACAAAGTCTGTGGACAATGATGAATATGGATTTAGAAATGGCTACCTTTGGCACAACTGGTGCACCTAACTTGTAACCGTTGACGATTTCTTCATTCTTGTAATGGTCAATGATGGCATCCAAACTGCAATTGAACAAAATCACGGACCACAATGGATGGTAAGAAAAGCTTCCTGGAAATCCATCTCGAACAACTGTATGCATATGCGAAATTTCAAAAATTAGGGGTCCATTTTTTTCATGTCCCTGTCACATCTGACATATGATTTTTTTTTTAGCTCAGAACACATTTTCTAATTTCCAAGAGTGATGAATTAGTGCAAATTACCTGCCAAACAAATAGTAATAGTTTGAAATAAATTCCGTTGATATTTCCATGTCAAATAACAAAGGTCAGATGTTACAGGGACACAGAAATGTCACACGTTTGGACCCCTAATTTCTGGAATTACCCATATCCCGGGGCAATAGAGAAAGTAAGCACAACATTTTTTCTAAGCACTGGAAATAAGAGCTTATCAATAACTGGCTCCCTGTCGGACAGTCACGCAATCTTTTTTCTGATGACTGGCCACTGACTCATGTTTTGATTCGGACAGAAAAAAACAACAAAAACATTTTGCAAATAAGAATCTCTCTGACATTGGACCCTTGCAAACAATTTGTTCATATAGATATTACACAGAACCTTTTCATGTGGTTTGCCAAATCACTAGAAGAACGAGCTCAAGTTGAACATGGACTTTCATGGATTAGTAAAATTTGTAACCAATGAAATTGAGTGAAGAGTCCATGAAAATCCAGTGAATCACCCCCCCCTTAGCCACAGAGCTGTTTATTTATGTAATCATCAATCCATGATAGACTGGTGTCATGTACATGTACATTGTACGTAACATTAACCCAACTCCCTGGGTTTGTGTAAAATCACAGTGAAATTGGACAAGCCACCGAGTATTATTTTCACTGCAAAAGTGATGCTTGCGCAAGAATGGAAATGTCAGAAGTTTAATGATGCAACCCGGTTCTCACCTGTGATAAGTTCGTCCACCCATCATGTAATGATGCTGCTGTTTCTGGATTCGGAACCTCTGGATTGTTGTGGGCCCGCGGAACGACAGGGAGTAATCACCAGGGTTCTTGTCACTGTTTCGAACCAAATAGCTGCCGACATCGCCCTCTGAACAACACATACAAGTACAACATTATTAGAAGGAAACGCTATTAACACATTATACACCTGTATGCACATAACAACTGTTTGTTACATGTACAGGTACACGGTGGTAATGAGGACTCTTACCAGTAAAAAATTTGGTCTGGGTGTTAAAATGAATCTTCTTCGAAAAGCATGACCTGTATTCTGCACAGCTCACATTTTCAGTAGGTTTCTAGGCAAGGATAAAAATGTCACACTTGGCGGTCACTCGTCACAGAGCCAGTTTCCATCAGTACTGACCAAACAACATGGAAGGATTTCTAATAGCAATAACCAAATCTTGGCATGATTTTAGAATTACTCCAGCTGTAACAACTTTTTTCTGAGTACTAGAATGTGAATGTCGCTTCAGGGTCCAACAACACAGGGCATGTACATTGAACGTGTGAAATTGACATTCAGAAGTAACAGAATGAATGCTCATGATTAGTATGTAATTCACATGGATGATTTCAAATACACGACTCTTCATATTCCAATTTACCCTTGCGAAACATGAGTCATTTTGGAACACAAACTTGTACTTTTCATGTGATGGACTTGTGAAGACTTGCGACGGATTGGACTCCAACACAGAACCTAACAGTGTACAAGCACGCACCTTTGAGTAGTAACTCCGCTGCAACCTCTTTGGAGACGTTGCCATGATACCATCTACATGTAAATGACCCAAAGAAAAGAGTGACAATGGTGAGAATTAGTTTGCTTGTCCCAACTGAATTCCCCATCAAAACACTAGATCCTTCTGCTGTCCCATTTACACTGTGAGCTAATACAGAATATCACTGGTCCTACGTGTAGTTCAAGTTACAAATTAATCTTTTTAGTGTATTTATTCTTACGTGTAAATCTAGTGCTAGGAGGAACCTACCGGTACGGAATGTTTATGTGCATGCACATGCCTATTTTTTACTATAAACCTGGGGATTTTTAAATCACTTGGGTTTGCTATAGCAACACATTTTTAGAGGTGTACCAGTTAATAAGATATTTTGACATACAGGTACATGTATACTTGAGGAAATAAATATGTGCTTGGCCGGACTTAAACGTAAGGTACCGTTTGTTTCAGACCAGCTCAGAAGAATGGACGTTACTAAGTACTAGCTGCAGGTGAGGGCATTAGCAGCAGTATTCTCCTGAGCCGGTTGTAAACGACCAAGTACATACCGGGTATTTATTCTCATTCATAAATACCATTTATTAAGAGAGTCATAAGAAGTCACCCTATCATAAATTTCCAAGGAATTTGTTCAAGAATTTTACTTTCATTAGCCCAAACGACCCTGTCCATTTTACGGGTACATTGTGAACACAGTCCAGAAGAATCTGGACTTGGCACACGCATGGCGAGTCCTGCATGTCATGGAGTACACAGACTCTTGGCCAATACAGTGTAGGTGCTAATGCATTTTTATGCAGTTGGCATTATCAAATCACAGTGGGCATTATCAAATATTAATACATGGGTCACGTTGTGCATTGTTGAGTAGGGAGACTGTCCAAGGTATTTATGAATAAAGTCTACATGCTTTGTCCATCATCCTTCAATTGAAATCACTAATCTCAAAATGTGAGTTAATGTACCGTATAGCAAGAAATGTACATGTGTATTTGATACATTTTCCAACATAATGGAGCACAAGGAACTGGTTGTTCAATGATTCCTAAAAAAAAAATTTCTTGCAGCAAAATTTATACTTTATATGAAACTTCTTTTTCATCTTTTTAAAGGGTAACAGAAATTGAAAACATTCAGTTCACGTGAAGTATTTCAAAATAACAATAAATACGTAACCATTTATAAAACATTGTAAATTGAATGTTTACCCTTTTAAGCATTCTGGCAATGATGTCATCCAATCAGCCTGGGAGCACGAATGGCCAAAGGGGGATTTTTTTGTGGGCGGGGAAGAGCAGAATCTTTTTATTCTTTTTGGGGTCTCAATTAATGGGGTAAACATTAAATTAACGATGTTTTGGAAATGGTTACGTATTTATTGTTATTTTGAAATACTTCACATGAACTAGACATTGTCAATTTCTGTTACCCTTTAATGGACTACATCTGGGTTTCTTTTTTTTGGGGGGAGAGCTATAAAAAAGTTAACTTACATGTAGAATACATGTACATGTACAGCCAATTAGAATGGGCCAAATGTAATTTGTTGTTCGCGAGTTATTGTGGTTTTTTTTCTGGGAACAAAAAATTAAATTTGAACTAATAAATCTTGGCAGCACTTTTCAGCCTTGCATTGTTTTGAATCCCCTCCTTTTGTCATTTCGCAACATGATGTAAACTGAAAATGGATGAGGTAACAGAAACATGATGTATCAACAGCATTGTTGTTTCGATTATCCCCGATATCCGGCTCAAGTTAACTTTAGACGCTCTCATTTAAAGTGACACACAAAGAAATGCTGAGCTACATGTACACATTGTTATTGTTTCATTTTCGGTAGTCATCAGGGAAAGCTCTTCTGACAAAAACTGTGACAGAGCAGCGTTGGGCCTTTTTTGCGAGGGACCAACCTTTCTGCACATACATGTACATGTATGACTCAAAACTGTGAACTGCCAACATGTACTTACATTTTCCCTTCATTTATGTCAGTATCTTTATCCTGCAGAGAGAGAGAGAGAGAATTGAAACAAAGACTGAGCTTGACAATAAAACATACACCACTCAAATAACTGACCACAAACAAAGCGATAAACTGGGTAAGCAAAACCAAAACAAAGGCAGGACTTTTACTCTAGTCTTTAATAAAGAAAAGCATACCTAAAACAGTTCGGTATGTACAGCACATGAAAACATATTACAAAACATGTACCGGATGTCTGTGTACAACTTAAAACATTACGGGTATGTTGAAAATAACACAGGTTTTCAAATATTATGTATTACGGTATACGCAGTACAGTAAAAACAGGTCTTTAAATTAAAATTGAAGACTGCACTGAAGTATACATAAACATACATGTACACCTGTCATGTGCCCGTACATGACACACATGTACATGTATATAGGAATGAGTCCTTCTCAAAACTGCAATCACCAGTGAGTGCCTTCACACTGGCAATGCGACATTCTAACAATAAAATGATTCCCACAATAAAGGAAGAACAGAATGCGCAACTAGAGACCACTTCACACATGTGCCTGAAAAGAATGCACATGGCGCTTCCCATGAAATGAGATCATCGTTACAGGGCTAACAATACAGCGCAAGAGCAACTGCTCCTTCAAATATAAAATGATATATACAAGAACGGTATGTACTGGTACATGATACACACGTACAACAGGCCTAGCCCCAGGAAGTCTTCATCACGTAAAAAGGAGGGAAAAAAAATGGAACAGGGGTTTGTGATTCAACATTGATATAATGTACATGTACATCAAATACATGTACATGTTCACTTTCTCGGTACACACACACACACGTAAGCAGTGCTCCTCTCATGTACATGCACAAACTTCTGCTAGCTTCTCTACAGGAAACCTGCACTAAATTTCCATCCATCCTCCTTCTCACAGGGTAACTTGGGTGTTTTCTGGCACAACACTTTCAGCTCTTTAACTCACTTTACATGTATAAACCCATACATGGACATGTATTCAAGTCTCCAGCTAAATCAGCACAGGCACATGCACATGTCCATGTACATGTATGGTACTGTACATGTACATGAATGTGTTTTTTTCTGTACACTAAAAACAAGTCCAAACATGTATGTCATACAATTAAAGCGATACACAATCGCGGACTATCTACACATGTAGCCGGTATGCGTACGCGCTGTATAATGAGACGGATGTTCTTGTACATGTAGATGTACCCATTACATGTATGCACGGTGTATACAGTCCAAATCATCTGTCAGCCCTTAGATCAATTATTTCAACACGTACTTGGATCATTTATAAAATTTACAAAAATGAACCGTACATGCTACATGTACAAGTAACTACATGTAGGTATCAGTGCCAGAACTTGAAGGTGTATTTTGATTTTTTTTTTAAATGTGTGAAAGGGGTCCCACAGGATTCTGCTTAGTGTAATGCAAAAAGATGTACCTTCCTTAATCAGTTTGGTGTTAACAAGGTTCACGTACATGTAGATCACATGTACATGTACATATACTCCATGTAACATGTGCATGTACATGTACCTGGTGTAATGTCCCAAATATTCAGGTATCAGTTCCTGTTCCCGTACACATACATGCACATGTACATACTACATGCTCATCTGTACAAGTGTGCCATCTCCTTGTACAGGTGCACGTACATTGTACTGAAGGACAAAAGATGTCCAACCAATGCAAGAGAAAAAGACGTTTAGCAGAGTCGCCTATATCCACACAAGGTTGTCTCCCTTCTGAAAAGAAGATAAGGCATTTAGGGGTTAACGTACCGGTAGGTTATCTGTGACAAAAGGAAAAGGAATAGTCAGGGAAAATGTCAATAAAAATCCTGCTGAAAAGAATATTCACCTTGCAAGAAAAACAAGTATTTCCACTGAGTGTTCTTAACTACAAGTACAGTTGTACATGTACACAAAACAAAGGCATGTCCTGACTACATGTACCAGAACATGGGTGCCAGTATTTAATGGTAACATGTGTACTGAATGATGTACGTTTTTAGCTACAGCGTTTTCTTATAACCGTTACATACATTGTATGCTAGTAAATGGCTTTTTCCATTTTCAATTTTTCAATTCACTTCAATAAACATTTACATGTATGTAGAACTCTCCAATGCCAAGAGGTACCAGTACATGAACAAATACAACCATGAATAAATTTAGGTAACCAGAGAAAATAATATTTCTGAGGGAAAACATGAGGTCACAGTTTCAGGGACTTTTCTTGTATATCTGAGTCCATTTCATTTAACCCTTTTGGGAGGAAAATTAGACTGCTATACTGTATCTATGTACCAACATGTATACACGTACACGAAGGTTTTTACACACCGGGTAGGCAAGTACATGTTCCGGTAGTTTGATAAAGTTTTAAACTTGGAAGAATTAAACTGAATGAGAAATTCTGTAAACATGGTAAATGTAGAGCACTTTAACAAGGAGCAACTGTTCAATTGTCAACAACCAGTTTGTGTGCACGTGCAATGTACGTCTTCATGTACATGTGCCGGTATGCACTGCATGCATGCAAACATGGCAAGCCTTCGTGTTTGTGCATGTACATGTACAGTGTATTGCACTACATACATTGTATTAATACGGTATGAGTAATGGTTTACAAGTACATCAAGTTTACAAGTACATAAAATGCACGAAAGAATGTGTGCGAATAGTAATGCATTATTATGTACACTGTACAATGCCAAGCAACACAATCATGTACAGTTGATGCAGTGTTTTCTCAGTCCACTGGCATCGATTTATTGATCAATAAATTACGGGTGATGCTGTATCAATATCCAGCATGTCATAACACTTGAATTGATGATCTCCGATTGATCACTTTGAAGGGTGGACGAACAGGCAGCCGAGTGCATCGTGGCACTATACTGGACCGGCCAGAGATACATGTACACCTATACGTATGCATTCAAAATGCACGGCACCGCGGGCATTTCACGCACTTTGTCATGTCTGCATACCATACACCTTTAACACATTTTCTAAATATCTCCCGCACCCACGCATGATCTGAGTGTTTGAAACGCACATGTCCATGTGCATGCACACAGCTTTTGAATGAACATACAGATTATGCAAGTAGCAGTATACATTGTTGCTGTATTGTTTCAATCTTAAAACAAGTGTGGGACTTGTAAATGTACATTGTACAAGCTTACATTAATGGGTACAAACATCTACAGCTGTTTGTATTATATATGTATATATTAGCATTACACATGAACATGCAGAGAGTACTTCATTTTATCTCGATCACCAACCACTAAAAGAGGCACAAGACTAAGGCACTGCCAAGTAAAACGACAGAAAATTTGAAAAAGAATGGGCTACCTGCATGCATCACTTCTGAAAATCTATGCAAGAAAAAACTATTGGCATCGACAGTATCTCAAATGTTGGCACCAATTATCCCCCAAATCAAGTGTCGGTGCAGGTTAACATGACTTGCAATTTCAGATTTCTTTGTTCACGTGAAAAAAAAAAGAATCTTATATAAATCAACTTACTATGCTTTTGACCAGGTCATCTATGACGATGCCACTCTCTCCTGTTCTTTGGGAAGTGACCCATAGCCAACCGTCTCCCAATTCATTATGGACGACAAACACCTCTCCTGCAGAAAAGCTGCAACCAAGAACAAAACATACATTAGGCTTACACTCTCAAACAAGTCTTTCTTTCCCTTCAAATTTAGAAATTATCATCTATGGGGTGACTTGGCACAACTGTATCAAATAGTTTGCACACAACAACAATCAGTTTGGCATGCCTGTTTTATGACGAAACCTACACGTAAATATACCGGCAGTACTTCTTCTGTATTAACAGGTAAATGTGCATCGGTACTGTGCTACTGATTCAAAACTTTTAGACCATGTTGCTAATTTCCTAATTTTTATCTGGGTTGCCAGTCAACCAAACACGTGATAAGAGAAGTTGGCTGGAAAGACGAAACTGGAAAGCCTGAAAGTCTGAAGGCTGTGGGGTATGTTCATGAAGTTCTGTGTCCTGTATACCCACAATTCCATGTTCCCTGAGTGCAAGCATGATAAAAGATTTATCTTCAAGCAAACTTGACATGCAGTGGAGATGTTATATACATGTGCTGTAGGTGCCTATGAGCGCAAAGGCACCATATTTGAATTTACCATAATTTTTCAAGATATGCATTTTTAACCGTTTTGCTTTTAAAGTAAAAAGTGCGCAATATGCGGAGTTACCGGTTGAACAATACATTATGCGGGTTTTGACATGGACTGTGTAACATATCACACTGTTTGTTGCCATGGATCGACCGATCAGAATTGAGGATTCAAGTTGGCTTGAAGATAAAACAAGTATATACATGTATGTTCTTCCATTTATTAACCCTTCAACCTACCTACACATACTGAAGTCTATGCTGTGAAAACAGATGTACATGTATGTGTCATTTAAAGTCTGACAAGCTTGTGAATTCATGCATTCAACTGTAATTCTGCTTGGATGATGCCAACTCTTTTTTCTTCAATCCAGCATTATACTAAATTGCAATGGAATGACAATGACTCAAAGCATCACATTCATGAACACAAACACAGTATCAAGTTTTGCCATCGGAATATTGTGTCATCTATATTGCAAAATCACTACAGTGTAGGTTTATATTACAGCAAAATGGTGAACATACACGTACCCTACCACATGCAAGACAATTTATAGTAGTTACATGTATTTCAGTACCGCCAGACAACAATAATGGTTTGTTTAAAGACACCCCCAAACCATCTTCCATTTGTACACATACATGTATCGTGTATGCACATACCAACCTCCCCCCCCTCATGCAATTGTTTCAAGGCACGTTCTAAGGCCATGGTGTACCCCTACTGGTACATGTCATCCAATATAATTCAAAATGTCACAATTCAGCCAAGGGGCTTGCCAACTGTAAATAAACTATAATTTGCTGGGTCAGGGAATCCTGATGGAGGGGCCACTGAGTTGACGAAGGGTGTCAGCGTGTGAGTAGTGCAGGAGAGAATGATACTGCTGGCCTAACTGCGGCATTTACATGTGGGGTATGCTTTAAGGGGACTGTCACCATGCAGTGTAATTTTAGGCAAGCAGTTCTTGTAATGTTCAGCTGATTCCCTTGTGTCCTACTTATACATTCGAACTTCCAGTTGAGCCTTTTTTGAGGCCTTTGGTTGCTTTCTTATTTTTCTGCTGATGGAAATTTACAAGCAATTTGCCAGTAAGTTTGATGCCATCTGCATGTATGTAATGCAGAAACCTCATGTGCATTTCTTCAGGGAAATTCACGACAAGTACCCTTTAAATACATGTACCATGAAGATAAATCCAAGCAATGTTTTTCTAGGGGGGGAGGGATCTGCAAGTCCTTAAATGCACCCTTACACATGTACCTTCCCCCTTCCCTTCATCCAGGACCCCCTCATCCAGAATGACAATCTACCGAACTACTGTAGGTTGCAATGTTGGAATGCACCAGGTTGGAATGTTTGTAATAAATGGATTTATTATTTATTGGAATTCTACAATATGAGTACAATCTTCAAGCTCAACTTCTTCCTCCAGATACATGTTCAAGTACATGAATAACACAGTCTATGTGTTTGAACAAGCACAAACTTCAAAGCTGTGTGCCATTAAAAATTATTCGTTTATAATGAGGAAACTTTGTCTCTCCAAGGAAAATAAACCTGATCGCATCGAATTTAACATTAACTTACAAAACACAGACGCTTCTTTTCATCGCATTCTGCAGAGGTGAGTCTACAGTGTGGGCCAAAAATGGTGTGACAAAAATTTCTGTCTGCGGATGTGGTCATTTTAAAACCTACCTGAGCTCATCTGTGTCAGGCACTTTAGTATAAGGCAGGACAGCCACAACTTTCTTCCTGTCATCAATCAGAGGCTGGCAAAAGACAACAAGTCAAAACAGCAATTTGTGGGGGCAACCCAAGGTACATGTAAAAGTCAAATGAAGCAACACAATATATATCGTAAAATGCAAATAAAAACCACACAAAACTGAGCAAGAAATGGGTTTGAAAGGAAGGTAATGAATCATGAAAGGAACTCAACATATTAGGGAAAAATTAAAGGTACATGTATGTGTATAGATGAAGATCAAGACAACAAATTTTAAAGCTAATGATGAAAGCACGCTATTTGTACTGTATGTCAAAAGAAAGCAAAAATTGGTGACAATAATTTGGACCCCCCACCCAAAACACTACTGCAAATCTATATCTCTATCTGTGCATGCATGCCAGCCTACCTCAGGCGGAGGGACAGGATAAAGCAACCTCTCATTCTTCAAGATATTGGAGACGTGAGTGTAATAACCAATCAATTCAGCCAGGGATGGGAACTGTCGTCCGCCAACGTAATAGTCGCCACACAATGCCGTGATCCTGGAATAATTCAAACGAAAACGGCGTCAACAGTAAATACACAGTGTGCGGCACAAGCTGGGGAGACAGCAACACAATATGGACAGCTGACGACGAAGGAACAATTCTACCATAGAACTCAAGTCATTCTCTCTGATTCTTATAATCTCCATACTGATACATACATGTACACGTATACACACATTCAAAAATGGATGATACATGTGCTGTCGATCAGACAGTTTTGCCTTGCTTGTGCATTTATTCCATTTTTATTGCCGTACCTTTGCACATGCAAGTGCTACGTTTTGAAGTCAGTGAACTGATCAATGTGCACTGTAATACATTCGATGTAATAAACATTCAACGCTACTGTGCAAATATCCCCAATTATGGCAGCAGTAGAAACATGACCTCAGCACTTGTACCGATACAACGTACATGCCCTACAGTTAATCCATTTTAAATGTCAGTTTCAAACGGCTGATTTTACATGTAAATCAAATATTTCTCATTAAATGAATACTGCCGGTATTTTGCAGTACACAAATGCCCATGAGCACGTGTAGTGCTGTACCTCTAAGCAGACACACAAATCTTGCATGTCCATACATGTAAACAGTAAACTTGCTCAAAAGTAATGCTTGCCCTTATTCAGTGATGTCCAATGAAAAGTTTGATTCGACATGCTGGTAGGTATGTGTACGCACGCAGATGACCAATGTCTATGTCCAAATCAAACGTCCCACTGCCCTCCCATAAATAATCACTTCATAGGTTACATGTTAAACCAACCCTGTGAAAGAACAGCATGGAGCCAACTGAAATAGAACAAAAAAAAAACAAGCCGCTCAAATACCCCCTCATGAAAAGTCACGCTGACACAATTTCATTAGAAAGTAATTTCAGAGGGTCAGTAAATGAACATAGGAATGAGGGAGGGCTTTCCCAAGGACTTCCACTTTATCACAGCTGGATATATCTTCAAAAGAGACAGACAAAATGAAGACTGATTATGGCTTCAACTGAGACTTGAGTTAAATACATATACGTACATGTACTAGGTGCAAGTACAAGTGGGATGAACAGGTGAAAAGGCATTGTACATGTACATGTGCGTCCAGCTTTACATACACGTACATGTACGTACCGCACAATACCTGCAAAGTGACATGCACCCCTGTATTACATGTACATATATATGTACTGAACATGTATACAAGGACTCAAGTACTGCCAGCATATACTGTTTAGATACTTGTCTGAGTACATGGGTACGTCTTTTTTCTTTTTTATCGGAAAGTCGGGACCAAGTTGTGAAAAAACTGTCCCAATAACATTTGTGATCCCTGTCACATCTACATGTAAATGTATATTTCAACTGGGACCAGGGTGTAGTCCCCATAACCCAGTAACATAGGGTACATGTACATGTACACAATGACTAAAGCGCATAAGAAGGCAGTCATTGTCAACCATTGACTAAAGCGCATAAGAAGGCAGTCATTGTCAACCATTGTTGGACTGCTTTGTTTTTTTGCAAGTATATGAGTATGTGGATAAGGCTTTTGATTTCACTCAACACTAAGTTATGGTATCCGAATTTACATGTATGTACATGTAGTTTGTTTTGGGAATGCCATCGAACAGTGTCACACTTTTCAGTAGTAGTGCCCATTGTCAAATCTTCAATCCATTCAGACTTAGTACTTAATAAACATGGATACAGTAAGTATTTTGCAATGAAATAAGTTTACATTCTTCAAGCAGACAACATTTTACGTGTACATGAACCGCCTGAGAAACTATGTACATGTACAATACACGCGCAAATGTGGTACAAAAGTGGCTTCTTCCGCACTGTCGCAACCTCATGCTTAATACTAATACTGAAGACGAAAGTACCCGGTACTGCATGTAGTGCTCAGACCTACCAGGAATACAGTACATTACATGTACATGTGGCATTATACTGATACAATGTACTGTTACCAGTGCACCATTACCATTGCATACAGTACGGGTCCAAAAAAAGTTCTGCATGTCCTGCATGAAGCTACTACAAGATGTACAAGGTGTACATATACATGTACATGTACATGAATCATCCCTCCCATTTTTTGGTGGTACGAAGAAAATGAAGGGAGATTGCAAAGACCTTATCAGACTTCCTGACAACCAAAATGTATTCCAGAACTGTACATGCACATGTATGACATACTCAGGTACATTTACAGGTACATGTACCTGTCATGCCTGCAGAGCATGAGATCAAATGTTGCTTATGGGCTTCCCACACCCAACAGACTCTAAACAGGGTCACAAAATCCCACAGACAGGTCTACACTCAAACTGAGTGGTACACGCATGTACTGAGCCTTGCAATCTTGGCCTTTAGGTCACAATAGTGAAAAACCAAAGTAATATGATACATTTTCAAATTCACAAATAACAGGTTGGCATGGTTGGAGTACATGTATCATACCGGTAGCTGGCTACTAATGAATATAACATGAACATGTACAATGTACGTACATGTACAACACACATACCGGTATGTACAGTACATATAAACATGTATGTAAACTTGTACAAATATACATCATGTTCCTTTTTTTTCAACATGCATGTCCATTACACATCCAAGCTCAAGAAAATTACCGCTAGTGTGAAGTCACCGGAATTTCAGGAAATTTTTTTAATACAAAGTAACTATAGGTACTACATGTACATGTAGTAGGTTTGGGTTTCAAGAAAGTGAAACCCACAAACGAAAGTTAGAAGACAGAGAAAAAGAAACAGACCAGAAATGGCATTTACACATGTACTGATGTGGGCAAGTTTCTACATGTTCACGTTCATGTACGTGGGTAATCCCAGAAATTAGGGGTCCAAAAGTGACATCTTCGCGTCCTTGTTACAATACATCTGACCATTGTTATTTGACATGGAAATATCACCAGAATTGATTACAAACTACTACTGTTCGTTTGGCATATGATTTGCATTAATTCATTACTCTTGGAAATTGGAAAATGTGTTCTGAACTTACAAAATCATATGTCAGATGAGACAGGGACATGAAAAAAAGATAGACCCCTCATTTTTGGAATTACCCACGTGTCCCCAGTACAGCGGGTGTACCATACGGTGTGATCAGAGAGTATGTTCTTTCATTTCTAGTCATCATTCACCCCCTCCCCCCAGACAACAACTCTGAATCAATGTCATATTAATATTCTGGGATATTTTGTCGACATGGACCAGCCTTATTTGTTAGGGTTCGTTCTGGCCATTTTCACTGACACTGAATGTGAGAAGTCTCAGTGTCTGCAGTAACGAGGCAGCGAAACCCTCCTCATCCTCCCCCAGAAAAACCTACCCAAAGCCACAACAAAACAAACAGCAGTGGGATAAATCAAACGTAATATTGGAATTCTTCCTCAACCTGTCATTTCCTTGACGTTTAAAGCACATCAATTACACAAGTGAAACGAAACAGAACCAGGCAATCTCAGTTTAGATTAATTTTTCTGCTTTATCGAGCTCTGATGCCAATGCAGATAAAACGTAATTCATAACTTTTATGAATCAGTTTTGAAGAGTGGGCCAGGTACATGTACTGTACATTGTACATGTAAGTGGGTACATCTTACTATTAATTGAGTAATACCTATTAATATCTAGGTCACTGTGTTCCTGTCAATAGGGTGTTGACATTCTCAATCCCTTCCTGAAGGCAAACACCACTTCCTTGTATAGTGGGTAATCTAATATGTGACCAATTCAAGCAATGTTAGTTTGCAAACCACAAGTCTGCATGTCAACCAAAGCGGCTGTTGAGAACGCAGAATGCGTGTTTGTGCAAAATGAAAGGAGGGATTGCAAACACAGGACTAGAAGGGTAACAGATACCTCAAGAGGCTAGCTTGGTGGGAAAAATGGCGGGGCAGGAGTTGCAAAGGGTGAACTTCGAGTAACTATTGATACAACATACCAGCAGTTGTCAGCAGATGTCATAAACATTAGCAAAGCCTAATGTGTACCATACGCAAGCTGAAATATTCATTAGAAACAGGCTCATGTTACAGACAAATGTGAACGTGAAGCAGATTTTTAGTCATGAATTATTCCTGGTGAACTTTCTTTAAAGGTGGAAATAAATCTATTTGCAAATGCACAACGGAAATGCTTCCCCTTAACATCACAAATTGACAGTCACACCAAGCTCACAACTACATGTATGGCTATACTCTCTGGTTGGGCATTCAGAGTTCAATGTACTTGCATCATGATGATCATTTTTGCTGAAGCTGAAGTTTGCATAATTTGGAGGTCAAAGTTATACACCTCTCAGGCTGATCAGTTACTGGTCAATAACACATCATTACTTTGCAATGCTAAATTCTAAATAATTCTAAAAATCCTAGAATGTTCTTGAGAAAACAGAGCCTAAGAGACAAACGATGTACATGTGTTTTGCCTTGTTCAAGTAACCTCTGCCTTTTATTTAGGTTGAAGGTCAACATGCACCCATCAAACATTTATTCCTTTTACCCAAACATAATTTTTACCTTTTTGGACTTTTTAATTGATTTTTATTTTTATTCTAATTTTTGGTGAACAGTATTTCTGATTCTTTTTATCTTTTTCCTTTTTTAATAGGACTACATTTGTACATGTACTTTCTTGTTTCCGTTATTATTATTATTTGTTTATTTCTGGTCATGATATCAAAGATTCCTCAAAAGCAACCTCGGCACTGTAGCTCGCAAGCCTGAAGAAACCTGTAGACAGGAGACAATGTGAAGCAGTGGGAGGAAAACCCCAGAGGAATATTCTGCATGTTCTGGGTGAAACCCACAGAATCGGGTACGGGCTGAAAACTCAGTCTACATGTGGACCAAGTCGGGAATCGAACCCAGACCACAGAGGTGGAAGGTGGGGAAAAAACCACTTCGCCAACCTGACTCCCATGGTGACGCATGAAAACAATGAACTGGTGATGAAATTATTCAGTAGGAAGCACAGACTGTTTGACCGCCGTTGTAACATATCAATGCTCATTGTCATGAATTCCTGCTGTTGTCTGCAGAGTGAAGCTGACTAGTTCCATACACATTTCTTGTACTCAAGCATTATTTCCTGTGGCCTTGTGCTCATACTCTTTATAAGCTCATGAGTGACACGCAACATCGCAGAGTTGAATTACTCCCAGCAGAGGGTCCTGACATTTGAGGGCAGTTTCCTACACTGTATATCACAAGACGAGTACTTCACTGCAATGTTACCCAAGTCTTTCTCGGAGGCAAGGGCAAAAAGACAGTAGAAAACGGCATACGTGTACCTACCTGAAATGCTGGAATCCTTTGATACCAAGGTAAGAGAGGACATAGGAGCCAGGCTTGCGCTCACTCTCCCGGATCAGATAGCTGCCAACTCGAGCACCGTTGAGTCTCATCTCAGCTGTCATCCGGTCCATGCGGCCATGATACCACCTACAATGAATATACATGTACCCCATCAATCAATCAAACAACTGGACAGTAACAGGCAGCTACATTGTACATGCAGCATAGCTAACGTTGTGCCTTGAGCTGCAATTTGATGCAGCCTCGTTGGAAAACAGCCCCTCAGTCCTGACTGTGCTCTGGGCACCTTTGACACTAGCCAAATTCCTGCAGGATTCCTTGTAGCACTCAGCATAAACAATGACATGGGTAGTCAGGGAGGACATGTCAATGAATTTGGCACAGGCGGTGACAGGATCAGTCACCCCCAAACCGCTGTTCTTTAGATGCAGCATTAACTGAGGAAAAAAAAAATCCCACAACAGTTTCCAAAATAAAGGACTAGATGATTTTTTTCTTTTAGGGACCAATTGTTTGTGGGTTCAAATCACTAACCACTGTATATTATTTTTGGGCTTCATTCAGCATGGACATATCAAAAGCTACTGTGCATGTGTTACAGCTAATTCATATTAACATTAATGATGACTTGATTGACAGGTCTTGAATAATAAAATTGAACAAGAAATCTATTCGATTTTAAAACAAAAACGAAGGCACCCTTCCCCACTATTTACAGTTGCACAACTCAATTAATTAATTGAAACAGAAATAAAAAAGACAACCATAAAATTTTGTTGACCGTCTTGGAAGTACATGTACATGTATGTGTCCGGTACCAATATACCCGTACAGTGTACATGTACGTACTACCTTGCTACAAGTGCACTTGTCTGGGTATAAGTTCCAGTACATTTTCTTAAAATACTGTACAAGTACCCACTACTGCAAGGCAGGAACTCTACGGAGACATCAGAGGCAATTGCCTTGATGCCCCTGGTCTTTGCTTCCATACCCACTGAAATGTCCCCATCGACAAGTTGATCTTCTAATACAAGTACCCTTTGCAAAATTATGAGAAACTGCCTTGTCCTTTCAAGAAAGAAGTTCCCGCCCTGCATGGTGACTATGGGCACAGAATGTTTAACCCTAACTACCCAGAGTGATTTACTAGGAACCATACCCATTCACACAAATTCAAACACCACATGGTAAACTTTGCACAAAATCTGTTGGACTCTGTTTATTTTGGGTATGCCCGAACCCATGTTAAAGCACAAGCAGTTTAGGGGTACAGTACCCAGTGCCACAAATTCACACACTTTACCGGTGTTCAATTCTGTGTGGTTAGGGAAGGTTAGGGTTAATGTACATGTACATGTATGTACTGTGATAGTCTTTGCATGCATGTACGTACATGTACACCATACACTGTTGCATACAAGTATGTACATGGACAGCACATGAACCATCTACAACGTAGACAACATGAACGCACCTGTATTTTACACTTAACAAGCCCTGTCTGGAAAGCTGACACTGTGTTTATTGACAATGCAGGCAAATGAACTTCTAATGCTATTTAAGAGAGTAATTACCTATTTCAAATAAACACTAATTGGATCATGCTACAAGTACATATGTATGCTGGTCTTTCCTGATTGCAACCAGTACACTGTATGTAGGGCTTTATTTTGCTAGCAATTCCTTCTATTTCAGTGTCACTCATCATGTACTTTTAATTTTAAGTTTAAAAAGAGACAAGGTTTTTCTTCCATTTGCCAGGGTAGGCTGGTACTAGTAGCATTCATTTGGCACGCACAACTTTTACTGCTGAAAGTTTTCTTGCAGTGCAAGTGCGACACATTATAGTATATGAAGAAGTTTTTATTGCATAACGTTGTCTAACACCTTGGAAGTGACCGGACAAGAAGGGTGTGCTACTTAAGCCATATATGTATTTCCGTTGGGCTTTTTCTTCCACGGCCACACGGAAACTTACTGCAACATTCTTTCGCGTCAATTTACCGCAATACCCATGTGGACTTTTTTTACCCTAACGTGACGTTTATTTGTTGTGTTAATAATAATAAAAGACCGGCTGATTACAAGATACATGTACACTGCCCGTGCTGTACAAATCATGATGAAATTGGCAAAATCTAACCACAAAATGACAAATCAGACAAATTTGGCCAAATCTGCCACAAATACATGTAAGATGTACCCACACACAATGTGTGTACATACATGTACAATGTAGCTTTATCCGGACACACTTTACTGTGTGTGCTTGGTACATGTATGCTCCTGTGCTGTACGCACAAAGACTGGGAACCATACAACCATTTTTGCGTGCCCGCTATCGATCTCTATGTAGCAGTAGTCTGGTTCGTAGGTTTAGCATGGTCACGGTCAATCTACATTGTACATGTACGAGGACTTTTTTGCACCCCTGCTAACTTACTGGGGCTACGCAGAAATCTTCCTCAATCCTTTTCGGCTTGTTAGTTTTACATCACAGTCACTGTACACATAAGTTGACGGCGACGTTAATTTACCATGTGTTCCCATTGGATTTAATTTTGTAATTCCACAGGAAAGTTGTTGTAAGTTAACCAATAAAAGTCCAATGGGAACAGGGCTTTTTCAAGCCAAGGGCTTTGTAAAACAAACTATTGGAAGTTACTCAGAGAGTCGCTAATCCCCGGAATGTCTGGATTTAAATCACTTGCAAAGTTCTTTGCTTGTTGCTTGTTTTACATTTTTATATCAGCAAATTGCTTTGGTGTAGCCAGCAAAGATGGAGACCAACCAATAGTGGGTACCCACGACATAATCTGGTTATTGTGCCAACGCAGATCTTTGACTTTGATTAAATTACTTTATCTAATCCCTTTGTTAGCATGTAGAGATTGAAATTGACAAGACAGTCACAAAACTGGGGAACTTTTTCAGACTATCCACAATAACAGAACTCATTCCAAATGCCCAGATTTCAGGGGTGTGAGTGTTTACAAGAAAGCCGAAAGAGCTAGCAAATATCTGAAATTTAGAAACTTCCCGTGATTTTGTACAGAGCAGTTGTACACAAAAGCTGAAATTCAGTGTAAACACCTGAACAAAAACAGCTGAAATTAGCTTAAAAGCTGAACTCATACACAAATGACATTTACTGAAAGAGACACTCCTCCCTTCAGCAGAAATTTATCCCCAAAGGACCAACAGTATAATGGTGAAAGCACATACTCATTTTGTGGCGGTGCAGCCAAGGTCCCATCTACCATCGTGGGTTCGTTCTTCTCGGTCTCAGCATAGGCGTCAAACGGGTCAAACTCATCGTGGATATTCAAGTTGTGCATATCCTCCACACTCTGGTTTGTCGTTGACGTCCCCAAGAGCCGCATGCGACCATCTGCCGTGACTGAGCCTGATGAGGCAGCCATTTTTAGGGGCTACCGTCGCAGAAGAAAGGGGAGAGAATGCCCCAGAGCCAGAAGCTCGGCAAGGAATGCTGGCGGTGCTGCCGGAGTTAGGGTTCAGCACTTCACCTCTGGTGACAAGATGACATCAATTCCTGCAGGAAGTCAAAAGGTCAAAAATACTGAGCGTTGTTCCTTAAAATAAATCAACTACATGTAATATAACACAATTTAACAAACTTTAAAAGGAAACAGTTCTTAATTGAAACTATCAAAAAAACATTAGGGAACCGACAAATTAACGTAATGTTGTTGATCAAAGGAAACGCATGCGTCAGTTGGGTTCCAAATAAGGATGCAATACCGGCTTTTGTTTCAGTTAGAAACAGTGTCATTTCCCCTAATACCACGAATATTCATCTACGTATCAAACAAAAATACCTAAAATGACACAACTGGTCTATCAAAAAATGTGATAGTACAAATGTACGACAACACAGGGATGGGGGTGATGAGACTTGTGTATTACCGGTACATGTAAACATATGACACAAATTGGCACACATGTACATAATGTACATGTAGTTGCCACACTCCGTTCATGTGTATGTACATCGTTGGGCCGGCTCAGCTGCAGCACCACAGTGAAGACCATCCCAACTATAGTCGAGACTGTTGGTTGGTGACAGATTTTGAATATTTTCCACAACTGCATTAGAAAGTAAATGTAATCTTCTGAAGGTAAAGTTTTTGGCAGGCTGTACAGCAAACTCGAACGACTGTGCAGATTTGAGGAAACACAGCAAACACACGAACATTTTCCCCCTTAAAGAATCCCCCAGAGCCACAGATCAGTGTGCGTCATAGACCTTTTTACTGATAAATTCACTTTTTATGCACACATGCTCACAAAGGCCATTTTTCTCTTCAGAAAATCCCACTGAATCATTTTTGCTATAAAAACAGCAGGAAAGGAGGCTGGCTTAGATACAGCAATCTCGTACGCACAGGAAAAATCATGATTGTAAAGTCTTTTGGCAAATCACAATGCACGAAATTTGTCGACCCAGTGCGCGTTTGGAAAGGGTTGACAAATTTCGCGCGTTATGATTGGCCAACGCGTTGCAAACTCTTGGTGGCGCACTATTGTGAATCGCCCGTATTAATAGTACCAAGATCAATTACTCAAATTTAGACCAAGTATGATTTAATTGAAAGAATATCAAAATTTATGCCTGTAATTGAAACTTGAAATTATATTGACGAATTAAAAAATCTAGAACGTGAAAAAGAAAGTGGAAGGAAGTCAAGATATGGCGAATACACATATTCATTTTTTTTATATTGCATCAACAAACCAAAGTACGTGTTCATCTAATAAAAACAAAAATTGTTCCTAATCCACGAGACACCAACTGGCAGATTTTTCAGAAGTACGTACATGCATGGATTATGGTGACATAATAAGTTTTACTATGGCCGAACTGACTCGCTCGCGAACAGTGGTGTTCTTTCCGCTTCGGTGATGTCTTCTTCAAAATATTATTCCATTTAGGGTTTTAGTCAAACTCTCAACTTGTGAAAGGGAAGCCACAAAAAAATTTAGCAAAAGAGTTCCATACACAGACATCATTACTTTTCCCTTGAAATGTTACAACGGCCATCAGAAAGTGATAACATGTCCTAAAAAGTAAACATTTAGCTGTGGAAATTCCAAAGCATTAGAAAAGACTTTGTCCAACAAGTCTCAAACAAGTACGTGTCGGTTTGCGCAGAGGGTAGCCTATCAAGTGTTGTCCATAAATGGAACTCTTTTCAAATTTAGTGTAAGAACAAATTTTGTGCAAAGTGCACAAATTGTGGCAACTCCTGGATAAATGGCCTAGGCCCTATCCCAACACTGCACGTGCAATTATTTGTCATTGTTGCAATGTTGGAATGGTAACCAGTCACTTCAGCACCTTGCCAACTTGGCACCTGCGAACTCAGCATCTCGTCAACTCGGCACCCACCAACTCGGCACCTTGCCAGCTCGGCACCCACCAACTTGGCACCTGTACAAAAACCAACTCGGTACCTTGCCAACACAGCACCTCTCAAACTCAGCACCTACATGGACAGAACGTACGCGGTAGATAGAATAAGACTGAGAGAATGAGGTACAGGAACATTGCACTAACCAACCAACCCATTGTTTGGAGATTTTATTTTCATACTAACGGAATCTACACCTCTTTTGACAAGAGAAGTTTCTAAAATAGCTCTTTTCTCAAATAAATCCTTTTTTTGGAGTGGGTGCCTAGTCCACCACTGTCTTAGCTCTCCCAGTTAGTACATGTATGACCGGTGGGGCTCAGCTGGCATGGATCACCCCGCCTGCTCGTAAGCTGTGACCAGTCGCTAGCGTTGCATGCACAGCGGGCTGGGCCGTGTATTTGCAGAGTAATAGGAGTATTTAGTCAGGCCTAGTAACCACTCGGCTTTTGGGTTAGGTCGGATCTGCATCTGCCAGGGGGGCCGGGGACACAGGGGTAACTTCGATAACAAGCTTTCACAGAATTGGCAAGACAAAGCAAGGGTTATTTTTCTCTTTTTAAAATTATAATCAGACTTTAATTTCAAAAACGGGTTTACTTCAATCTTCCGATTAACTTAAGAAACTCATTTCTTTATGAATTTCTTTGTTGAACTAGTTGGGTTACCATAATCCATGCAGATTACTCAATCTCCTAGTTAACCAAAATTAACTAAGCACATGTACGGAATTAACATGTAGAACCAATTGGTTCGGTTCGAGCACCAAGTCGGTCAGGTGCCGAGTTGGACAACGTAGACCGGAGGCAAAATTGTAGGTGGCGAGTTGGCGAGTTAGCGAGGTGTCGAGTTGGCAAGGTGCCGAAGTGACCGACATTCATTGGGATAGGGCCTAGGTGCTACCCCTAGGCTAGGCCAAAAATTAAAAATATTTCTAAGTCCCAGATTCATAATTTTTGAGCAATTTCTGCTACAACTGACCTTCATCGAGATGATACATGATAAGCAAAGTGGAGGTAGGATGCAACATTCTTTCAACTGACTAGTCAACACAGGAACCACAATAGGCGAAATGCTAAGTAACACAACGTCCGGAAACTGGGCGATGTATGCATGCATCAATACTGGGCCTACACTACAGTCTACACTCGCAGTGGTACTCACTGACATGACTGAGAACACATTACCAGGAACAGAACGGCTTCAACGAACAATTTGAAAAAAATCAAGCATTCTACAGTACCTACTGAATATTTCCTTCGTTTCAGCCACGTTAATCAAGTCTGATCTGCGTGCAATGAGACAGGAGAAATCAAATGATCAGGGACTGAAGAATTCGTTTCACATTTTTGTGGCGGTAGGTGTGGGCACGGCAGCTATATGTACATGCACTATATGTCCGACGGTGTTTGCTATGCTATGCATGCTGCATGCATAATGCGATGTAGGTAGGCTACATATTGTATCCAGACTACTCGTACTCGAATCACAGTAAATCGTATCTGCTGCCCTCATTTGCCGACCCATATTGAGGTGACCGATGTGCAAATACACGTACCGTGCGTGAGCGGACCGTGCGTGAAATTGACGTGGAAGGAGAGAAGAATTATTAACCTCCGTCAGGTCTCTGGTTGACGGAACCATGGAGGAATAAAACATTGCTAAAACGAGAACAAAACCCGGGTGTGAAACCCGGAATTATATGTTCAATATAATATGGGACTGTTTATTTGGCGACCCCGCCCCTACAAAAGAAGGGAGACCAACATTTTAACTTTTGGATTCACCTCGGTAGGTGACTATACAGTATAGGCTGAGGGTTAATGTGAAAAGAGCGCGGGGTTTTGAGTTCGGGGAAATTATGAGGGGGAACTGTGTTTTAACACATGACACAAGGTGGATTCTAATTTGAAATTGGTTTATCAGTAAGAGAGTCACATTAATTTTTCTTACCATTTACAATTCAAAATTTCAAATGGGATCAGCGCAATAAAAAAAGTGTTGCCTAAATTTTGGGCCAGGCTGTCCAGTTTCACTTGAATAAAATTAAAACACAAAACAAACAAAACAAAACCAAAAAAAAAAACAAACAAACAAACCAAACCGGGGTCCCCAAATAGACAATGCCCACGTTTACATCTATTTTCTTTCTTCGCATAATCCGTGTGCGCCCGCGGCCACGGTGCCCAGATTCTGAACATCTGAACTTGAACCGACCACTAAACCATGACTAAACAGCTGCAGGTTCGGTTCGGAAGAGTCCGAGCTGATATTTGGTTTCTATTTTCAGGTTTTATGATCCAACAGGTTATCTTGTGGCGTCCAACTCCAGTTTTTTATTTCGAAGGGTCACAGGCTGAACCTAAAGTGCGGGCTTGCCAACAGAACGGTGTGGCACGCACTGTCCATATACAGCACATGTACGCACGTACCCGTGCGTCGCGAAGGTTGAAGTGAGGGCGGTATGCTAACTTAAGGGTTTCGCTCGTCTCCCAGCAGCGCCCAAACAGGGCGACAGGCGAACTCAAGGGTACATTGTTAGCTTTCTACATTGCAAGGTATTTAGTGAATTATAAAAAGTCTGAAATTCCCCTATTTTTCAAATATGACATCTGCAACGTAGATATAATCCCTCCCCTGTGCCACAGCTAGGCTAATCGGATTGAAGCTGCGACTGAAAGAAAGACCACACGGTGCAGAGGAGACGCCGTTAAGTTGGCATACCGCCCTCCCTCATTCAGTCTTCTCCAACGCAGCACACACACAATGAACGCCTGGCCATGTACGGAAACGAAGTTGGAGATAATAGCAACATCCAGGGGTGACCCTCAGGAATAGGGTTGCCTAAATTGCGTTTTTTCACCGAAAATTCTAGATGATGACCGCTTAGACAAAGTTCTTTCACAAGAGTGTTAGCCATCTCAATTTTTTATCCTCTTCCCAATATAACCCTCCATAGTAGTCAAACTCAGATTACAGTGTAGGTTCCCGCCCACCTTTATGCAAATAGGTGCACAAGTTGAAGTTTTTTTGTGAACTAAACACCCCAAGATGGAGCCACGTGTCCAATAGAAGGTCCTAATTTTATCGATCTCTCATTTAAATAACCCACGGGATCACAAAACGTTACTGTTTTCACAAAGAGACGCAAATTTAAAAAAATGTCATTCGTCTCAGTTTTGATTTTTTTAGTATTTTGTTTCAAGACATCGTACTTGAGCATTTTGACACGCTTCCTCAAGCAAAACATCAGTAATGTCCAAATTACAATAAAATTGTCAGGAGCAATATATCGATACCTGCATTTTGCGTTTTCACGAAGAGACGCAAATCCGACTGCCTCTGGTACACATTCAAACGTATTAACTGGAAAGACCGAAAAGTAGGTCCACAGAGTTTTGTTTTCTTTGTTATATTCACAGCTGCGCATGCGCGAGCGAAAACCTGCTGCTCCCCAGGTAGGCCGGAATGTTGGAAAACAGAGATTTTTTACTTCAGGGACGGCGCGCATATCAATTTTAATTACAGTACTTGATTCACGCAAAAGGTTACCTATCAAAGAATCATTTAAGGTTTTGTTACTGTAGAAATTTGTTCCATATTGGAATGCATTACAGTTTTGAAAAAGGAGAAATTTCTATGAAGATTATCCCGAAAACCATTCTTTTTTACATATGTACGCGTAGCTCTTTGTGAAAATATCAATAGGCTCGCACGTAGAAATCTAATGCACACATTAATTAATATAGGTTTTCCCGGCCAACTTCGGAAAATGTGTAAATGAATTTGTAACAGCAGCATTCGTTTTTGAGCAAAATGGAATTAAAATTCAAAACCCCGTTTCTATTTAACAAATAAAAATTCTATTTCAGTGATTTTGACTGTCGTGTTTCTTCACGTGGTGTTAGTCAAATTCATTAAAAGAAGGAATTAAACATCTTCTTCCACAAAACTACAGCACAAATTTAAATTTTAAATGAAGAAAACCTCCCAAAAGAGGGCCAGACGACATTGATTCACACTCTGAACTTCCCATGTCCCTTATTGCGTTCATACTACAGTGATCTACTTTCCGGAAATCGTAACAGTGTAGCCACCACGAGCAAATGTTTGTCTATGACTTTTCATTGGGTGAACTAAAGGCGGAAAGTTAGGAAAAGTGGAAAGTTTCAGGACTTGTTACTGTCTCGTCCTTAATGGGAAACTGGGCAAATTCTTTCATGACTCTCAATCGGCTTGTCAGTGAAAACATAAGAGATTATTACACGACTGTTCTTCTCAAAGGCAAGTTAGGTAAAACGTTTGATGGCTTCTCCTTGATGATGGAAAATAGCCAAATTGTTTTATGACCTTAACTTACATGTTGACATGTTCAGAAATGAGCAGATATTTTATAAGACAATAGTAACCCAAGCAATAGAATAACTGCACGCCCTGCGGGATTGCTAAGCAGTGAACTAAACATCGTCGAGAACGTGTAGCTTTTCCAGAGTTTGCCTAAAAGCAACACTGAAGAAAATAAAGAACAGGCCAACACTGAGCACATGATCCCATGGATAAAGAGGATATCCTAATGCACATTGAACAAATAAAATTGATTGCACAAAAATTTCAGACACTTAAAAACCCTGAAAAAGGCACCTAAAAGATCAGCAAAAGGACATATAAATGGACCAACAAACATCCTTGTTGACAGACATCAAAAGACAAACAACCCAGAAAATATTCAAACACCCATCAAAAAGACAAGCGCAATCTCATGTAAATGAAAAAAAGACAAAAATTTACGAAACTGGAACAAAATTGAACACTATTTTTGTACATTATTTCATCTCAATTCATTTTTTTAAATTCCTTATTTTTTTAGTTGATTCTGTAAATGCCCATTGTGATTAGTTTTTATGAAACTAACACGCTAAATTATGATCAATAACTAATATCCTGCTTTCTGGCTCAACGGAAAGTTAGGCAAATTTTATCATGACCAAGGCATTAGTTTTCTCTGAAAAGGTTGGTAAAATTTTGTCTTGAAGTTAGCTAAATTAATTAACAAATTAGTATTACATTAAACGAAAGCTAAACTTTGGCAGGAAACGTACCTTACATTTACATCTCCACTGATAACGTGGATTGCACTTCCATGGGGAAGCTTCAATGGAAGTGAAATCAAGAGATCTACGAGACAGATTCATCAATATATGTAAATTTTCTTCACTTGATAGTAGGGAACTAGATACTTTACCATTCTGTAGGGTGGACCAGTTGTAGGAATTGGGGGTGTAATAAGATATTCATTATGCATTGTTTATCCACCAGCATAGTTGGGAATACTTGCCTGATGCATGCACATGTATACATGAACGTGGCTAGAATTTGCCACCCGGTTTACTTGGATTTTACTGTTGGATTTCAGTGGTCAATATTTTGTCCTTGAATGACAATGTCCCCGAAATGTCTGTGATCTGTTACATACATGTAGGGTGTTTACATTTCTGTTTAAACACTTTATTATAATGTTTCTTTCAAACTGAACCATCCAAAGCAAAACTCAACTTATGACACCAACATGTATATGTGAACTTGCTAATCAGATCAGGTCTTTATTTCCACAACTTTTGGGTTCCACCCCATGATGCAGTTTAAATCTAAATGAGGATTCTTTGTTTTAGAATTTACAAAAATCTTCTAAAATATCTTCCCTCTGGCTGACTGTGAAGAAATCCGGGCATCCACCCACTCATCCAATCAACCTCTTAAACATTAGTACATGTACTTTTATCCCCCCGTGGAAGCAGGTAAAACTTACTCTGATGAAATTGTCAGAAGTCAGTGTTTCTTTTTGTAAAAAAGAACTTCAAAAAGATAGGGCAGGAAGCTTACCAAATGCGGCAAGTATTTGCCAGGTAAATGAAATGTGCTTCCCACTGCCAAGGCCGGATCCAGCCCCAATTTATTATTTTTGGGGGAAGGGGGCAAAACAAGTAAACAGCATCCCTGATTATACCAATCACAGTTGAGCGGCTGCTCAGAAACATTTTCCTGAACAAAATGGTTCTGTCCTCGCAAAATAACCTTCATAAATATCTTCACTCTGATTAAAAAAAATGCTCATTGCTTTTTTGGGGATGGTGCCATGGCCCCCGTTGGCCCCCATGGATCCGCCCTTCAATGGCCCATCACTGAGAAATTTCCAACTTTTTAAAATACCAGATATGTGACATGTAAAAAGTATTATTGAAGTTATTTGTGTCAAATAGGTTCTTGGGTGAGGCAGTCAACTCAGCTTGTTTCCTTCTTATGAAACTGTTCAACAGTACTACTTACATGTACATGTAATACAGGTATTTTGAGAACAGAACCTGGGCTTCCAATCATATCTACGTAAAAGCCAATCAATAAGAAAATACGATTTGATCAATCTGGCATTGTTGTATACTAAATATAAATTTCCACGCAAGAACACAGCTTTTCACACCTGAAATTCTGACTTCCTCTCCTGGAAAAGACATCAGTTTGCAACCTACTTTCACATGACTGAAATAAAGTGTTTAAATTAGGGAAGAACCCTCAGAGGGCCATTATTTCCCATCAAACTACCTGTATCATTCAAAAATATAGTACACATTGATATCAAATGATACTCTTGCCTGTAGATCACCTTTTCATAAACGTTTGCATAAGTGGGGCAGGATACCGGTAGCTTGATCTCTCTGAAAAATCTCAGTCAACCTTGCTGTAAGATCTGGTAAATTTCACCTTCTAATGATTGTTTTTTCTTTCCTTCCACTTCAAGGTTATGGAAGATTGCTTCAATCAGGCGATCATGCTGATCGACCACTCGCACCCAACATATACAAATCTAACAGTCCATGTCTTTCTATTTGATCTGTTTATGTACTCAACAACTACTGTAGCTCCTTCCACTGAAATAACCGCGGTTGCTCATAACTGATAGTTCATTGCAACAAATGTACGAGTATGGTCAACATTGCACACGCCACAAAAAGCTTAACAAACACACACTACGAAGTCAATAAAATTCCACATGACAGTGATTATGTACACCACCAATAATAGACGCACACACATACAGTGTGTTACACTAATTAATAATGCACTTGACAAATTTGAACACAAATTTTAATGATGTCTCCAACCAAAGAGTTGCACAGGCAAATACCGTATCCATACAAGGCTCTCTAAAACACTAGCAGATCATAAGGGGGCTACGAGGGCCATGACACCCCCCAAGGGGTTAAAATGTTTTTGAAATACATGTACGGTACAGTGACAGACAGATATTTTGTATTTTGTTTACGGGGGCCATTATATTTTCCTTCCTTTCCAAAGTGTGAGAAAGCCCACAAGTTGCCTCAAACTGAAAACGTAGACAGGCTATAACCCTAACAGTCCTCAGTCCTCCAACAGGTGAAGGATTGAGGACTGTTAGGGATAAAAGGTCACATTTTGGGGGACCAACCCTGAAAGAAAATTAGCCCCCCCCCAAAAAAAAAAAACTCTGCTTCTGGAACTGTCCATTTCAAAACAATGTCTGGCAGAAGTACAGCACAAAGACAAGTTATTTGAAATATACAGTGTAATATTTACGTTCTTTTTCAGTCATGCAGGTGCATATACATGTAGAGTGGACAATGTTCCGGTATTTTGTGCAATAAAATGGAAAAATTGGAGGTTGTTGTCCGCCACGTGTAAGCAGAGCAGATGTTATGTTTGTCACTCATCATTTGCCATTTTTATGAGAAAAAAGAACACCTGCTGGATACATTTGAAGGCAGTTCAATTTGGCAAACAGCACAGCTTAACCCTCCCAAGGGTTGCTGGCCCTAACCTTCCCCATTCACACAGTGTTAAACACCCATATGGGACTTTGTGCACAGAGGCTGG